GAACGCAGGAACAGCTAAGGAAAGCGTTACACTGTTTTCATCGTTTGAAAATGAGACAACCAACAAAACAGTGTCTTTAAAGAGAAACATTCAGGAAGTGCATCATTCGAAAGATTCCGTTCACAGTCCATCTCAGTCACTTAATAAACCATTGAAAGGGAGAAGGGAGTATGTGAGGCAAGAAAAGGGTGTGCTACTTTCTGCAGCAACTACAACTTCTGCTGATGAAAGGGATACTCCCAACACCCGTGAAGGAACGGAGATCGGTGGCAACCTCAAGGGTAATACCTTACGTAATAGCGTAAATGCTAGGACATGTGGGTCTCAAAGAAAATCGGCGACACCAGAGCTCATCGAGAAATGCCGACCAAGGACGCATTCAGCGGCAAAGGCGCAAGCAAGTCCATTTGTTGAGGTAGAACATACTAGAGAGACCAGTAAAGTGAAAGAGTTCAATAGCAACTTTGTAGGTAACTCTTTGCAAGGTAATGTAAATGCTGAGGCATGTGGGTCTCGAAGAAGCTTGGTGACTGCCGAACTCACCACCAAACGACAACCAAGGACTCGCTCAGCGGCAAAAGCGGAAGCAAGTTCATCCGCTGATGTAACAGATACCCGTGACACCAGCAAAATAACAGTGTCCGGTAGCAATCTCAAGGGTTACATTCTGCCCTGTAGCGTAAACGCTGAGGCGTGCGGGTCTCGAAGAAACTCGGTGACCTCTGAGCTCAACGAGAAACGACAGCTGAGGACTCATTCAGTGACCAAGGCAGAAGCAAGTCCATCTTTTGATGTAGGAGATACCCTAGACAACAGTGAAATAACAGTGTTCCGTAGAAACCTCAAGGGTGACACCTTGCATAACAGCGTAAATGCTGAGGCATGTGGGTCTCGAGGAAACTCAGTAACACAAGATTTCCCTGTGAAATGTAAACCGAGAACTCATTTAGCGGCAAAAGCGGATCTAAGTGCTTTAGAAGGTTCCAGAAACAGCGGTTTGAAATTAACGGATCTACATAGAGAAACTCACTCCAAGGTCATCCCGGAACTTCAGTGTAATAACAATTCAAAAATTGTTCTTGATCTCGATTTTGAACTCCAGGGTGGAAGCTGTAATAATGTCTGTGCAAAGAGCTTTCGGACAAATTCGTTTATAATAGCACCAACAGAAGGGCGCCAAAAAATTCATCGAACTCGATCTCATTCTCCCAGACAGGTACGACAAGGCTTGTTTGATATCAGCACAGCCACGTCGAGCACCAAGGAAAGGATGAAAGATAGAACATTACCACGGGGTGAAAGCTATGTAAGTTCAAGAACCGATGGTGCACAGAAACTACCTTTAGGAAAGAGTCTTAAACAGCAGGTTTCCTTTAAGAGTAATAAAAAATTGATAGGCGACATAGATGAAAGTGGTACCTTCAACTGCGGAAAAACGCTTTCTTCCGGTTCTTTTGACAAATCGAGCACTTTGGAGGTCTCGGGTTTAGACTCAGCGAGGTCAAACATTTCAAGAAATTCAACGGAAAGGACCCGCTATGAAATAAAAAAGGTTGATGAGGCTAAAGACAGTAAGAGTGGCGGAGCGAGATTTCAGCTCTTAAAAGAGCGCAGCGGTGTTCGTGTGTTATTGGATGAGCCACAAAGGGACACAGCAAGTTACTTGACACTAAAACTCGGCGATAGGAGTTCATTTAATCCTATAACACCGTCAGGCGAAGGAGTTAAGACACTATCAGTCTCTTCCCTTGAAAGCAATGCTGTGCGTTCTCTAAGAAAGTTACAAAAGGTTCGATCCAACTCTCTAGGACAAGAACCTTCCGAAGGTCTCACAATGAAGTGCAATACACTGATGACGAAAGGTGTTGGTGGGAAGATTCTGCTGCGGGAAAACCGAAGATAGTAAATTGCAATCAATATGCAATTAGTCCAAGTGCATTAAACAAACATCGCCGAAAATCATTTACTTCTGAACTTAATGAAAAATTACGACTCAGGAGGAAAAGGATGGAGAACAAAAAAAACTTACAAATGCAGCTTAAAATGTCTTCAAAATCACCGAGTCATTATCTGGTGAAGCCAGTTTTTATATCTCTGGAAAGTTGAACGACACTACGACCGAAATACCTTCGGTTTTTTTTTACATTTCAACGACAAGCATAGTTTGAAAGAATATCCAAAGCAAGAAAACAAGGTATATCTGCTTTGCAAACTGCAGCAAAGAAAGTTCACATACCAACAGAAGAGAGCGTGGAAAAAGTTTGTAGAGCGGGATGCTAGGTAATTTGCCCCACATATCTTTCTCGGTTTCAGTTTTGTGTTTTAGTCACACCAGATTTTACTGACGATAAGAGTCGACGTGTTTTAAATAAAAGTGAATGAATATTAAATAGTCTAGAAAAGGTTTGTTTAAACCTCCATACATGTGTAACATCATCTACGACTTAGCATTGCATCCGAGAAAGAAAACAATACTGCATCATTTAGGGCTCCTTTCGCCAAGAAAAGCAGTCTCAAGAGCAAAATACGTCACAGTTTGCAATAAATCTTAAAGGTTGTAATGAGCTCCACGTTTCTTCGTCTCAAAACATCGTTGTTCGATTTCGACGCGTTTTAATGTTATCCTAGCGATTTCAATGAACGGCCAAACTTTTTAAATTGAAGTCAAATCAATATTATTTTAATACAAAGTCTCGGTTTTATGAACATTTAGAGGACTAAACCTGACGTATTTGGGCATAATTAAACGGACGCGGAATAGCTCCAACCAAACGTACCCTAATTTTAGATCAAACATTGCGGCAAATCGTTCGGAGATGAACCTTTCGCAAGGCTCTTTTCTTAGGGATGATTTCGAAGGGTCTGACAGTTGAGTTTGAAAAAGGAGAGGCATGAGAATTTTAACAGGGAATTCTCTACAAGCATTGGATAGTTCTTATATAAAAAAAAGAACATTTGTAAATTTTCAAAACATGTTTCGTTATTTCTTAGATCATCGTCAGTTGCATATGGTCCTAATTCAATTCGAATTTACAACTTGCGAATACGTTACCTTTAATATGAAGATTTAGCCAAGCCTAAAAGCCTAAAAGATGTCAAATTCAAATTCAGATCTATGTAAATGCCTGAATGACTACTATTGCCATTTGAATGAGGACATTCGTCATTTTAAAGTAAACTAGCATTTCCATTTTCTTTTCTTTTTTTGAATTGCTCTCAATTTTTCTCCTTTTGTATCTTTATCAATGCTATATCCTTTGTATTTATATTTCACATAATATTACTCTCAGTGCACATTCATATACATATATAAAGGGTATTTTTAGTAGATACATAGGATATATTTGATGTAGGAGGACCACAAGTTTACCAGTATTGTAACTGTTTCGTGCTACCCTCGATAAATAAAGTTAGATTGGATTGGGTTGGGATCGCCTCCGGCGTCCAAAAACACGATTTTGGAGAGAGATTATCGATTTTTCGCCGCTGTTTCATCAGAAATGGATTTGGGTTATGCTGTTACAAGGGAAGCGTAAGTTTTTGTATAAACAACCTTGAAATGTGCAGTAAATCTACTTATTAACCTGTCTCCATGCGCAAGGTTTATTATGAATTTGACATCGCGTAATGGTCTCGAAATTAAGGAAAACCAACTATAAATCGCTAAGAAATAACTCAACTAAGCCTTTTCACTTTTTTGGACGTGTGTTATTACTGGTAACTCATTCATTGTCTGTCATTGCCTGTGGGGGGCCACAATGCCTTAGCCGATTGCCCTAGCCGCTGGGATATGGACCAGTCATTCCCAGCAGGTTTCATGAACTCGCCACACATCGCAAACTTTCTTTTCGCAAGTTCGATTGTTGAGAACTTAGCCCCGTTCACTAGGGTGTACTAGGCTACACTTAAGAAATAATCAGTAGAGTCGTTTGTCCAACTATGTAATCACCTGGCTCACCTTTGCAGTATTCACTCACTACAACAAATGTGCCAGTATGGCGTTCCAACACTGCCAAAATTAAATTAATCAATTTTTTTTTCAAACACACGTGTACGTTGCAATATCAACAGTAAACTTTCAATTTGTGATTCTGGCCTGTTCAGCATAGTCCTGATGCAAACTGTCATGATTAACGAAAAGCCAATTAGAAAGGATGGTGATAGAAGGTGTCGGTTGAGCCCGTAGGATCATATCAATATGCACTTGAGCATTAAAATCCTGGGAAGTGAGGCTTTTAAATACATGTAGTTCCCACAGACATCGATTCTCAAACTTCCACAATTCTTCGATAAAGAAACACACTTTCCAAAACCAACGCGTGGGACCGATCTCCGGCCGGCATTCCTTTAAAGCAAAGCCTTTACTGCCTCTCACCGACAGATTTCCCTCAAATTGCTACGGTTTGTGGCGTAAACACAACAGTCGACTGGAAAAAGAAAAACAATTGGCCAATCGAAATTTATCGTCTAGGTCAAATTGATGAGTTGGGGAGAGGCAGGGGGTTGGTATAGACATCACGATTAAACACCAGTGGTTCTAGTGAGATTCATACAACACAATACTGAAACATGGTCTCCTACCGAGTAAACCCAATTATCGATCTCGGCTTATCGCTCTCGGATAAGATTTTTTCTTTTCTTCTTCTTTTGAGACCATGCAATAAGTTCCCTTTCTCGTCGTGAGTAAATCTTCTCGCTGTTGCCGAACAGTCCAGTTCGCACATTTGTGACCAAAGAAAAAATCTATCGCACTTATGGGGTCGCCTCTTTAAAAGTCAAGCAAAAAAAAAAGAAACCCATAGGAAAAAAAAAATCAAAGATTGGATCGTTCAGTGCGGCCATTTTGTTGCTCCGTATTTTTACTATCTTCTTCATTGTATCATTGTGGCACATTTTGCGTGTTTTCGTGACCTAATTTAGTAAACCCACAGTTACATAATAGCAATTTAGCAACATCAACTACTACTGCTACACAGTAAGCAACTAATAATTTGAGCAAGTTAAAAAGGGTTTAATGTGTATCACGTTTCGTATACTAATATAACATATATATATCATGTAAGGTACCATATATTAGTGAAATAAAAACCTGACACTTTTGCTTTCGAATACTACGAGGAAGAGTCTTATTTACATGAGTCTGTCATTGAAATCCTGCACAAAGGATAAATTCTAAACAGATAACGAGGAATTTTTCAAAGGAGGCAGTGGGAATTTGGTGAAGATTTTTGTATCTTCAAAGCTGATAACATTTCGTAGCTACTCGAACATATCATCAATATCGTGATAAAAAGCCAGATAACACTGGGTGAAAAATATTGATTAAATCTAACTAAAATTTAAATTCGTGAGGGGCGAAACGTTTCCATCTGTAACATGCTGTCACTCCAAAGTTATTTCAAGTTTATATCTGGCAATAATGTTAAGCATTGTGATTAACTCTTTGATTCAAATTAATGATCAGTACGCAAGTTGACAATTCTCATTAAGTTAAACTATGACCTTTGATGTTAAAATAACAAAAGCAAAATTATCCCAATCAAAGTTAAAAGTACCAAGTAGTATTGGGGGGAGCAAAAAAATTAACATCAACAAATACAGTAACAAGAACATAAATAAAATATCTCCCTAAGAGAAAGTATTTTATAGAGCGCTGAACTAAAAGGATACAAGTCGAGATCCAATTGCTGCTTCAATACACCTGACAAGATTAGTTCAGCATTGTGTATGTCTGACGAAAGAAAAAACCAAAAGGAAAATGAGAAATTTTAAATTTACACGGTAGGAGGTGCGACGGTTCGTGCTGGAGTGGCGTGTAGTTTAACAAGAACTTTGGTTTAACCCTTTTCACCCATACATCAGTATGCATATTCTTAAGACTGTTCTTCTTACATTTCTTAAGGTGCTGACAAGGAGAATTTGTGTCACAATCAAGAACTACTTTAGTTGGTGATCAGTCTTTTATTCTCGTGACCTTAATGTATGATTTAGGGGTGACATTGTAAGGAGAAATTAGAAACCTGTCAGTCTTGGGGTCAGAGGGTTAATACGAACTTTCGATTTAATTACTCCTAAACATTTAAGGTTTATTCTAAGACCTGTATTATTTTAACTTTTATCGTTATGAATTCTGCTTACAAAACTCAGAAGACACAACTCGACCCAAAACAAATGCAAAACTACCCATGAGCTGAATGAATGCTTCGGCAGCTTAGCAATTTTCCCACCCAACTCGGCCGAGAGTTTAGCCCTTGGGAGGGCTTGGATCAGGGCGTGAAATTGCGCCTAATACAGGCGCCAATGCGACTAAATTTTTCACTTTGGCAACCAAATCCTGAAAATTAGTCGCCAAATTAGCGACTAGAATGTTTCATCATAACCTTACTTAGAGATATAGTGAACTAAAAAGATTTGCAAAAGATAAATCCGCGGCAAACTTCCACAAGTTTGTTTCCAAAACGTAGCATATGCATTTCAATCAATGACTAGACGCCATCTTGGATTTAGGATGTAGGTGGGCTTGAAGGCTGTATGTCTTCCATCCTAGTGTCCACTCTGTAGCAGGTTAAAGATCTTTTTCCTAACTTAATTCTGGAGGGCCTATCTAGAGCCCTGACAGCGTAAAAAAAGGTTTTGTTTGTCTTTGAAAATGGCGACCCACTTTTTTTTAATTGGCTACCACTTTGAAGAATTTAGGAGCCAAGAGGCTATCAGAGAAAAAAGTTAGTTTACGCCCCGGTTTGGATACAAAGGTAAAATGTGCCAAAGTTAGGGCATGAATTGTGATGACCTACATGTGTAGCGGCAAACGGTTTCAATAAATATACTTCCAAATTAAAATTAAGTTTGGGTAGTGAAAATTTTAGCGTCTGAATCAGGCCTCACGTACATTTGGACATGTATCTGCATGTTCACTGAAGTAATTCACAGAGAGTTCTTACCAAATCCTTTCTTGAGAAATTCTGAACACAGCAGGCCATCTTTGTCGCAACTAATAACCAGTAACACGGGTGATCCCTGAGCACAAATAAAAGAAGATTCATCAATCAATTTGAACGATTTTAAGATACAATGTTTGTACACTCTGTTAAACAAAAAGCATAGTTATGTTCGCCCTCTTATTTATTAAACAGGATTCGCGACATAAAATTTCAAAGGCCACAAATTGATGTCTTACAGGTGAACTGTCTTCTACAGAAAGATTTGAGTAATGGCTGAATTCAAATTCTTTTTTCTTATGGCAATTTTCAAAACATACCTGATCAATAGCCTTGCGTTTAAGCTCTGCTAGGTGCTGTTGAGATGGGACACTCGTCAACACCTATAAGACAAAAGAGAGCTCTTAATCCACAAGAGTAGAAACTGTGATTTAAGTTGAACCGAAACAACTTTTTTATATATTTTCTGCTTTTCGTACAAATTTTTATCATGACTAATTGTTGTTATTCCCAAATATTTCATGATGTTTCCATTCACTTGCAGTCGCACAACACTTTGACCAAACCATCATAGCGTGTGATCTAAACCGGAATATAAAATTCCGTCCAAATTGTTTCCCTATTTTTCATTTCGGGCAGACTGATTATTACTGTTGAACTGAGCCCAGTTGAATAAAGGGCGGATTACACTATTCAACGGATAACTCGCTATCCAGCGGATAAGTAACAGCAAAACGTATATCACCGGGTTAAGCTGGGTTAAGATATTCCAAGGTTAGTGTGAAATCTGATTTCAGATCTCATAGCTTTAAAACAAGATTCAGTCGAATTCTTTTTGTCTAGAATACGACTATTTGATGCTCAACAAAGAACACAAGAAATTATCTTAAAAATGCTTCTGAATAAAGGAATGAAGAAACTCAAATTACAATTTAATCTTGGGTTAGCGTTAATCAGCCTTCGAACAACCGGGCCCGCTGATAGAGATTTATCCAGTGGATAACGTTTTCTGATCTTCGAAAAACCAGGGCCACCGTTTAAGAACTAAAAGTAACTAAAAATCCTCATAGCTGGTAAAACAAACAAAAAAAAAACACTAGCTTTACCTTTTCCGTACACAACATAAATAAAACTGAGAATAAATGTACATATATTTCCCGACGCGACCAGATGAAGAACCCAAATTCGTTAACCCCTTACAATTTTAATACATTAATCAGGTAAAATGCAACAAGTAATCAAAATGTAGAAATTTCCACTTCAGAGTGTTATCTTTACATACAGGTAATACCAAATTCTCAGAACTAATTTATAAAGAGATGAATAGAAACCAGAAAGCAGAGTTAATGATTAGAACTTGGAAGTTGACGAGTTTTCCCACCTGTCCACCTGCACTCTGGATAATCTCCTTCATGGACGATGGGCTTGGCTCGACACTTTGCGTCACATACACCATGATATCCTGTAGAAATTGAAAAAGGATATTAATTTGTCTATCTACACATTATACCTGAGATATTTCCGGTTTCACCAATTTTCAATCGTGTCAAAATTGGAATTGGATTGGTTTTTTTTCTTACGCTCTGTGATTGGTCTCGAGGACTCGCGCCATACTCCAAAGAAAACAAAACCGCCGAAGACTTGGACATTCGCGCTTAGGTGTTCTCTTGGTTGGTTACGTGAATTTACGTTAAGTTCTCATTGGCTCCTAGATATTTCAACAATTGAGCCAATTGGTCGTTGTGATTTGTACAATAAGTCTCATAAAACTCAATCAAAAAGCACTTTGAAGCAATAAGCTAGAAACGCCATAGGAATGATGGATTCAGAGGCGTTATTGAAAAGCATGAAAGCCAATTGCAAACCTTTAAAAGTGGCCGCGTTCTTGCTCTCTGAAGTGATGTTTTCAAATCCATGTCATACATGTCCTCGGAGAAGTTGTCTTTCACTGTGAATTCACTTGGGTCTACAAAGTGAAAAATAAAGCAACATAAAAATATCACACTACTTTAACAACTTGAAAGGTCTTTATGTATTTTCGAACTGCCCATAACGCACCATTTTTACTCCCGAAAATCTTTGCTAAGGCATTGTTCTCAATTTCTCTTGCGATCAGTAATCCTGTTTTTGCTAGTGAATTATTCTCTGAGCCAGAACATCAGTAGTCTGATTTTTCTGTAATGGTCCTACAAGCGTAAGGGGAAAGAAAACTCGTAATTGACGTTTGGACGAAGTAGGGCATGGGTGGGGACTTGAATATTCTGGGACACGAAAACCCTGCCTCGTCCCAATCTCCTCTCATTGAAAGCTTTAGCTTAATATCGAAGAAACAGCAAATTTCTCGCTACATGTAGCAGTCCGAGTATGATCTGTGGGCAAGTAACTCATATATTCAGTAAAAGGTTAAATCGGTGGATAACGGGTGATTGAGGGGTATAACTCAAAGAGCGCTTGACATGTTGCATATATTCTATGCACTATAACGTAATGGCGATAAAGCGTAATTAGAAGACTTCTGACACTCATAAAGATGTTCATTTACCAAGAAATGTCGTGGACTGCTGACTCTTCTCAATCCAATCCGGAGTCACAACGTACTTCGCGATAGAGATTGCGCACAGGAATTTTACTGTTCGAATAATCTAACAAAAATAAAAGAAGTATCCATACAGACCCTTAACCAGACCCTTCAACCTGAAAAACTACTTTTAACGTTCAAGGATCTGTTAACTAAGAAGCATTCCTTTGGTAAATGTAATGAACTGGCAATGACAACTCTTTAATCAAAAGAGTAGGCTTCATCGTCATCATCATATCACCGTTAATTATGTAGATCAATATCATCCGTCGAGTTGTCATTGCCACTTCATTATAACGACAAAGCTACACTTGTTACCCACTGTATGAGCGCCTCAATAATAATTCAAACAAAGTATTTTCCATTGTGATCGAGTTAATGTAGACTACAGGCAGTCCCTTCTATTCGGTGAAGTCCGGCTCACGAGTCCTAAAAAAATTACCAAAATAAAAATTAACGTCGATGTGCCACGGGAACTCTGGGAGTGAGGCGCTCCCGTGGCGCATCGACGTCAATTTTTTTCGCTGATTTTTTTAAGACTCTCGCAAAGGACTTCGCCAAAAAGAAAGGAATGTTCATAGTCTAAAGTAAATGTGGAAAATTTCTAACCTTTCTTGTTATAAGGTGAGTGCATTCCTTCACTGAGGTGACCACAACTCCTCCAAGACTAGTGATTATCTGAAAACCAATAATCATGAAAGATAGATTAAAAGTCACGCGTAATTTTCAAAGAAATTAAGTGAAAAACGCAAAAACGGGCAAATATAACCACGAAAATCAAGCTACTGTGACTAATTTTCAAACCTCAGTTAATCTTGATACATCTGATGGTATAATGCCAGTAAAAAGAACTCTGGGCCCTTCCGGTTTTTCAGCACTGGCAGGACTTGATGTTCGTCTGTTGAATTATGAAAAAAAACCAACCTTATTACAAGTAGTACAAGAGAGGAGGTGAACACTGATAGAAAAGTCCGAAGGATAAAACAAAACGATTAAATGCTTAAACCGAGAAATTGTAACGACGTCACAACGGTGACTTTAGCGATGAAGCTGTTGAAGTGAATCCAAGTCAGCCAATGACTACTTCACCAAGTTCACACTTCGTTAACTAAAACAACATCGTGTTAACATAATCTCGCAAGTTCGTTTTGTCTCTTTCAATACTTCACTCAAATCGTCGCGAAACTTCATTCAAATATCACAGTAATTATTTATTATTTCAGTAATAATTTCATTGTTAATCAGTTTATATTGAAGGAAGTGAAAATTACATACCTTACTTTCCTCAGCTGACCATTTTCAGGAGTGCTCTAACAGCAAAGAGAAAAAAGAGACAAAAAGGGACAGTTCCCAAGACGTCGACGGTAAAAGAGAGCCACGTTAGCTTACCTTTAGAAACTACACTAACATGTACATTAACTTTACCCACTGTTTACCATGGTTGCACATGCTATTACTTTTATACGGCATCCAAAATTTATACGGTAATTCAAGATGCATTCAAATGTAAAGAAACATGTTATTCGTCTTGTTATGGGCAGGGAACACAGAAAATCTTTGAGTCTCCACGAGAAATCACATCCCAGGCTCTTCCCTTTGGTGCCGCAATGCTCTACTCTGAGCCACAGAGAATTGTATGTTAAGCTACAATGTACACTGTAGATCTGTGGGCTCGATTCCTCGTGAGCGAATCATTTTTTTTTTCTTTGTCCCACGCTCGAGACACGAAGAAACACATCTTCCATCTGTTCCACTACTGAGCTTAAAATTCATTATTTTTCGTGATTCATGAATTCAAATATTCCATAACACAGTATAGCGGCAATGCTTAGATAACAACAAAACAGTTATCCATGTACAGCTTTTACACATAATAAATGTTCCCAATTTACCTGTTCTCCAAATTTCCGTTTTCCACCACCAACAGTCATCTGGAAAGAACCAAACTTATTTAGTGTACGTTGAAAACAATGTGCTTAAATTTGCGGCAGAACATTTACACGTAAATAAACAGGCGTGATATTCACGCATTATAAGGGAAGGTTAGCAGTTTTCACCACATGATGGTGTATGTATCTCTAGAGTCATAAATTACAACACATATTAACCCTAAAGTGGTAAGTATGGGTTGGTAAGGGCACAATTCATTTAGAAAGTCCACGCAAGACCACTCCAGAGAACAATCACCATTATTATACATGTAACGCGGTGCATGAACATTGTATTAAAAAATATCAAAGATGGAAGGAGAACAAGTACATGTACAGTGTAATGCTCACCTCGAGTGCACTTGAACCTTCACATGACTGCCAGGGAACTAGGAAATTAAAAAAATTCGAAGATTTAGATTTCAATTGCATGTGAATAAGACTCATGCACGTGCATGTACTGGAAAAAATACTCTTAACTGGAGCCCACCATATTTGGTGTTGACATGATGTGTGATATTTCATCGCTACAATCTTTAATCAAAAGGAAAAAAGTATTCAACGAAGCAGGCCAATTTCATATTGCAAAATTTGTTTTACAAACCCTCAACTCATCAAATGTCCAAAGGCTTCTTTTAATTAATGGTGTATAAACTGGACAGTAAAGCCAAAGTAAAAGACAAAGTTGAACCAAAGTGTCACGAACAATTCTTCATGCATGTATATAGCCTCCCTTTGGAAAAAAGGATTCTGCCAGCAGATAAGCCAATAGTTTGCTGGTCTTTGTAACTTACTTATAAGCTCTCTGACCAGTAGATCTTTAGTTATCTCTAGTTCATCTGGCTCACCCAGGGTTGAGTACCTCACAAGGTTACATGGAGATGGAAAGCCAGCTAAGAAATAATTTCAAACAACTTGTCAAATCAGGTAAACTTATCTCCAGACTCACCATACTGAACTAAAATAATCAATCACATTTGCATTGATTTCATTCTTGGTAGATCATCCCCAAGCCCCTTCCCCCTTAACTCTTCCCCTATTTCCACCCCCCCCCCCCCAAACTCTATACTAAGGAGTGGCAGAATACAATCATCACTTATGTGTATACATCCTTGCTTCATGATTGTTGGGGTGCAAAGTTGACAGACTACCAAAACAACGAAACAATTTGATGGAAAAAAAAAAGCAACAACAAGAATGACAACTATAATCTAAGGTACATTGACATGTTGGTCAAGACTCTCTTGAACCTACATGTTCAAAAGTTTCCAACAAGTAAAAAATCACACATGTCCTTAGCAGCTTAGAATTCCTGAAAAGTTCATTATGATTACAGATTGATCATAAATCAATTATTTGTTTATAAAATATATGATGCGTGAGCTGATTTGTTCTTTTTGTAAACTGGTAGTGTAATATCTGTACATACTTGTAACAATGTCACCAAGCCACTTTGCATTCACACATTGTACTCCCCACTCTTTTGCCTTGGTGTATTTTTCTCCTGTTGGGCTGTCAAAAGCAACAAGATCTGTATATTCCTCACCTATACTAACAATTTATGCTGCACTACATTGCAATACATTAGCTGTGAGATTTTTATAAGAATACATCTCAAAGTCATTAGACCCTGCCTACTATTCCACAAAGCTCTATACACTAAAAAGGTACATCCCTGAACAATCTACTATATGTAGTTATATCTATGCAATTAAAAGAATAATATTTGGGCACACACACAAATGAAACTAAATGCACTGATAGTCTAGCTCACCACAGAGTCTCTGTGGCTCAGTGGTAGAGTGTCAGAATGCAGAATCCAAAAAATCTGAGTTTCATTTCCTCATAAGGGCTCATCTTCCCAACTTGTAATGATCAAATTCAATTCTCCACTGCAATCAAATTTTTTTGATCGAATCCAATTACAGAGTAAACAGATCACAGTTGAATAACTGTGACGCAAAAATACATATAGCTGACAGTGTAAATCACAGCATACCTCTTACAGATAATATGTGTGTTAACACGAGTTAAGTAGCCGGTGTATTTTGCACCAATAACATATATCATGTTCTTCAATAGTGTTCTCTCAGTGCCTGTATATCCAGTAACTGTGATGACCTGCCAATGATAAAACATTCAGGTCAGTGCTGCAATATATACAAATTAATATTCATGTTTCTCATACATGTAGGTATGTGCTAACTTAAAGGTAAATTGGGCTGGATGTAAATATTCCTAAAAATTGTGCAATAATTCTTTTTTAATGCACAATACACATGATCATGTAAACAAACTTAAACTTAAGTGCTCATGCATTGAAAGACCAAGTTGTTGTAAACTGTTGTTGTTGGCTTGAAAAATTCTAAATCTGTCCCTCCCCCTCTCCCGAAAAAAAAAAACAAAAACAAAAGAAACATGTGAATTTCAGAATATACCACACATACACAGTATAACCATATACATTACACGTGTATTGATCTTCACATTTGTTTAGGGTGGTCTGTAGCAACAATGATATTTGTCATCAGAATGCTCAAAATGTTTTGGACTCGTGATAAAATAAAATGATTCTCTCAGTGCATGACCATTGCCTGACACTTAAACATGATCAGCATTGTCTGCACTCTTATCAAAAATGGCAAATTGGTCAATCAGATTGCAACATTACAGCTAATTGTGGTAAAAATTTCACAACGGACCAGTAACCACCTATATCAACATCTTCATACATATAACCATGTATCCCGCTGGCCTTCTAGCCCTCTCCCTGCCATCCCACACCCCCCCCTTCCTTCCCCACACTAAAAATAATTACTTACCATACTCCTGCACTGGTTTACTTTATCTTTGAATGGCAAAGGAAGATGAAGTGGATTTGATGGTGGAAACATCACTTTTTCTGTCAGCACATCATTCAACCAGTGTGCTGTGATTATCCGTTTTCCATCTGAAATTGCCTAAACACCAATACATTACACATCATTTTATTAAAGTAATCACTTACTAAAATTTAATATTGGCTAATCTATTACTTCAAAGTCATAATAATTATTAATGCCACTCAAACCTCCCTGAATGAAGTGCAACACAATAAAGATTAGAAATTATTTTTGGTCAGTGTCTCTAGTTAACCAAATAAGTTATAAGTTGCATGTATCATCATCATGATGAAACTTGGAGAAAATGTTCACCTTCACACATCAGCAAAAAATCAATTCTAGTCAAGTACAAAGTCTTACCTTTTGATAAAGATCTCCATGCTGATTGAGACAAAGCAAATGTGTTGATTGTTTTGAATAGAAATGGCTAACTTTGCCCCCATGTTGTTGTATTACCTATACAAATCAAGAAATTATAACACTACCTTAGAAATCCATTTCTCATAATTGTGTACATCAACATACAGTACATGTATCTTTGCCAAGGTCTAGTGCTATCTTTGATCAAAAATTTAGCTTCTCACTGCTTTAGGGTGTAAAGTGAACATGAAGGTTCATGACCTCAGAGCTACATGTATTAACATTCTGTTTATGAACAAGACTGAACTTTGGATTGAAAGTCTTGTGTTAACATTAAATTTTCTTCTCTGAAAATAACAAACATGGAGGAATCATTTTACCTCAATCCATGTATTAAGAATAGCATGTTCCATGCGGTCTGGATAATCTGCTATTACGAAAATACAGCCAGCCAAACAATTGGATTCTACAGGAAAACAGAAAAGCATAACAATCCTCCTGTACTTTGACAAATGAAACTTAACTGTCTTCCTCCAAGAAACAAATAAGAGCTTTTTTTAAAGTTCTTGAGATCAACACACAAGAAAATTGTACATAAAGGTGAATTAATAAATCATTTCCCTGAGATAAAATTGTATACATTTTAAGTACATGTAATGTAGAATGCTAAAGCAACGTTAATTTGCACTTCAGAATTTTTTGATGTAGATGTACCTGTAATTGTAATTTGTAATCACAACTCCCTTTGGAAAATCATACAAGTCATGCAGCTATATCCCAGCAGTTGTAAATGTTCATGCATCATACATACTCAGAGAAAAATATTTTAGCTCCTCTGCCCACAACTTTTCAAGTTCATATTGTAATTAATCTTTCACTCCCAAGATATCTGTAATTCTCCTTACAGTCTGCCATTCACTTAGCATGATGCTATTTTGGAGAATTATTAAATGGATCAACTAATAATCCTGTAATAGATATTTCTCTTTATTCTCATCACTTGTCTCCTCAATATGTCTTGATACTGTAAGGAGAAATTCTGTCTTGGTCACTCAGGGGAGTAAAAGGGTTAACATCTTACATGTACCTTCATTCTCTATTGACTTTCCTTCACTCAGTAAATTGCTTTGTTCTTTATTTTCTTTTTCATCCTCCACAATTTCCTCATTGTTATTTTCGACAATTTTAATGCCACTACTCAATACATCAGAAACAGGTTTTGGTTCTATATCTTCCTTTTCTTGTGGTGTAGTAGCGATGTTTTTGTCTGTAGTTTTCTCCACTTCTGCTGCAGAAACTGCTAAACTTGACTGACTTTGTAAAGTTGTTGTTTTGGTGTTTATGGCTTCAGAGGAAGTCATAACCACAGGAGACTCAGGACTCATCAGAGCTGACGGCAAGGAAATGGCCACCTTTGGACCATCCATTACTGGTGTAGAAGGAGTTGTTGGTTCAACCAGAGGAACAGTAATTGGTAAAGGTGTTGCAGTTGTTCTGTCGTTATCATCTGGTGTAAGAAGGGAGCTTGTTGCTTCAGTTTCTGGTTTGGTCTCTGCTTTTAAAGGTTTGTAATTCACTTCATCAAGCCTCTTCTTTGCCTTTATGCTGTCCACAATCCAGCTGGGAGTGACAATCTTAATGTGCTCAGGATGCTTCAAAGAACATTCGTATTTTGGCTAATAAGACAAAAAATGAATGGAAAAAAACCATGTTGATTCAAAAGCAGATTTAAAGCAATAAACAACTTCATAATCATATGCTTAGCTGCCAAGGAGTGAGGCTAAAGAAGACCTTGTTACAATAAAAACCTTGTGGCTTACTCTGTTACTGTGTTGAACTGCAGAGGGAAGTCACCTTGCTTAAAGGCTTGGCAACTACATGTAAGCATACAATTGTAAAATGGAGTCTTGCTAAATTTTCATTACAATCTAAATCAAAGTTCACTGTATCCCATGACCCATCCATACCATCATCCTTTTCCTACACGAGCTAGGATTTCCCACACTGCAGATCATCATCGTCTGCACTCCAACATGTCTGGTCTCAAAATTGCATATTATTTGACTATCCCCTGACCTTAAGATACAGTGTAGCTACTGCAACAACTTGTATTCAGACAGAAAATGAGAAAGTTTGGGATTCTTGGAAGAAGTGATGATTTTTATATACACTAACTTAACCTCATACAGTAAATAGTAATTAATGGAATTTGTTTTGTTAAAACTTTTTCTGCTGTGACTCATTCATGGAGTTAACTACATGTATCTCAAAAAAGTTGTTGCGATAAATCTTAGTATTACTCATGTAATACACCTAATGCACTAAAAAAGGTTTTTCTCTGAGCTAAGCCATGAAAACCCAAGACAGGACCTTGAATCTAAAAGTTCATATGTTACCACACTGATAGAGTACAATTTTGTTAAAACTTACACCTGATGGAAGAGGAATCACCAGATGAGTGCAGTTAGAGTTGAGATTCAGCTGGCATTGGCCTCCATAGTATGTTACCATGGCCCACAATGCATCTCTGTCATTTACTGGAATCTGTTGGAGAAATGAGGACATAATTACTTGTCAACATCTTACTCTTCCACCATTTATGTCACAGCAGAAAATGCTGAGAAAAATTTTGATTTTAGTTACACAGATTTAAAGTAAATGACAGCATTGCAGTACTGAGAACAAATTGGTAGATACAAAATGACAGTTAAGTTACATGTGTTTGAAAGCTGTTGACTAAGCCAAGAACATGTACGACTGGTTGTCCTTCATGTACATTACAACCAGACTAGCGTTTATGTGTACTTAAATCGTGTCTGACTCTCACCTGAGAAGGGCAAACAACAATCCCCCTGAAAAGTTGTTCTGATTCTGGTTGAAAGGCTCCACATCTTTTCTTATGTTAAGGAAAGCCACAAAAAATCATCCACAGAATATCTACTTAAACAATAAACTTCAAAATTAAAATCCTTTGCATCACACACTATGCTATGTAATCTCAAAAATTCCTTAACAAACAAGGTAAGTCTTGTACAAAATTTCTGATCTTATTTATGAATTACTCTGTAACACTTTAACTTACACACAAATTGAAGAAAAATGTATGCAGTTTCACTGGCTGACATCACCAATTCAACAATTTATATAGCTGTTTGAACAGCTTATTTTATTACCTCTATTCAAAACTTTGCTGTACCTTTCAAATGTGTGCAGCACCCATTTGAATTTTACCTGGTCAGTAGAAAATGCATTTGTTTGATTACAGCATTTTACAGTATATCAATGCAACAGAGGTTGCAAATATTGACAAGAAGTTTGAAAAGCTTTTACACCACTTTAATTTGATCATCACAAAAAGAAAAAACAAACAACATAAAATAACTATGATGTAATATATTGATGAGGTAGAATACTGTTGAAGAAAAATTTTATTTTTTGAAAGGATACGGCAACAGCATCTCACACCTTGCACTCAAAAAGACCCAATTTGGCTGCAAAAATTGAATTGTGTTGGATCATGTTTACAAGTACATCTTAAACATACTACCTCTACTACCTCTAGATTTTGTTTAACAATCAAGAGCTTCTTTAGTTGGTGATCATACAAATGTACAAAGTGTAATTTACATGTTTTTAGACATGTATGGAAATCTGGCCATTACCACATCACTGACATTTCTATAGCATGACTAGACCCGACACATTGCCACTTCTTCTTCTCTTAACACTTTAATCTCTAAGATCAGTAGGCATATTCTCCATACTGTTTTCTAAACATTTCCTATGGTATTGACAAGGAGATTTTGTTTAACAATCAAGAGCTTCTTTAGTTGGTGATCATTTCCTTTATTCAGCCTTAATGAGTGATTCAGGGGTGATATTGTATGGAGAAATTAGATGCTAGTCACTCTCACATGTAGGGGTTAAAGGGTTAAAAATTTAATGGGACTAAACTTGCAACAGGGAGAAGTTCACAGAGGCAAACTAAAGGTTACAACTTTATCAGCACTTATTCACTATTTCCATGAGAAATGAGCCCCAAATCTATCAAATTACCTTTTCCAAGGAAGGACAATCTATATCAGAGCATATGATAGATGGTGAAAATGGACATGAATTACTACTGCTTTCTTGGAATATTTTAGGTAGTAACACTGAGAGGAGGAAAAATCCTGATTTTGTTGGATCTTAGGAGAGAGATTTTTCCTTTTCATCTATACTTCTGCTATGGGACATCTCCTAACTATGGCAAAAACCTTCAACAATATTATAAAAACCAGAAGAAAAAAAAGCAAACAAGGATGTATATGCATGTGTACCTGAACAATTGTCAAGTTACAATCCTTGGCTTCACTATACTGAGGAAAATTGGTATCCGTGGAGATAACATGAGTCACAAGATCACTGATGTAAAACTCACGAGCTGCTCCGCCTGACTTCAAGACTTGTTTCACCTTCATTATAACAAGTAAAATACCGGGTACATCTTTGTTAGATCACAGATTAAATTGAACAGAAATCAATTCCTTTTTTTTTAATTTCAGTCTTAGTGGTCAATGAAGAGGTAAGGGGGGATTCCAAGCAGGTCAAAGGAGGAGTACTGGGAAGAAATTCATAGTTAGGATGTTAACCTTAACCCTCTACACCCTAACATCAGCATCCACCAAGAATTACACTGATGCATAACTAAATACCAGGGATAAAATTCCATTCAGGTTGTCAAAAGCCTACTCACTGACTACACTCTGTTTCAAGACCACTCTTGCCTGGAAAACCATTCTAATCGTGGCTCAGAGTCAAAATTTTGAATGACAGTAGTCTGTCCACTGGCTTAATGTGTAAAAAGGTAAATGTTGATTCACACAAGTAATGAAATTTTTGTTTGACTAAACAATGCTGACATTTCCAAAGGGAATAAGGAAAAACTGGTATGTTTCAATCAGATGATTATTTAGGTCTCCTGGCTTTGCTGCGAAGTGAGACGTAATCATTCAACCTCAAAGAATTTTCCACATGCATGTTTTTACTGATCTAGAGGTAGCAAAAACATACGATCGTGTAATTCTGCAAGAGAGTCATCGCCGTTTCAGCGTTGTTTGCGATTAATATTTTCTTCATTACATAGTCGATTTGTTAAGGTAAAGAATTAGTCAATGAAGTCACCGACATATCTCCGAGTCCCTCGCCTAACAACCCAGAGTGCTAAAATAATACTGTGCCCTCGTTTGATCTTAACAACCGAGCAGTTCAGCTTTTACGATCGTAATATTTTTATCCTGAAATACAGTAAAGATATATAATAGTGTTTTATGTTGTACTCCAATGTTATCTTCTGCAAAATTACGACGAATATATAAAAACACCTGGACAGAAGGCGTATTGTGTACACGTTGTTTGGCGTTGTTTACCTTCGAAATCAGTGAAGCCTAGTTTGAGTACCTACGATTACACCTCTCATCGCACTTAGTAAATCAGAACACACCTCTTCATTGCTTTCCTCAGCTAGGAAGAATCTGACGTCCTTGAAAATATCTTGCTTCTCCGTTTTTGAGGTCGATTCTGTGGCCATGTTCAAACTTGCTCGTCCGCCATATTGAAACTGATTTGGCAACTGACGACTGGCGGGAAAGAGGGTAGTGCCCAGTCACCTGATTTGCACTCTACGACAGAACACCCTTGGTTTACGAAGTAAGAGGTGGGTTGTAAATCGAGAGAAATAATGAGAGGAAAGGAAACTGCCTTGTAAAGATTATTTCCAAAGATTATTTAGACATCGCCACTCCCTTAAATTAGTTTTACCTTTTAACTATTGCTTGAGTCCTTTTTCAGGAAACGCTAGTTAACCATCCATTACGATTCTGAGACTAATAATGAGATCTTCAGGTCCATCTTTGTACAGCACATTCTTCGGTTGATCATGACCCTCTTCCAAAAACTTGAGTTTTGATCTCAGTCACTTTTCTTGAGAGCATCGCACCCTGTGTTTGTGAGGAAATAATGGACGACGATATGGTGAAATCTGGGGTATAGAAAGAAAAAATGAAAACAACAGCCACTGGAACCACCGCTTATATTGGGTCAAAGCGTTTTCCAAAATAATCTTCAATGGGCTTTTGAAAGCAGAGAAAAGAAAACTCTAAGGAGCTTTAGGTCGGAGAGAGTAGGAGGGGAGTCCTCTTAAAGGAAAAAGGGTAAGATTCAGGATTATGGAAAGTTGACTCAAGCTACTCTGTATGAGAGCTGGGAGCTAAGAGTTTTGATTGTCACATCGTAAATTACCTTAAAATATGTTTATAGCTTTTCTGTAAGCTCAGAAGCGATACAATTTGTGTACTATCCAGGGCTGAGAGAAAGAGGGTTTGGACCGAATCCTCTGTTTTGGCTGATAGAACTTTTTGTTCATGATCAGAGGTCAAAACGTAGGAAGATTACATAAAGAGAAAAAATAAGATAACCTAACCGAGTTCTGCAGCCGCTGTGTCCTGGGAACTAGTTCGAGTTCTTTGAAATCATTAGAGGAAATTTGAATAACTCTACGTCGTGCATTGTGCTTCTAAACTTCATTCGCTTGATGTTTTTCCGTCGGCCAGTTCTCTTTTTTTCTAAAATATAAGTTGTAATCACGATTAGAATCGTATAAAAACGGTATTCAAGCGACCAGTGACGGAAAAAAAGCAGAATTCACGCCGGTACACGAACTTTGCTGTAAGGAGACACTTTAGGAGCTCGACTCAGGGTAATCTATCACTTTTACTTTCCAGTTTTATTTCACAGTAAAAATATACGTATTCACTTAACTGCTTGTGATGAGAAACATGTACAGATTTGTTACAATGGTAGATCTATGTCATAAGAATCCTCAAACAGTTTGACCATAAGTGCAGTGGGGGATATGTTTTTGTTTCCGTTTATAATTTTGTGCAGGTGGGTACGCCGCCATGATTTCTCGGAAAAGGAGCGAGATGAAACACTTTGCTATCATTCAACCGACTATCGCGTTATATTAAAGCCAATCCTCAAATCAAATTTTAAATTTAAGATTTTAAGTAGGATAGTTCAAATTAAGTTGACGCCTAACCACTCGACCTTGTAGCTTGAAGAAGAAGAAGATCGCAACGTCACGTTGCCCATCGGATCATGTTATTGTATTGTGAGACAAACAATGTATTTTTGTGATTCACCTAGATGAACAGCCGCAGTCTTATTCAATGTGTCAGTTCTTGGTTATTTCTTATCTGTTCTAAATGTTACGAAATATAATAAATCCGCTTTGCAGTGTATCTCATACTTCTGATACACCTCCAATTCGCGTGAAAGACTCACATGGTCTCATAACAAAACACTGCATTATTTATTCCATTCTGTGGTGGACGACTTCTGATCTTAAAATTTGTGTCAAGGGTTTGGCCTTTGAGGGTAATTAAAATACAAAGCGAGAAGAATGCACCTAAATTAAAGGTGATAAATACTGTTTTCTCAGAAAGAGGACATCGGCGTAATTACATGTTTAATTTATTGCAAACATTGCGGAACAAAAACATATTGTGGGCGTAAAATATATATAGATTGTAATTCTACCATAAGTAATGGTAAAAAGACTTCCTATCGTCCAATTCGGTCTGCAATCATACGGGTAATAACAAAATCGGATCGCTGTCTGTTTGTCACGAGTATGACTACAGACCGAATCGAGCGACGCAAAGTCTTATTATCAATTAATAATAAAAATTACAATTTTCGAGAGAAGAAAAGAAGCCAAGTCTTTTTAAAGTTTTATTTAGTTGATTTAAATAACAACTTTGAATGTGATTGGCTTACTGAACTGTTCTATAACAACTTTACAAGTGAATTAGTGGAAAATAGGAGTTTTTTAAACCAGTCAAAATCGAAGAAATTGTAATTTTTATGATTAGTTCGCGAACTTACCGCAAATGTTCGAAAAGAAGTGATTATAATAATGTAATATTCAAGTTGAAGTAGCGTGAGTTATGGAAGACTTGTAAGGAAGATGATGCAAGCCCCAGAGCATGGAATTGCTGAAAGCTGGTTATTGTTCTCGTTATTTTTGTAGCTTTGAAATTACTGACGACCAGTAGTGTCAAAATGAAGTTTCATCCGTCCATGGGAAAATACAAGTAGAACCTGTGTCAAATTCTTGAATATTTAAAACACTCTCCACTTTCTCAAATTGTACCCAGTAATCTCCTCTTCGACATTTTCAGGATCACTGTCTGCTTGTCGACTTCTTTGTTCTCGCTCGTTTCACCTTCAGACGAGACCGAACTGACTTTTTGCGCAGATATCTTTGGCTGTCGCTGGTAAATCATCTCTAACGTTTACATATAATTAACCACAAGCTTTTATTGTATCTGGTGGCTTCCAAAGAAGCCGTCATATTTATTTGAGTTTCGTTGTTGTGCTCAAAGTTAATCTGTTAAGCTAGTGGCGTGATCTTTCTGCGTTCATGAAGCAGTCTTCGAGTCGGTCACATATTTTTCGACTGTTTTCGTTTCAAAAAAGGTTCTTGAAGTGTAGCAATGTTTTCCTAGAAAATAGGCCATCAGGAAAAATATGTTCCCAAGTTAATTGAAGTAAAAATGAATATTTGATGTCGTAAACAGAATAAGGCAACAACAAATGGTCAGAAAAGACAAATTATCCTACAGCTAATGTAACTATCATCATCATCATTAGGTCGAGCTTGTTCGGTATTCCATGACACGCTTCCTCCACCTTTCTCTGTCTTCCATTGCAATTGGTAGATCTTTAATTCTGCATCCTGTGTCATCCATCAGTTGGTCAATGCAGGTCTTTTTCGGGCGTCCTCTCGGCTGATGTCCATGTGTTGGCTTCCAGAGTAATACATCCCCTGCTAGTTCTTCTTTACTGCGCCAACAATGTCCTGCGAATTTCATCCTTTGTTGCTGTAGCGACTTACTGATTGGCGGGATGTGACCGTAGAGCCCTACATTTGTGGGGTGGTCCTTCCATGATCTGTTTAAGGCAGTGCGTAGCATTCTAGTGTATGCTCAATCGATTTTCTTTTCCAGATGTGTTGTTAAGGTCCAGGAGACTGAACCATATAAAAGGACGGTTTCCACTGCTGCTCGAAAGAAGTTTCTCTTCAGGTTGTCTGGGAGGTTTAATTTCCATATCTTGTTAAGTTCATTTAGAGCATCCCACGCCTTTCCTAGTCTGATGTTAACATCATGTTCGGCAGAGGCGATGTAGCTTCCCAGGTATTTAAAATCTTCCACTTGCTTTATCTTCTCACCATTGAGACTCTTCATCCCCTTCTGACGCATCTTGATTGAAGCAGATGAACTCTGTTTTATCTGCATTGAGGTAGAGCCCTATCTCCTTTGCTGTTCTTTCAATGCTGTGCAGCAGGAATGTAGCATCTTTTAGGACGTAAGCCAGCACTGCTGAGTCGTCAGCATAGTCTGCATCTAAAAAAAGGTAAAAGAAGGTAAAAAAAAGAAAAAAAAGGTAAAAAATAAAGGTAAAGAAAAAAGGTACAAGGAGCATATCGTCAAAAACGAAAGAAAATACAAAATTTTATGAAAGGAAAATTTATATGTACAATATCATCCATTGCGTGGCTGATAAGTGTACATCTGCTTTACACAAAGCGTTAACTATGATCACAGGAGGTAACCATTTCTGAGAAATTGTATTTTCCTTTGAATTGATAACGATTGCCGCTGTGGAAAGCTAGGAAATGTTGCTACTCGATTGACTAATATTTATATCTAGCTTTTGCATTCAGATTTTGTGGGCTTTTTTTCTTTCAGTCGGGTATTGTATATCTCTGTCATTTCCTCAAGCTTTCCTTCCCCACTACTCAATAATCAGTTTCTGTGAAATTTTGAAAAAAAAAATGGATTGCTTTAAGATTCATAATTTGCTTTGCGCCTCCATCGATTCAATTTTACTTGGGGGAACTGGACACGTTTCTCCCTTTTTGTGTTTAGTGTTTAAAGCAGTGGATATAGCTCGTGAAAAGAAAGCTCGTCATTGGGAATCGGCATATACATTCAGTGAAAGAGGACGATAACCATGGCGGTAAGCGTTCAGTTGTTGCAATTAATGTACACAGAGAAAAAAAGTAACCTTGATAACTGCAGTTGAGATAACACTTTTTCCACAAATGACACGTGCTAATTTTTCAAGAGACTGTATCTGTAATGGTGTATGTATCCCTCACTCAGTCACACTGAAGGCACCTTCTTTCGCGCAAGTCTAACGAAAGGAAACTAGTTAGCGAAGTGCTAACATTAGGAGCGATGTACCTTGGAAATAGTGTTTCCATTGTTCGTATTTGTTGTTTATCAGTTGCATATGTGATAATTTTGAACAGCTTGAACCATGAAAAAAATGTTCGTACAGTGGCGAATACGAAAGGATGAGCAGAAACCTTCCTGCAGCAGTATTGCATTTTTGATCAATCAGGAGACAGTTCTCTTTCAGCTCTCTAGTTTAGTCTGTTTGCCGGCTTTCTTTACCTTTTATCGCTATTTTGATTTGCAGTCATGGAGTGAATACCAGACTGAAAGTGAAGAAGAAGCTTTAGCCAAGGCAATGGAACTTTCGCTTATGGAAGATAAAAAATCGTCAAGAAAAGCGGTAAGTACAACTGTTGAACATGCAGTATTACTTCCACATTATTTTATAGGCCAAAGTTCACTCTACCATCTTTGGGGTTGTTCCCTGCATTTTGTGAAATGGCGCAAAGTTAACTGTTATAGGAAAGATGTGCCGGAGTTATTTACCTAAACGAATGTCAAATTTTTACTGACCAGCCTAACTGAGGTTTTGCTGTTGCAAAACTTGATGTTTAGGGGTATTGGCCGAATTGATCATTAGGGCTATCCTTATCCACGGTCTTATTTAAAACTGCATAAGGAGAAACACCATTTCTCATACTGAGGGGGCCGGAGTGCAGATGGATTAAGGCTCCCCTAGGTATATCACCGCCTTAAATTTATTTATTTTTAATCGATCTTTGAGTCTTGAGTTACCAAAGGCTGTTGAGGTTTAGAGGGATAATACTCGTGTGGCTGTGTTTGTGTTGACAGGAGTTCCCGATTCACATCGGTGAAGAGACATCAGATGGCAGACTATCATCGAGAGAAGCCCCCTCGCCATCATCCTCTACTTATCACAGACAAGGCTGTAAGCTCAGAGGCGATACAATTTATCTGCTTTCCAGGGCTGAGTGAAAGAGGGTTGAAACTGAATCCTCTGTTTTGGTTTTTATCTTTCGGTTTCATTTCACAATAAAAAAAATACGAATTTACTCAACTGCTTGTGATTGGAAACATGTTCAAAGTTGTTGCAATGATAGATCTATGTCATAAGAATCGTAAAACAGTTTGAACAAAAGTGCAGTGGAGGATATGTTTTTGTTTCCAAATGATTACAGACCGGACGATACAAAGTCTTATGACCAATTAATTATAAAAATTGCAATTTCCGAGAAAAGAGGAGTAGCCAATTTTATTTGGTTGATTTAAACTACATCTTTGAATGTGACTGGTTGATTTAAAATACAAATTTGAATGTGATTGGTTGAGTTAAACTACAACTTTGAATGTGATTCGCCTATCGAACTGTCCGATAACAAATTGAATCTGGTGACTTCTATAGAAGTCGTTAACTTTATTTGAGTTTCGTTGTTGTGCTCATTGTTTCCCGAGCCACTCGCTGCTACACTAGTACTAGCGAATTTCTCAAGAGAAAAGGAATTTCATGCTGTAGATACCATGTAATTTGATCTCCGCTATTTAAAAGTCGTTTGAAATAAGTATGACGCTGACCGCGTGTTAAAAATTCCATATGGTAGCCCAAAGTTCGACACTTGAAACTAATTTGAGTGTGGGTTCAGACCATCAAGTTTCCCCTGTATTTCGACTAACTCAATTTTGTGTTCAATGTATTCTTGAATAATTTAATGTTTCTAGTTTTCTGTCTTTAGTGTATAGCAGAGGAGAGAGTTTGGTATCGGGAGTTGATCCTCACAGTGGCCTTGGTCAAAAAATGGCGGTAGGCTTGAAATGGCTATAATTTGTTTCATTTGAAGAAATTTTTGCTTGTGGCAGAAAAAAAATATCTGGAATTTCAAAAAGCAGTTTAAAATCTCTAGTAAGGCAAAGCGATATGGGAATTTTATGAAGGGGTTGTGTCTTTGTGATCCCTCAGTGTGGTTGACTGGTAATGAAAGCTACAAAACCAATAGTTGTTAGTTCTTACGTGTGCTGAAAGAATGAACATCAAGCCATCCTCAGTCTTCCGGCATTCTTAGCGTCACAAGAAGCAGTCTTGGCGTTATGATATATGTGTCTCGTTCAGTTGATTATCATCAGTTTCTTTTTTGGTATGATCCAGCTATTTTCAACGTCAGCCGTTTATTTGTATATCCTTTTTCGATGTTTGATAAAATGTCGTGGACAGGAATACCTGAGAAATAAGTTTATTTATATTGAATTGTTTACGCTTTGTTCCTACTGACAGGAATTCCAGAAAGAGAGCGGTGAACTGAGAACAGGTAGGGCACCTTTATCGCCCCGACATAGCTCGTCATTGTCACAGTCACGTGGAAGGAAGACCCAGCAAATGCAAAGGGATCCCACAAGTATTCAAAGTAATTTTATCAGCTTGATTTTATTGAGAACTATGTTTACCAAAACTGGTTAGGTTGACAGTTACTATCATATTCTAAACTAGATGGAAGCTTTTATTGTGGTGGAAATCTTCGGGTAACCTGTGCAAACCAGTTAAAGTTTTTCTTCACACTAAAAGTCTAAGTGTGCGGACTGGAATTGAATCGTTGCAATATTGCCCTCTGTCACAGTGACAGTTAAAAGTCAATTTTCCTCTCATCATTCTGAGATGTGGGCATGAATTTTTCCCTAACTTTTAAAAATTAACTTTATGTCCCAGCCGTAATTTTTATGAAAATGCATTCAGTCATGTCATGGCAATTGATTGTACAGTAGGTTAGCAACACATTCCAATGGCGAGACAAACTAACTTTCTTCATTCCCTAGGGGCTGTTTCTCAGAGGACTGGTGATAAAACTGCAAGAGCGATCCCTCTCTGTCTTCCTAACAATTATCAGTGGGATTCTAAGGCTCGTCAATGTGTTAAAACCAATGAAATTCGTTCTTCATTGTGTGTAGTTGAAGAGGCACTTGAGGAGCTGAGGACAGTCAAAGGTATAGGCCTATGCTTTGTCCTGAGAACAGGAAATAAAAAATTATGTGTAGTAGATTTCCAGTTCAGATACACTGTTGTCATGCGTAATAATGAAATAAATGATGGCCAGTGTCATGTAGACGACTTTCACAACTTTGTGGCCTAACTAGTGCTATCCTTCCATGTGAATGTAAGCCAGGCCAGGCCTCGTCACTATGAATGGAATGAATTTAGTACAAGTTTAAATTAAGACTCAAGGGGCTTACTCAAATGAAAGAGGTTTATTTTATTAAGTAAAGTAATACTGTAAGCTCAGTAGGTCGCTAGTTCTTTAAAAAATCAATCACAAAACCTCACGACTAAACGAAAAAATGAAAAAAAAAAAAAACCAGAGAAAGGAAAGGAAAAGGAGAAAATACGCAAAAACTGTTCAGAGGTTTACCATTGACTTGCATGAAGACTTAAAGCGAATCAGGCCGCGCCCTATTTGAATTTTTAAGGGAACAATTTCACTGTTATGACAGAAAGTCTAGAAAAAAAAGTTGAAACAAGAGCTACCATGTGCGTGTCTGTATATTGTTTATTTCACTTCAATCTGAATTTGAAGCCTAATGTGGTATAGTAAGTTTTGATAGACGGCAATCAAATTAATCTTTTCACCTTGCTCTGTATAACAGGCCCAGTGTGCACCGTTGCTGTCGCTGGTCCTTTACGGAAAGGAAAGTCTTACATTTTGAGTGAGGCTTTTGATCAACCAGGGGTATTCCCTCTTGGACACGAATTTGATCCGGAGACCATGGGAATCTGGATGTGGATCGTGCCAGAGAAATATAAGGTGCGAAACTTAGAATTGAGAAATTTATTTACTATAAGCCACAGTATATAAGAGATCGAATATCCTGTACTGTATATCAAATGAAGTGACTCACAAGTCTATTTTGCTTGAATACGAGTCATAGTTTTCCTTGTAAGCACCCTTGATGTTCATAAGGTGGAAGATCAGACGTTTTAAGAGGTTTTTTTTATCTGCAATGATAACAATTAGCATTCAGCGCGTATTAGCAAAGCTGTTATCTTTTTCTCGTGACTGTGTGCACGATAAACCTGTTGAAAAGTCCGAAAGCTCTGAAACATTAAAGAGTGCTACAGATTAAGGTGATATATGGCATCACTCCCTTTCTCTCCTTTTTTAGAATTGATATACAACTGTTCTCGATAGAAATGTGGAGTGAAAGTGATATCTAAAATACTTTAAATCTGATTTAAAGTATTTTAGATATCACTTTCACCCCACGAGAACAGTTGTTTCAGCTCTGTGTTTTATTACTCATTGTTACACTCGATGGTTCCGCTAGCGTGTTTCAAATATCAAAAATGGGCAAAATGAATGACTGCATTTTTCGGTTGCGTCACGGTAAAATTTTACCCGATCCTCCTATAAGGCTATGTGATATTCTCATGACCCTCTTCATCTTAAATGGCTGTAAATATTCTATATGCTCCCTTTATACTCATTTGGTGACTACTGATCCTCAATCCGTTCCCACTGAAAACCGTGTGATACCTAAAAATTCAGCACCCATTCCCCGTAGTGAATAGTGACTGGTCTCTTACCTGATTTAGGATTTAAATGGCCAGGAAGTCACAGTGGTGCTGTTGGATTCAGAGGGTGTTGACGCTGCTTTCAGTGAAGGTCGTGACGACAATCAGATATTTACTTTAACCGTTCTGTTGGCTTCCGTGCTCATTTATAACTCAAGTGGTGTTCCCACAAGGAGTGATCTCGATAGTCTGCAGTATCCTTACCATATCAAGCATACTAGTTTGTTGTAACATGGCCTCAACGGTTCCTATTAGTATGCGCTCTTCACGGTCCTTTTTTCTCTCGTCCATAACCTAAGGATCAATGGGTGTTAATAAATACATGGTAATCCTGTTAGCGAAAGAATTGTTAACAGTGCACGATTCATGGAAGCACGGGTTCGGATCTTGAATTGTTTTCAGGTTTCCTTTCAGCAATTGTTTTAATGGAAGCTTATTTGCCAAGACTGTTTTTCACTCTGCATATCAAATGATATCATAAATTTCGATTCATTACATGAATAATAGAGGAATAATAATAAAGGAATACTTGACGCAAGACGAAACGTAGAGATGAAGAGATTGAAAGGTGAAAATGTTCAAATTATGATTTGGGCTCTTTACGGATTACGACAAATAAAATATGACTTTGATTACTTCAGTCCCAATCAATACTCCTGGATTTTCTTTAAAGTCAATTTAGCTTTATCTCAAAGCTGTCTGAACGAATCCATGCAAGATCTAACTGGAAAGAGACTGATAAGAAAAAAGAAGAAGAGTTCTTACACAGAACGTTTCCTTTCTTTATTTGGTTGCTGAGAGATGTAGCGCTCTCCATTCCACGCGACTGTAGAGACATCAAGGATTACTTCTTGAAAAAGGTTAAAATCCAAAACAAGGTCAAGACGCCGTCTCAAAAGGTCGCAAATGGAGGGGGATACTAAAGCCAAATAAATGATTTTTTACACAGGTCTTCCGTCAGGACGCTTCCCGAAGTAGGAGTGAAAATGGTGATTATGTACCAGATGTAGCCGAGGACATCTTGAGGTTCTTTCCTGGTTTTGAAGCGTTTGCCCTATCCCCTCCCTCAACTGATCTAAATGTGTTAAAAAATCTTAACACGAAGAAGGATCAATTACAGCCTCAATTTTTGAGTGAATTAGAGCAGATTAAGAAAAGGATAAAGTCCATGCTGGTCCCAAAACACAGCTGCACTGAAGGAGAGCTTATAACTGGGGAAGGTACGTGCTTTCGCCTTAACCCAAATTCTTTTGGTGCCAATAATACCCATTCCTATCCTACCATTACTCCCTTTCACGACGTTATGTAATAATTTAAGAAAAAACCTTGTCAGATTGTGCAAACTTAAAGGAGCATCTCATTACTGAATGCTGAGTACTAAATGTTTTTCATTGCATAGGTCTTGCCGCCCTGATCACCCCATACGTTTATGCCATCAACACTCCTGGTGTTGTTCCAAATGTACAGGACGAGTGGGATCTGCTTGTACAAAACAAGTGCTCAGACACCAGAAAGAAATGTCAACAGAAATATAACGAGCTTATGGCCTTAAAAGCCCTACAACTGCCATGTGATAATGCTGAGATACGTTGGTGTCACAACTCCGCAATGGAGAAAGCTGAAGAACTGTTCAAGGCGGAAATGTCTGGCATTTCAATTACCACGGTGGAGAAGCATCTGAGGCAACTGAAGGTGACACTCTTAAGCAGTAGCTAAGATACTCATTTTCAAAGGCCATTTCTTTTGCGTTCTCCACAAAGATGGTCCGTAAGTCTCTGCCTTGAAAGGCTGTTTCCAACAGTAAAATCGTTGCTGAAGGTAGCAAGCTGATACAACATCAGTAATTGATAGTTTAGGCAAAGGGACTAGTCTAATGTCATCAGCCGCAGGGACTCGTTGTAGAGACTTTTCTGGCAACCAGTGCTTTTATTCTCCTAGTAAGCCGATGGTGAATTCATCATTCACTCGTTAAAGAAAGCAAGATATTAATTTTGTTCAAAAGAAAGAGCTATCCTCTAAGTTTCTTCGCAATTTAATCTCTTTTAGGTTGGTTGATGATATTATCTTCGATTGAATTCTTTTTTCTTTCTATAAATTTCATTTTTAGAGTTTTTTCGAGAAAAGGTTGAACGAATTGAAGACTAAGAATTCAAGGTTAACAAGACAATTTTGTGATGATCTCCTGTTACAACTAAAAACAAAACACCTAGATCCGGTCATTGAACAGCTTCAAGGAAGAGAAGATTCGAAATTATCATTCGATGACATCTTGAGCGTTTACAGGCATATCAAAGATGACTATGAGGCAGAATCAAGGGGTGCTAAAGATGCCATTGCTGAGGCGTTCTCCGACTTTCATCGCGTAAGACGTCATAATTGTATTCTGATCGTTCTCCATATATTTAAGATTGATCCTGAGTTTATATGTTAAACAGAGAAATTTCCTCTGGTCACCAGTTATTTTCAAATGGATGGGCTTGACAAATGATGTCCTGAACATGTTTGGCTTGTGATTAAAATTCCTTAGAAATTCTCACGATAATTCCATACTTACAGATACTAGCTGAGGATGCAAAACACAACCGTGATAAGCTGAAACAACTGAAAGATTTTGACCAAAGAGCTGCTAAGGAAATAGTAGCAGAAGCTTTCATAGAGCGAAAAAGGAGACAGGTTGAGGTACGTTGTACACACACGTTTGTATTATGACATTGTCGTGGGAGAAAATTTGAAATGTAGCGGTGAAGGGGGTTGGATACATACATACAAAAGCGGTACGTTTCCATGACACTAAAATCTGAATAGGTACCAATCTTGCTTTTAAGTTTATTCTTGAGGTCTGCTGGTTTGCCTTGTCGTAGTGTATTCATGACTCGAAAGATAAGACATCCAAAACTGCCTACTTTGTGCTATGTTTTTCAGGAAGACAAAGCTGGTTTACTGCAAGAAAATCGAACAATGGAAAAGGAGGTATTCATCTTTGCTACATTTTCTGGTTCCCTTGTGGAAGATGGAAGAAAACAAACAATGTCACAACCTACAAAAAAAATGCACCCTCCCCATTTTCACTTTCAATTTTGGATAATAACAACACACCTTTTCCTCCCTAATGAAATAGTCTCACTTTATCTTTGCATAGTAATGAAGGGGTGAATTGCGCACAGAGCAAAGTTTTTCAACCCTTTTAAGTTAAGCTATATTTTTTTATTGTTGTTGTTGTTCTCGTTGTGCACTCAGAAATACGATAGTCTTTGTTTTTGTTCTGTTAAGACGCAGATGCTGATTGACAGATCAGAAAAAGAGAGAGCTGGAATGCAAGTGCAAAAGGAAGAAATGATGAAAAAGGAGCGCGAACAATTGCAGAATATGAAGCAGGCAGGCCTGGTAGATGCCCAGGAGCAAAGAGAAGCCTACGTCAAAGAAAACCAGGCCATTGGTGAGGAACACATGGAAATGATGAAGAGCATTTTAGAAATGATCGCTGCAAACCAAAGGGAGAACAAGCAGCTTCTTGAACAAATGAAGACACTTTCACCTGAAGAGTTCAAAGAGTCAGTGAAGGAGCTAGAAAGAAGGCAATCAGAAAGTGTAAATGCGCTCCTGATGAAAATGGAAGCTCGTGTGGGTGGCATAAAATCAAGCGGCGGGGAAGACTTTAACACCACAACAAAAGACGAAGAATGTGCTAAAAAGGAGGAGGATTTGCTAGGCATGATGACTTCGAGGGCACAAACCGCTGGGGATCTACACCAAAGGTTGGTAGAAAATGAAAGAGATCAAAGTGATCTCAGAACGGGTGAAATGTTGAAGAAAGTTCTCAAGTTCATCGAAGATGTTGCACCCGTGGTTGGCAAAGTAGCAGCTCTTCATCCAACATGTTCACCTTATGCTATGCCAGTGGCCTCAGCCGTGAAAAGCATCGCCCAAGCTATGCAGTCTCTTGACTGCAGTATCATGTAACTATTGTCTCTAGGAGATTTCTTTTGCGGAAACAGAACGTGGGCTAGAAGCTAAATGTTACGAAACTGTGTTTGGGGTTTCATTAAAGTAACCAGTGACCATTATATAGAATTTATAGGGAAGAGAACAGCAGTACGTTCTTTTAGGGTCTTGCAAAAAAAAAAAATTAATGAAGTAGATTGCGTCTTCTTTCCTGCAAAAACATAAATACATTAAGCCGTGTAACAGCTAACTTTGAGGGTAATCTGCAATCTTGGTATAAGTTCCAAGCGCACATTACTTTCATTCTTAAAAAAGTAGAATAAAAAGAAAAAAAAGTTTCGAAAACTCTTTGAATCTTTAAAATTCCAGCGTAGCTCTTCAACTCGTTAGTCTTTCATCTGTGCACTTATTTCATTTCTATGGGAAGGGAATCTTTTCTTTACCAGATATCTTTTTAGAAGGACTTTCAAATTCTCTCTATTATTTCCCTTGCCTGTTGAAGTTTAAATTCTATTTAGAGAGGAAACTTATGGCTGCCGGTTTGTCTGGCATCTGTGTCACAAACGGCTCTCAAAGTAGCAGATCTCGGCAAAAGCTTATGCAAAACCTCACGATACTCTGTTTCTCTTGGTGCTGAGATTATGAAAGACTGAAATGTCATGTTAAATCCACTAATCATTTTGCTTTTTCAAAATAATAAACCAACTCGATTAGCGTGACATGATTTCGTAGTTGACTTCCGCTATGCAGGCCGGTGTGTACTGGGTACGAAGTAAATATTTATTTCCTAAAAGAACTTGGAGTTCGGAATTCACATTCGGCTTTGTAAAGCTATACGAAGCGTTGGAACTCCATCTGTCGAATTGTTTGTTGTCTGGTGGTCGGTGACCTAGTTATAGTTAAAGTAAATACCTTTTCATCGACTCTACTTGAAGCACTCCTTGACTGCCGACTCAAACTGTTGCTAGTCACGGAACACGAACATCGTGACCACTGGACAAGTCGCTCGGCTCACGGTAAGGGAATTAGTACTGAATATGAGCTGTCTTTCAGTTTCTTTCCACTGACAAAAGGCGTTTACTTAAATGTGAGTGATAGCAAAGTGTACAAAGTAATTTTTGTGAAAGATTTCTGCCACAGAAGTCAAACAGGATAAAAATAACCGAGGAAAAGTGGGGTTTGATATTAGTTTATCAACAAGTATTTGAATCAGCCACGAATTCCGGGAAAAAGAGAAAATGGAATATTTTTATTACTTTCCAGCCTACCACAGTTAAATAAATATTAGTAAATAATCTGTTTCTGAAAGGTAACTTTGAGTTATCACTTTGCTTTCCTTCGCCGTAACAGATATGGAGAATCTATTTTCGCTTTCAATTTTCCTTCCGGTCTCTTCATTTCTTCGAGCGGTGGTTTGTTTGTTTGGTTGATCGGTATTATCCGTAGGCTCTGAATCGTCACTTATACAATGACAGGGTTCTTGGAACAACATCTCAAGAATTATTTTCTCTTACACTGACTTTTGATCTCAAAACTTGTCAAAGTGTGATGTTTATATGTATCCTATGGGTCAGAGACAAAGAATTAAGTATTAGGGAAAATTTGCATAACTCTGCGTGGGGTAATGTGCATCAAGACTTCATCTGTTTGAAGTTTTTGTGTCGGCCAGTGTTTTATTTTCTCAAATATAAGTTGTAATCACGATTAGAATCGTATAAAGAAGGTATTCAAGCGACCACTGACGGAGAAAAGCGGGGTTATCGCCGGTACAAGAACTTTGCCACTTCTTCGTCTCCATCCGCTCTCAAATTATACCCAGTAATCTCCTCTTCAACATTTTCAGGATCTCTGTCTACACGTCGACTCCTCTGTTTTTTTTTGGCTGTCGCATGTAAATCATCTCTAACGTTTAGTTAGCCATAGGCCATATATCTGGTGGCTTCCAAAGAAGCCGTCAACTCTATTTGAGTTTCGTTATTGTACTCAGAGTTGATCTGTTAAGCTTGTGGCGTGATCTTTCTGCGTTCATGAAGCAGTCTTAGAGTCGGTCACATGATTTGCCGAATTTTTCGCTTCAAAAAAGGTTCTTGAAGTGCAACAATGTTTTCCTAGAAATAGGCATCGGGAAAAAATATGTTCCCAATTCAGTTGAGGTAAAAATGAATATTTGATGTCGTAAACAGAGTATCGCAACAACTAATGGCCAGAAACGACAAATTATCCTACAGCTGATGTACCTAAAAAAGGTAAAAGAAGAATATCGTCAAAAACGAAAGAAAATACAAAATTTTACGAAAGGAAAAATTTATATGTACAATATCATCTATTACGTGGCTGATAGGTGTACATCTGCTTTACACAAAGTGTTAACTATGATCACAGGAGGTAACCATTTCTGAGAAATTGTATTTTCCTGTAAATTGATAACGATTGCTGTCGTTGAAAGCTAAGAAATGCTTCTACTCGATTGACTGATGTTTTTATCTAGCTTTTTCATTCAGGTTTTGTGGATCTTTTTTTTCAGCCGGTTATTGTATATTTCTGTCACTTCCTCAAGCTTTCCTTCACCACTACCTAATAGTCAATTTCTGTGAAATTTTAAAAAAAGAAATTTGATTGCTTTAAATACTGTTTTCAGCAAAAAGAGGGTATCGGCGTAATTACATGTTTAATTCACTGCAAACATCGACATCGCAAACAAATATCACGAGTATAATTACAGACCGAATCGGATGAAACGAAGTCTTATAACCAATTAATCATGAAAATTACAATTTCCGAGAAAAGAAGAGTAGCCAAGTTTTTCTTTCACATGCTATTTAGTTGATGTTAACCACAACTTTGAATGTGATTGACCGATTGAACTGTCCGATAACAACCTGTCCGATAACAAATTGCATCTAGTGGCTTCCAGAGAAGCCGTCAACGTTATTTGAGTTTCGTTGTTGTGCTCATGGTTTCCCGTGAAATGGTTCACAAACCGAGCCACTCGCCGCTTCACTCGCGAATTTCTCGAGACAAAGGGAACTTCATGCTGTAGATACCATGTGATTTGATCTCCGTTATTTAAGAGTCGTTTGAAATAAGTGGTTTGCTGACTGCGTTAAAATTCCATTGAGTAGCCCAACTTTCAACACTTTAAACTGATTTGATTAGGTTCAGACCATCAAGTTTCCACTGCTTTTCGACTGACTCAATTTTGTGTTTAATGCATTCTTGAATGATTAAACGTTTCTAATTTTCTGTCTTTAGTGTATAGCAGAGGAGAGAGTTTGGTATCGAGAGTTGATCCTCTCAGTGGCCTTGGTCAAAAAATGGCGGTAAGCTTGAACTGACTACAATTTGTTTCATTTGAAGAAATTTTTGCTTGTGGCAGAAAAACAATTTCTGTAATTTCAAAAAGCAGTTTCGAATCTCTAGTAAGGCATAGCGATATGGGAATTTTATGAAGCGGTTGTGTCTTTGTGATCCATCAGTGTGGTTGACTGGTAATGAAAGCTACAAAACCAATAGTTGTTAATTCTTACGTGTGCTGAAAGAATGAACATCAAACCTTCCTCAGTCTTCCGGCATTCTTAGCGTCACAAGAAGCAGTCTTGGTGTTATGATATATGTGTCTCGTTCAGTTAACTATCATCATTTTTTTTGTGTGTGTGTGATCCAGCTATTTTCAATTGCAACGTCGGCCATTTATTTGTATATCCTTTTTCGATGTTTGATAAAATGTCGTGGACAGAAATACCTGAGAAACAAGTTTCTTTATATTGAATTGTTTACGCTTTGTACCTACTGACAGGAATTCCAGAAAGAGAGCGGTGAACTGAGAACAGGTATGGCACCTTTATCGCCCCGACACTGCTTGTCCAGAGTTCAAAATAATTTTTCAGCTTTTAGCTTGGATTTGTAGGCTTTTGTCTGGGCTCTTTTTTTCCCCAGCTGTCAATAAGAAATTTGCGTGTATTGCTGAAACGGGACCCGTTGCCTTGCAATGACTAAAATCTTCCTGAATCAAAATTTACTCTTTCCCTTGAGAAACCTTTTCTTGTTTAAGAAAATATGTATGTATATGGTGTACATATAGTATACGTTAAATTGCTAAAATAATTTCAGCATTAGAATCTCTTGCTCAATTTTCCGTGTTTGTTCAAGCGTGAAATATACAACTTTGTTCGGACAAATTGTCGCGCTTCTCCATTCACGCTATAGGAAATTCGTACAGTCAAGTACTGACTTCTATTTGAACGAGCGAGAAGGCTTTGCAAACGACACTAAACAGGATTTGGCGGAGAATAAATCTTGACTAAAGGTAGTATGTACGTGCAGAGACACAAACACGGTAATGTGACGGTGTGGTCACAAACTTGCATGTTTCACGCTTGAGCTGAATACTGTGGACTAAAATACCCTCTGTTGTACGCTTCAAATTTCGAAACTTTATACTCATTTACGTTTCCAAAAAGCTTTTGAAACATTTCTTGGCTACTTTCCTGCCTGATATGAAATGTTCACCATAACATGACAGCGACTTTTACTTCAGTTGGAAGATCGATAAGCAAAATAATTTCTATAAAATTTTAGTTCTTCGGTGAAAAATCGCTAACAAGTGTGCTAAAAGTTCCGGCTGCCGGCGGCAGCCGACTGTTATTTTGAACCCTGCTTGTCATTGTCACAGTCATGTGGAAGGAAGACCCAGCAATTGCAAAGGGATCACACATGTATTCAATGTAACTTTATGTGCTTGATTTTATTAAAAACTATGTTTAGCAAAACCGGTTAGGTTAACACTTATTATCATATTATAAACTAGATGGAAGCCTGTGTAGTACCACGAATAGTTTTTTCTCACATTAAAAGTGTAAGTTTGCTGACTGGAATTGAATCGCTGGAATATTGCCCTCTGTCATAGTGACGGATGATAGTCAATTTTCCTTTCATCATTCTGAGATGTGGTGTATAAATTTTTTTCTTAACACTTATTAGTTAACTTTATGTCTCAGCTGTAATTTTTACGAAAATGCACGAAGTCAAGTCATGGCAATCGATTGTAGAGTAGGTTAGCAATACATTGCAACGGTGAGACAAACTGACTTTATTCATTCCTTAGGGGCTGTTTCGCAGAGGACTGGTGATAAAACTGCAAGAGCGATCCCTCTCTGTCTTCCTAACAATTATCAGTGGGATTCTAAGACTTGTCAATGCGTTAAAACCAATGAAGTTCGTTCTTCATTGTATGTAGTTGAAGAGGCACTTGAGGAGCTGAGGAAAGTCAAAGGTATAGGCCTATGCTTTGTCCTGAGAAACAGGAAATGAAAAATTCTGTGTGGTAGATATCCAGTTCAGATGCACTGTTGTCATGCGTAACAATGAAATAAATGATGGCCAGTGTAGACGATTTTCATAACTGTGTGGCCTAACTAGCGCTATCCTTCCATGTGCATGTAAGCCAGGCCTCGTCAACATGAATGGAATGAATTTAGTACCAGTTTAAATTGAGACTCAAGGGGCTTACTCAAATGAAAGAGGTCTATTCTATTAAGTAAAGTAATACTGTAAGCTCAGTAGGTCGCCAGTTCCTTAAAAAAATCAATCACAAAACCTCATGACTAAATGAAAATAAGAAAAAACAAACGAGAGAAAACGAAACGAAACGAAAGGACAAGGAGAAAATACGCAAAAACTGTTGCGAAGTTTATCATTGACTTGCATGAAGATTTGAAGCGCATCAGGCCGCTCTCTATTTGATGATTTAAGGGAACGATTTTACTGCAAAAAGAAGTTGAAACAAGAGCTACCATGTGCGTGTCTGTTTATTGTTTATTTCACTTCAGTGTGAATTTGAAGCCTAATCTGGTATAGTAATGGCAATCAAATTAAAGTTTTCACCTTCCTCTGTATAACAGGCCCAGTGTGCACCGTTGCTGTCTCTGGTCCTTTACGGAAAGGAAAGTCTTACATTTTGAGTGAGGCTTTTGATCAACCAGAGGTATTCCCTCTTGGACACGAATTTGATCCGGAGACCATGGGAATCTGGATATGGATCGTGCCAGAGAAATATAAGGTGTGAAACTTAGACTTTGGAAATTTATTCCATATAAGCCACAGTAATATTTCAAATTATTAAGTGATAGGAGATCGAATCTCCCATATTGTATGTCAAATGACGTGACTCAAGATTCTATTTTGCTTAAATACCGCTCATACGTTTGCTTGCAAGCGCCTTTGATATTAATAAGGAGGAAGTATCAGACGTTCTAAGGGGTTTTTGGGATCTGCAATGATGACAATTAGCATATGGCAAGTACTAGCATAGTTATTATCTTATTCTCGTGACTGTGTGCACGATAGACCTGTTGAAAAGCTAGAAAGCTTTGAAACGTTAAAGCGTGCCACAGATTAATGTGATATATGGCATCGCTCCCTCTCTTTTCCTTTCTTTAGAATTGATATACAGATGTGCTCAAAGAAAATGATATCTAAAAAACTTGAAATCTGATATTTGGCCCCTCCCCCTCGCCCCTGTGTTTTATCCCTCATTGTTACGCAAAACACTCGACGGTTCCGCTTGCGTGTTTCTGATAACAAAAACTAAATGAGCCTCATAGACTGGCACAAACAGTAGTATTTTCTTGAAATTGCCTAAGTGCAAAGTGTATGACAGCATTAGTGTACCGAGAACTCATGGACAGAGCACAGACTGAGTCCCAACGAGATTTTGGAACCGAGCCAGACTGGTCTTGATCTCTGAAGTTTCTATCATGATAGGAGACAAACATCCTGTGTGGTCGAAAGCGTTCTGCTGAACGAATGTGGGAAATATGGTAAATTTTGAGCTCAGTATTCTGACGCTTTCTAGACTTAAGGCACCGGTCATTACTTATCGCCTGAGGTGGGGGGGGGGGGGGGGAAGAAGGATTTTCATTGCCTTACCCGATCCCCCCATAAGGCTATGTGATATTCTCGACCCTCCACATTTTCAACTGCAGTAAATATTCTATATGCCCCCTTTATACTCATTTGGCAACTACTGATCCTCGATCCGTTCCCACTTAAAACCAAGTGATACCTAAAAATTCTTCACCCATCCCCAGGCCAAATAAATGAATAATGAATAGTGACTGGTCTCTTACCTTATTTAGGACTTAAGTGGCCAAGACGTCACAGTGGTGCTGTTGGATTCAGAGGGTGTTGACGCTGCTCTCAGTAAAGGTCGTGACGACTATCAGATATTTACTTTAACCGTTCTGTTGGCTTCCGTGCTTATTTATAACTCAAGTGGTGTTCCCACAAGGCGTGATCTCGATAGTTTGCAGTATCCTTACCATATCAATCACATTTTGTAACATGACCTCAACGGTTGCCAGTAGTGTGTACTCTTCACGGTCCTTTTTTCTCTCGTCCATAACGTAAGGATCAATGGTTGTTAACAAAAGCAAAAGAATTGGAAGCAAGTGCACGTGTTCGGATCCTGAATTTTTTTCAGGTTTCTTTTCAGCAATTGCTTTAATTGAAGCTTATTTGCGAAGACCGTTTTTTCACTCTTCATATCAAACGATATCATTAATTTCGATTCATTACGTGAATAATCGAGGAATAATAATAAAGGAATGCTCTTCCCAAGAAGAAACGTAGAGATGAAGAGATTGAAAGGTGAAAATGTTCAACATTTGATTTAGGCTCCTTACGGGTTACGACAAATAAAATATGACTTTGATTACTTTGGTCCCAATCAATACTTCTGGATTTTCTTTAATGTCGATTTAGCTTTATCTCTAAGCTGTCTGAACGAATCCATGCAAGATCTAACTGGAAAGAAACTGATAAGAAAAAAGAAGAAGAGTTCTTACACAGAACGTTTCCTTTCTTTATTTGGTTGCTGAGAGATGAAGTGCTCTCCATTCCACGCGACTGCAAAGACATCAAGGATTACTTCTTGAAAAAGGTTAGAATCCAAAACAAGGTCGAGACGCCGTCTCAAAAGGTCGCAAATGGAAGGGATACTAAAGCCAAATAAATGATTCTTTACACAGGTTTTCCGTCAGAATGCTCCCCGAAGTAGGAGTGATGTACCAGATGTAGCCGAGGGCATCTTGAAGTTCTTTCCTGGTTTTAATGCGTTTGCCCTATCCCCTCCTTCAACTGATCCAAATGTGTTAAACAATCCTAACACGAAAAAGGATCAATTACAGCCTCAATTTTTGAGTGAATTAGAGCAGTTTAAGAAGATGATAAAGTCCATGCTAGTCCCAAAACAAAGCAGCACTAAAGGAGAGCTTGTAACTGGAGAAGGTACTTGTTCTTGTTTATATTTTAGTTTTCTACTTTCTCAATCTCTTGCCCGCATAAACACAGGAAACTCAAACTCGAACGAAATCTGTCAATTGGCCTCCTTCTGTGGTATGTAAGCTCAAACGATACAGTGGAAAGTACGATTTTCTGAACATTTTCTTCTTCAACGTTCTTTTAAAATTGCTCAAAAAATACAAATTTAAGGTGAAGGAAATCTCACAAATTACTCCCTTTGGATGCAAAATGTTAAGCTTTCTTATTGGAACTTTTATGTAACATTAATAGGTGTAAGTCTATGGTGTGTCTGTTTGTACTCGAATGCAGCCACTGATAATACCTCTGAATATATATATTCTATCCTCTCGGTCTCAGTTCCTAATTTGCTTATACTTTTATGTTTTTTTTTTTTTAGCTTTCACTTTAAACCAAATTCCTTTGGTGCCAATACTACCCAATGCTATCTTACCTTTGCTTCCTTTCACGACGTTAAGACTGTAAATCTTGTCAGACTGTGCAAACTTAAAGGAGCATCACAGTACTGAATACTGAGAACTGAATACTGAGTACTAAGTGTTTGTTGTTTCATAGGTCTTGCCGCCCTGGTCACACATTACGTTTATCGTGCCATCAACACTCCTGATGTGGTTCCAAACGTTCAGGTCGCGTGGGATCTGTTTGTTAAAGACAAGTGTTCAGACACCATAAAGAAATGTCAACAGAAATATAACGAGCTTATGGACTTAAAACTGCCATGTGATAATGCTGAGATACATTTGTGTCACGAATCCGCAATGGAGGAAACTAAAGATCTGTTCATGGCGGAAATGTCTGGCATTTCAACAACCACAGTGGAGAAGCAACTGAGGGAACTGAAGGTGACACCCTTAAGCAGTAGCTAAGACACTGATTTTCGAAGGCCATTTATTTTGCCTTCTTCTTCACAAAGATGATCCATACTGTAAGTCTCTGCCTTGGGGAGACGGTTTCGAATAGTAAAATCATAGCTGAAGGGAGTAAGCTGATACAACATCAGTAATTGGTAGTATTCAAAGGGACTAGTCGCATGATATTAGCTGCAAGAACTTGTTGTAGAGACTTTTTGGTAATCAGTGTTTACTGACCATTCTAGGCTCTTTTGTTCTCCTGGTAAACCGATGGTGAATTGATACACTCATTAAAGGAAGCAAGATATTAATTTTGTTTGAAAGAAAGATTGATTAAAATTATCTTCGATTGAATTGGTTTTTTTTTCTTTCTATAAATTTCAATTTTAGAGTTTTTTCAAGAAACGGTTGAACGAATGGAAGACTGAGAATTCAAGGTTAACAAGACAATTCTGTGATGATCTTCTGTTACAACTAAAAACAAAACACCTAGATCCGGTCATTGAGCAGCTTCAAGGAAGAGAAGGTTTAGATTCATTCGATGACATGCTGCACGTTTATCGACAAATCAAAGATGACTACGAGGCAAGCGCATTGGGTGCTAAAGATGCCATTGCTGAGGCGTTCTCCGACTTTCATTCCGTAAGAAGTCCTTATCTTATTCTGATCGTTCTCCAGATATTTAAGATTGATCCCTAAGTTTATATGTTAAACATAGAAACTCCCATTGGTCACCAGTTACTCAGCACTGCTTCACCATCGTTACTTTCAAATGGATAAGCTTGAAAAATGATGTTCTGTACATGTTTGACCTATAATTAAAACTCCGTGGAAATTCTCACGATATTTCCATACTCTTTTACAGAAACTAGCTGCGGATACAAAACAATACCGTGATAAACTGAAACAACTGAAAGATTTTGACCAGAGAGCCGCGAGGGAAATAGCAGCAGCAGTTTTCATAGAGCGGGAAAGGATACGGCTTGAGGTACGTTGTGCACACACAAGAATGGAAATGTGGCTATTAAAAAAAAACTTCTTCGACAGATTATAGACTGAACGACATAAGAGACTGACATAACGGTAAGTTCGTCAATCTCGGTATTGGTGAAAGGTTTTGGAGTTAAGTTATCCACGTACAAATGCGGTACGTTTCCATGACACTTAAATCTGAATGGGTACCAATCATGCTTTTATGTTCATTCTGGAGGTATCCTGGTTTGCCTTTTCGTAGTTTATTCATGACTCGAACGATAAGGTATCCAAAGCTGCCTACTTTGTGTTATGTTTTTCAGGAAGTCAACGCTGGTTTGCAGCAGGAAAATCGAACAATGGAAAAGGAGGTATTCATCTTCGTTAGATTTCCTAGTTCCCTTGAGAAAGATGGAAGAAAACAATCGATGTCACAACCTACAAAATAACGCACGCTCCCAGTTTTCACTTTCAACTTTGGACAAAAACAATACACCTTTTTCTCCCTAATGAAATAGTCTCATTTCATTATTGCATAGTAATGAGGAGGGTTGAATTTTGCCAAGAGCAATGTTTTTCAACACTTTTGAGTTAAGCTAGATTGTTTCCTTTATTTGTTTTCGTTGTGCATTCAGAAAGACGATAGTCTTTGTTTCTGTTCTGTTAAGATGCAAATGCTGATTGCCAGATCAGAAAAGGAGAAAGCTGGGCTGCTATTGCTAAAGGAAGAAATGATGAAAAAGGAGCGCGAACAATCGCAGAATATGCAGCAGGCAGGCCTGATAGAAGCCCAGCAGCAAAGGGAAACCTACATCAAAGAAAACCAAGCCCTTGGCGAGCGGCTACTGGAGGTGCAAAATGAAAACGAGGAACAAATGAAAGTGATGAAGAGCATTTCAGAAATGATCGTTGTACACCAAAGGGAGAAAGAGCAGCTTCTTGATCAAATGGAGACACGTTCACCTGAAGAGTTAACAGATTCAATGAAGGAGCTAGAAAGAAGGCAATCAGAAGAAGTAAATGCACTCCTGATAAAGATGGAAGCTCGTGTGGGTGGCATCAAATCAAGCGGCGGAGAATACTTCAACACCACACTGAAAGACGACGAGGATCTGCCAGACATGATGACTTCGAGGGCACAAATCGCTCGGGATCTACACCAAAGGTTGGCAGAAAACGAAAGAAATCAAAGGGATCTTACAACGGGTGAAATCCTGAAGCAAGTCCTCAAGTTTATGGGAGATGTTGCACCAGTGGTTGGCAAAGTAGCAGCTCTTCATCCAACGTGTTCACCTTATGCTATGCCAGTGGCCTCAGCCGTGGTAAGCATTGCCGAAGCTGCGCAGTCTCTTGACTGCAGTATCATGTAACTATTATCTCCAAGAGATTTCTTGAATACGCTTGCAGAAACAGAACGTGGACTAGAAGTTAAATGATACGAAACTGTATTTGGGATTTCATTAAAGTAACCAGTGAAAATTATATAGGATTACAACTTTTTAGGGTTTTGCAAAAAAAAATAATGATTTTGATCAAGGATGACGATAACATGATGCCTAAATCGTGTCTTCAATTCTCATTTCGTCAATTCCTCTTTGTGCTGACTGCTGTTCTTGCCCTCCACCCCCCTTTCCCCTATTCCTACCCTAGGCCCCAGTTATTCGAGGGGTAGGTAACTCTCTCCACTAGATAAATCTCTTTCCGGTGGATAGTGCAGTAAGTTTTGTTAATTCTTATCCACTGGAAATCGTGACCGATTTATCAGTTGGATAGCGTTATCCACTCAGGTGTTTAAATAAGGTTAGATAAGACTCTGTAAGCTGAAGAAAAGTTCCTCTTGTGATTTGAAAAATGAGAAGAGGAATTATGCATATTTGCATTATGTATGAAAAATATTTTCTTAATAGACATTCTGAACAATCAAATCTCCTGCAGGTCAATGAAAACGCACATCTAGTAAGCTCATGAACTTGTCAAAATTCAAAAGGCCATAGAATATCAACACATGAAATTATCAAAATTTCTGTTGTAAAAGTCGTAATCTGGTTGGAATCTGTGGCAAGCCTTCAGCCTCGTTAAGAGCAGTTTCAGCTCTCAATCCTTGTAATGCTTGCTGAAAAAAAAATTATCTGCGTGGAATTTATTTGTGTATATTGGATAACCCTTCGATCAACTGGCGTTGAAGCGTTTGAGGGAAGTTCATTCTTGTGGCCTGTCTGCTGGGTCGGTGGGAATGTGTGTGCCTTCCATGCTCAGTGGGTTACTCTGATATAGCTCTGATTGGTCAATTGGCTGCCTTTCAAAACTTTTTTAAAAGAAAAAAAAAATATTATGGTTCCAAAAATTTGCCAAAAATTTTGCTTTATTATTGATTGTAATTTGACCAAATACTATTTGAACAACCAGTGAATTTCATCTTTTTACTATTTAGCACTAAGATAAAATGTTTAAGGTCTTAGGTTTTTATTTTTACTGAATGGAGTGTTTGTATGATCAGTTCTAAGTTAAAGATTCAAAATTCAGTATTATTCATTTATACTGAAAAGCACTGGAGCAGCTTCAATGAATGATTCTTTAATAAATAACTGTCAGATCAGTGAAAAAAAACCTGAGTCCTTTTGTAAATAAAAAAATGCCTTATTTAGTTATATTTAGGCTTTTTATGCTCACAAAGTTTGTTTTCAGGCCAGTAAACTGTACATTGTCTATGATATACATGTCTAATTTCACCTAACTTTGTATATTTACAAGCGTGACATTCTTCAAGCTGTCACAGTGGTTACCACTGATAAACTTTCATGATCATAAGCCTTCTTTCAACTCATGCTTTAGGCAGATTAAAATTTGAAAATTGATAATAAAATGCAAAACTGAAAAAGAAAAACATGTTTCTTTGGTCCTTCTTGGAAGATGATTCAACTTGTCAAGGCATTTGAAGCCATATTTGTTTATATTGTTTGTTGACACATTTGGCACTGCTGCAATCTGGGGCAGATCATGATAATATTTCGTGACAAAATATTATAGACATTGAAAGAGACGTTACCCCCAAACTACCGGTTTACGTAGAATAAGCCATTGTCGTATCAATTATTCGTTTCCCAATGCCCAACCGGCCTATCATTTTGAAAAAGCAAATGATTTGTGCAAACCTGCAGTGCATATCTCGATACAAGTATTTAGTGTTTCCTTTTTCGCTTTTTAGGTATATAAGTATATAACACCCAGATGTATGTGGTGACCCTACACAAATTTCGTCAACGCAATAATCGAATGTCTCAGATGAACTAGTTCATCTGAGACATTCGATGTTCTTATTTGAGTTTTAGGGAAAGCAGTATGCATACCTCCAACGTTAAAATGTGAGGAAAGCTTTCGAACTTCTACATTTGTTGTGTTCAGCCATCCAGTTGCAAGACTATCCGTAAGGTGCCTCTTTCTGTAGCACGTCAAAACAGTCCATGAGTGCTCCATAGCCTAGCTGGCAAAAAGCACAAGACATTGTCCTGGTAAAAGGATGCCAATATCGAGATGCATAGACTACAGAGACTAATATTTATCAACATCATAAACCAACTCGAGTTGCGTGACATGATTTAGTAAAAGACTTCCGTTTCACAGGCCGGTGTGTACTGGGTACGAGGTAAGTATTTATTTCCTAGAAAAACTTAGAGTTCGGAATTCACATACGACTTTGTAAAGCTATACGAAGCGTTGGAACTATATCTGTCGGATTGTTTGTTGTCCGGTGGTCGGTAACTTAGTCATAGTTAAAGTAAATACCTTTTAATCGACTCCACTTGAAGCTGTCCCTGACTGCCTACGCAAAGTATCGCTAGTCACAGAACACGAACATCGTAACCATTGGAGAGTCGCTCGATTCACGGTAAGGGAACCAGTGCTGAATATGAGCTGTCTTTCAGTTTCTTTACACCGACAAAAAGCGTTTACTTAAATGTGAGTGATAGCAAAGTGCACAAAGTAATTTTTGTGAAAGCTTTCTGCCACAGAAGTCAAACAGGATAAAAATAACCGAGGAAAAGTGGGTTAGATATTGATTTATCAAGAAGTATTTGAATCAGGCACGAATTCCGGGAAAAAGACGAAATGGAATACTTTTATTGCTATACAGCTTACTACAGTGCTATTTTAAAGTAAATAATCTGTTGCTGAAAGGTAACTTTGAGTTATCACTTATCTTTCCAACGCCGTAAAAGAAATGGCGAATCTACTTTTGCTTTCAATTTTCCTTCCGGTCTCTTCATTTCTTCGGGCGGTTGTTTGTTTGTTTGAGTTGATCGGTATTCTCCGTAGGCTGAATCGTCACATATACCATGACAGGGTTCTTGGAACAACACCTCAAGAATTATTTTCTCTAAAACTGAGTTTTGATCTCAAAACTTGTCAATCCTCGAGGCCGTGCCACAAGTGTTCGTGTTTGTCAGGAGATCGATTGAACAGCAGTTTCTTATTGCGTTATGGTAAATATTATACCAGACTGTGCCACAAGAAAGAACCTCGAATGACTTTCAGCTGAAAGTGTGATGTTTATATGTAATCCTACAGGTTGGAGACAAAGAAATTACAATTTTATATCTTTTAATTTTTTTCAGAATTTTTCTTAGAACTTTCAGAGTTAATCTGTTAAACTAGCAGCGTGACTCTTTCTGCGTTAATGAAGCAGCCTTAGAGTCGGTCACATATTTGCCAAATGTTATCGTTTCCAAAAAGCTTCTTGAAGTTAGCAGTATTTTCCTACGTATAGGCCAAAAAATTCGGGAAAAATATATTTCCAATTTAATTGAGATAAAAATTCATTTGATGTCGTAAACAGAGTAACGCAACAACTAGTGGCCAGAAACGACAAAAATATCCTACAGCTGATGTACCCAGAAAAAGGTAAAAGAAGCATATCGTCAATAACGAAATAAAATACAAGATATGATGATAGGAAAATTTATATGTACAAGATCATCCATTGCGTGGCTGATAAGTGTACATCTGCTTTACACAAAGCGTTAACTTTGATCACAGGAGGTAAACATTTCTGAGAATTTGTATTTTCCTGTGAATTGATAACGATTGCTGTCGTTGAAAGCTAAGAAATGCTGCTACTCGATTGACTGATGTTTTTATCTAGCTTTTTCACTCAGATTTTGTGGATTTTCTTTTCAGCCGGGTATTTTACATCTCTATCAGTACCTCAAGTTTTCCTTCCCCACTATTTGATAATCAAGTTCTGTGAAATTAAAAAAAAAAAAAATTGGATTGCGTTAAGATTCATAATTTGCCTTACGCTTCGATCAATTCAATTTTACTTGGGGGAACTGGACGCGTTTCTCCTTTTTTGTGTTTAGTGTTTAAAGCAGTGGAGATAGTTCGCGAAAAGAAAGCTCGTCAAAGAAGTGAAAGGGGAAGATAAAGATGGCGGTAAGCGTTCATTTGTTGCAATTAATGTATACACAGAAAAAAATTAACTTTGATAAGTGCAGTGGAGCAAACACTTTTGGCCACAAATGACACAAGCTAATTTTTCAAAAGACTGTATCTGTAATGGTGTATGTCACACTGAAGGCAACTTCTTTCAGTGTTGTCTTTCGCGTAAGTCTGACGAAAAGAAATATTATTAGTTAGCGATGTGCCTCGGAAATAGTGTTTCCACTGTTCGTATATGTTCTTTATCAGTTGCATATGTGATAATTTTGAATAGCTTGAACTATGACAACATGATCGTAATTGGCAAATGCGAAAGAATGAGCGGAAACCCTCCTGCAGCAGTATTGCATTTTTGGTCAATCACGAGACAGTCATCTTTCATGATGAAAGGTGACTATTTAGTTAGCTTGCCGGCTTTTCTTTATCTGTTATCGCTATTTTGATCTGCAGTCATGGAGTGCATACCAGACTGAAAGTGAAGAAGAAGCTTTAGCCAAGGCAATGCAACTTTCGCTTATGGAAGATGAAAAATCGTCAAGAAAAGCGGTGAGTACAACTGTTGAACATGCAATATTATTCCACATTATTTTATAGGCCAAAGTTCATTCTACCATCTTTAATGGTTGTTCCCTGCATTTTTTCAAATGACGCAAAGTTAGTTGTTATTGGAAAGATGTGTTGAAGTTATTTACCTAAACGAATGCCAAATTTTCAATGGCCAGCCTAGCTAAGGTTTTGGTCGCAAAACTTGATGTCAAGGGAGTGTTGACAGAATTGATCACTAGAGCTATCCTTATCCACACTCTTATTTGAAACCACACCACTCCTCATACAGAGGGGGCCAGAGTGCAGATGGATTATATCGGTATATAGGCTATCCTAGGTATATCACCGCCTTAAATTTATCTATATTTTATCGATCTTTGAGTTTTGAGTTATCACTGGCTGTTGAGGTTTAGAGAGATAATTCTCATGTGGCTGTGTTTGTGTTGACAGGAGTTCCCGATTCACATCGGCGAAGAGACACCAGATGGCAGACTATCATCGAGAGAAGCCCCATCGTCATCCTCTTCTTCTCATCAAAGACAACCCCAGAGAGAGGAGGCACCCCTTTTAAAAAGTGCTCACGGAGGTATGTAATGTATTATAATTAACATTTATCATGAACACTCAAATTTGCAACGTAATGAAGACAACTTTAGTGTTTTTTTATTTGGTCTTGAAAAATGATTCTTAATTATATTGGTTGAAGCTTGACACTTTTTTAAAAAGCTTTCCAACTTTAATAGATGCAAAATGTTTGGTCATGTTCAGGTTTTCACCTAACGTGTTTTCACAAATTGAAAGGACTTTATTAAGACACGAATAGGGATTTTTAGGCTTCACACGAGAGTGGGACAACAAGAAAATCTAGGTTCCCATGGGGAATCGAACCCCAGTAAATTTAACAAGTCAACAGTGGTTTAGCGTGTTCTGTACTCTTATCGAAAACGATATTAATCATCACACTGGTCAAAATTTTGTGGACACACGAAGCGCAGCCACAAATCGACGTCAAATGAAACGATTCTTTCAGTTCGTTACCATTGCGTGACACGTTGACGCCAACAGCGTTCTCTGTACTCTTATCGATAACGGCAAATTGGCCAATCGAATTCTTACATTACTGCCATTTGTGGAAAAACGACATTTTACTGTGTTTCTTTTTCTGCTGCGAATTTTGGAAATAATTACGCCAGTCACTCTCGTAGAGAAACAAATAGGAACAAAAATAATGTTATTTTTGTTAGTAGGTCACTCAGCTGGAGCACTCCCACTCTGTCTGCCTAATAACTATCAGTGGAACTCTAAAACTCGCCAATGCGTTAAAACAGAGGAGAAGCGTTCTTCATTGTACTTTGTTGAAGACAGCCTTCGGGAACTGAGGAAAATTAAAAGTACGGGTCTGTTCTCTATCTCAGATAAGAAATACCTCAAATGTAAAAAATTTAAAATAACCAGAGGAAAAGGGGAGGGCGCTGTGCCTGTTACCTGCAAGTACTTCAGGAGGTCCAATTTTCCTGTTAGCAACAAGGAAAACTTTCAAAAAAAAGGGGAAAGGGGGAAATGTTTGAAACATTGTGACGAAGATTATAAGTTCTATTGTGAAAAATATTTACTACCAGGATTTAAGAATAAAGATAGAAGAACAACAAATTAGACCATTAAACAAATATAGCATACATGAATGAATATAAAAGCTGATAATAAGTTTGATAATGACGATGGCGATGATGACGATGGAATAATGAACTTTTAACGGCAAAACAATTCTCTGGTCTGTTTACCAAAAAGAAGAAATATGCAACTAACCTTGTAGCAATAAAAATAATTATCAAACTAATGTTAATAATAACATCAATTAGACCTAAAACGATAATGATAATAATGATAAAAATGATGATAATGGTAATAAAGCATTTGCTTATTTAGTTTGCGCTATATCATTGACTCTCAGCGAGGGGCAGGGAAGATGTGCTTATTTTAACCGATAGTAATCTGATTATATATAAATACCATTAAGGTTTTAATTAGATTTCCTTAACATTAATTAGACGTAAAACGATAATGATAATACTGATAAAACCGATGATAATGATAATAAAGAATTTGCTTGTTTAGTTTATTTATTTTTTAACTTAAGTGAAAGTTAGGTTGATAAGTGACATATGCTTGTTTAATTTTTTCAATCCGATAAATTAATACCGGCTAATGTGGTATTTTGTGGTTTACACTACCAAGTTTTTTTTCAATCATAAAATTAATCAGTCCTTGCCCTCTGTTATGGTACAACAGGCCCAGTCTGCACCGTGTCCATCGCTGGTCCGTACAGAAAAGGAAAGTCTTACATTTTAAGCCAAATCTTTGATCAGCCAGAGGTATTCCCACTTGGGCACAAAATGGTGGCGGAGACCATGGGAATCTGGATGTGGATCGTGCCTGAGAAATATAAGGTATGAGTCATAACCTTGGCTTTGGTAATTGAGTGAATCTTCCTTATAAAATTAACTATACATGTACTTAGGTTGCAATGTTAAGATTATTCTGCTTGTGAAACCTAGACTGTGTGCCAAAACAAGGAACCTCTTGAAGTGGATTACACCACCCTATCAAGGGCAGCTGAATTTTTATCCAATTAATCGTCCTCCTTCTCCTTAACCCCATACTCAGCTGTGAAGCCTCGCTCTTGATGCATGTCTGACACCAAAAGGCGGTTGCGCTAGCTTGCACGTCGTAACATAGCTAATGATTTTCTTTGCCGCATCCTGAAGCTTTTTGGAATTTTTATGATCTAGGACGCAAGGGGCAGGGAGATTACAGTAGTGCTGTTGGATTCAGAAGGGATTGACGCTGCCTCCGGTGTAGGCCGTGACGATAATCAGATATTTACTTTAACCGTTCTTTTGGCCTCCGTGCTCATTTATAACTCAAGCGGTGTCCCCACAAGGCGTGATCTCGAGGGTCTCGAGTATCCTTGCTATATCAAACTTTTAATTGTCTTATTACTACAGGTGTTGCCAATAATACGCGCTCTGTGCATTCTTTGTTTTTTTTTTCTTGCGTTCAAAAACTTCTATTTCGCTTCTAGGACAAAAATCCTGGTACGTGATGTAAGATTACTGATAGCAATAGAGCAGTATTCAATAAGTGTTGAAAATGGAAATGCATGGTTCTTGCTATACTACTGTCTGTGATTGTTCCAAAAGAACCGTGCCAAAATCTCAACCGATCAGATTCAAAACCAAAACCCGTCACGACTGGGTCACCCGTTTCTTTATCGCGCTTCATGCTGTTTGCTTGTTCTAACTTTGAGTTCTCATTAGCTCCTTGCTCCTTTGTTCAGATTGCCGCATTATTATTCTGCGTTTGGTCATAAGACACTGAAATGTGTTGTGCTATATCATTATCTCTCAACGAGGGGCAGAGAAGGTGTACTTTATTTTAAACGTTAGTATTCTTATTATATATAAATGATATTAAAGTTGAGATTTCCTTAATTGCTCTTTAGCTTTATTTCAAAGCTTTCTGGACGAATTCACGCACGATCCGACAGGGGAGCGACTGTTCACCAAAACGAGACAGAATTCTTTCACAGAACGTTTCCTTTCTTTATTTGGTTGCTGAGGGATGTAACGCAAGCTGTGCCAGAAGATTGTAAGGACATAAAGGATTACTTTTTGAAAAAGGTTAGAATTCAAACCGTTTAATATTATCACGATATAGATATAACTATCGATTGAACTTCGGGTTCAGAATTGTCAACTTACTTGGGTAGTTATCGAAAAATTCGTTTTTTTAACTTGAGTTCTTTGAAAAGCACTGATTTTTCTCACTACTTGATATACAAATTTAGTTTGTTTCATTACTCATTTTCCGAGTACAGGTGTTAATGGCCATTTTGACTTATGCATTTATCGATTTTGGTCTCTCATGGAGGATGTTACTCATTTCTGGTATCTACATATTGTTAACAATGGACGAGAATAGTTCAATTCCCCAAAATATTGTCACCACAGCATCCGATGGGTGGAGATTGGTACTCGTATGATTAACTTTGTGGTGAATATTACTTTCCTAGAATGTAATTAGTTTGATAGATTGTTAATTGATAATTGCTTCACACAGGTTTTCCGTCAGGAGGATTCCGGAAGTGAGAGTCAGAAGAGTCAGAAGGTGGCTGAGGGCATCTTAGGATTCTTTCCTGGTTTTGAAGCGTTTTCCCTACCTCTTCCTACAGCTGATGAAGAGATAATGAGAACTATCTGCAAGAATAAGGATCAGTTACAGGCAAAATTTTTGCGCCAATTGGAGGACTTTAAATACTTGATTAAGTCCATACTGGTCCCAAAACACAGTTACACAGAAGGAGAGCTCGTTACTGGGGAAGGTACGTGTTTTTATACGCCTTTGTTTCTTTGCTTTAGAAATGTTTAACAATAATAACGTGTCTCATTAAAAACAGTGAATGGAATAAGTTGGGGTCATATTGGATTCATGAATGAAAACTCTAATAGTTGCCAAATGAAGGGAACAGCAATGAAAGTACTTATTGACAAACCAAGGCTTGTTTTGTCGTAGGTCTAGCCGCTTTGATAACCCAGTACGTTGATGCAATCAACACCCCTGGCTTTGTGCCAAATGTACAATGTGCTTGGGACCTGTTTGTAGAAACAAAATGTTTTGAAACCAAAAAAGCCTGCGAGCAGAAATATGACGAACTTATGACCTTACAACTGTCTGAAGTATTGCCATGTGATAATGACGAAATACGTGCCTATCACAACTCCGCACTGGAGGAAACTGAAGAACTGCTCTTGAGGGAGATGATCGGCATTTCAACAAATACTGTAGAGAAGCAACTGAGGCAACTTAAGGTGAAGCTCCTCAGCTGTAACTATGACTATAAGATACAGGCCTAAGACGAATTTATAATTAGCCTCAGTAGCTCACTTATCCAAGTCAATGCTTGGGGGGGGTGGGGGGGGGGGGCAGGCCAATATCACTTGACTCTTCTGTCTCAAGTTCATTGAGCAGTTTCCTCGCAAGGGGAAAATTGTAACCTTACGGGAGAAGTGTGGTATTTAGGTAATTTACACAAAAGTCACCTGAACTTGGCTGCAGTGACTTGCTGTGAGGGTAATGTAAGCCAACTTTGCTGAGAAATCTTGTTAAGCCTTCACCTCCCATGAGTCACAAGGAGATAATTTCTCCTTACAATATCAATATATTATCAAGCAGACAAGCGATGAGAATAAAGTAAAATATCAATTAGGGAATTATTGCTCAATGCAATGCCAAATTTTCCAAATTGATATCAGAAGAATTGTGTGATAGAGATAGTAAGGAGAATTACTAATGAGATCTTGGAAACTGTAGGGTTAAGCCAGTAATGAACTTATTCCAGGAGTCAGTCTTTTTAAACAATGTAACGATTTCCCTCGCATTGTAATATATATTGGGTTGCTTTAGAGGTGTGCATTCTCTACCTTTAAACTTAATTTTTAATTGTTTTATTTTTTCTTCATGCGATGTAATTTCAGACGTCCTTCAGCCGACAGCTGAAAGTGTGGCAGACGAATAATTCAAAATTAACGAAACAGTTATGTGAAAATCTTCTGTTGAAACTAAAAGCAAAACACTTAGATCCAGTCATCGAGCAGCTGCAGGGAAGAGATGGTTCGAAATTGTCATTTGATGACATCCTGAGAGTTTACCGACATATCAAAGACGACTACGATGCAAAAGCAAAGGGTGCTAAAGATGCCATTGCTGATGCGTTTGCCGATTTTCATCCCGTAAGAAAACATTATTTCCAATGATTAGTTTGTTGATGCAGATTCATATCCTGAATGGAAATAAGGGCATTTTCTCCACTTCAAAGAAGAGCCAAATTGACGGATATTGTACCGACTGCAAAGTAAAAAAAAAATTTTTCAAACGAATGTTGAAATTTATTCATTTTAATGGAATGCTTGTTGGTGAACAGCTACCAAAGTCTGCTTTACACCAAGGCCACTTAAAAAGACCGAGATTGACAAATCATCATAACGTTAGTAATGTTTTGGACCTGATCTGATCAAAAGTGTATGGTTTTTCATTGAAATACAAGTTCATGCTGTGTTATGTTATATGCCAAATTGTTCTTCGACATTTAAGAGGTTTCTTATTTCCGGATGGGAGCTGAACGTTACAGGGGATGTGCGCATCTCAACTAATCGATGTTCTTCTGCTATTTTACTAATTCCCTTCTAGAAAATAGCAGCGGAAACAAAGCAATACATTAGTGTCCTAAGGCAGCTAAAAGATTTCGACGAACGTGCAGCGAAAGAGCTGGCAGCCAAAGCTTACATGGAGAGGGAAAGGAGAAGACTTGAGGTAAGTTAGTGGGATGATAATATTGCAGAAAAGTCAGTACGGTGGGACTAGCGTTTAAGAAGGGTCGAAATACTCCGATGGACTGAATAAAACCCGATAGAAATGCAAAGCCTAACAGTTGTTACTTGAGACTGGGCGGTGAGTTGTGCGTGCTCCTATAAAACTAACCTTACGGTTGACTGCGACAAACTAAACTTTGTTTCTGTTACGTTTTTTTCTTCAGGAAGAGCGGATTCGCTTAGAGCAAGAAAATCAAGAACAAGAGAAGGAGGTATACCGTCTTTTTAGCTTAGTTTTAATATATCATTGTTTACCTAATACGTTATAAATATGTTGTTATTTAAAGGGAGAAAAATAACAAATAGTTACAATTTTGAGTAATTTTATTACGAAATGCAAAAGAACTGACTTTCAAAGTACTGGCTTCACCATCCCCTCTTTCGTAGTTGGAAAATATTATAATGCATCCATTCTTTCTCCGAAAATAAAGTCCTTGATCAGCGCTGCACATATTAGGATTGGTCACCAAGGAGTGACCATGTTTGAGATTTTTACCTTAACTTTCGTCGTTAGCACACTTAGCAGTAAGATCGTCTTTTTCTGTTTGCTAAGATGATAATGCTGATTACCAGATCAGAAGAAGAAAGAGCTGGAATGCAAGAGGAAATGAGAAATGAGATGGAACTGGAGCAAGGGCAATTACAGAATATGAGGGAGGCAGACTTAGGGGAGGCTGAGCTGAAACGAGATGCTTTCGTCCGAGAGAAACATGTCCTAGAGGAGCGGTTACTGGAAATGCAAAAGAAAAACGAGGAACATATGAAGATGATGAAAAGGTTATCAGAAATGATCGCCAAACACCAAAGGGAGAAAATAGAGCTTCGTGAACGAATGAAAGAACGTCCTCAGGGAGAGATCGAAGAGTCCTTGGAGGAGCTAAGACGAAGGCAATCAGAAGAGGAAAATGAACTCCTGAAGAAGATGGATATTCTTCAACACGACAACCTTTTAAGAAAAAAAGAAGATTTTTGCACCGAGACGAAAGATGACGAATGTGCCAAGAAACTGGAGGAGTTTCCTCAGATGATGGCCTCGAGGGCTCAAATGGTTGGCGATCTAAGGAAAAGAATGGAAAAGAACGAAGAAGAGGGAGAATCTTTTGTGAAGATGGTCCTTCGGGGTGTAGCAACCGTTGGTCCTGCGGTTGGGAAATTAATAGCCCTTTATCCTCCAGCGTGGCCTTATGCTGAGCCAGTCGCCAATGGTATCGCTGGTTTTGCTGATGCTTTGTTGAAAGTTGACTGCCTTATCATGTGATGAAGAACACCGCAGTTGCTACCGGACATGAAAAGTGTAAACGTCTTCAATTTTATAGAAAAATGTTTTTGATCATTTTAGTAATCACCACTTAACCGAAGGCATAACTGATGTATAAAAGCTTATCTAAACCTTTTACTGGCATGTCTGTGAGAAGGCTCTCATCTGTAAAACATGGCCCCTTTTCCGTCGCAATGGTTCATTAGCTTCAATTGTATAACAGCGAAACTTAAATGGCACAGTTTGCAATTGTGGGAAACTTCGCTATGGCAACTACAGTTGATTTTGATTTATTTTTTATCGGCTAACTCTTGTTTCTAGCACTTTATCATTCGCAAAATATTTCAGACAACAAGAAAAGGATATACGCTGTGTCTTGCATTGATACTCTGTTTTCTCTTGAGACTAAGCTATAACCGTATCCTGTGAAAATGAAGAAAACAATTTATTTCGTGAAAATTATGAAGCCTCTTTCTAATGTAAGATTCATGTAAGTCGAACACCGTTAACAGGACCATGTTCATGAGAATATATCGTTATTATAAAATATAAAATAACTCAGTTCTGATTGGTCAAGATAAATGCAGTTTTCAGGTGATTCAGTGCAGAAGAGGGCTAATTCAGTGCAAAAAAAAGTAACAAACCAGATATTCTGATTGGTCAATAATCAAAGAAACTCTCAGATAGCCAATCAAATCCGAGCTTTGGATGTCGCAACATTTGGATACGCTGAAAATTTGCGAGCGAATCAATGGCTAGCGTTTGAAGTAGGATTTCTTTCGCCACCGCAACAACAATATAGCAGCTGAAAAACAGCTATTACAACGAAAACACTGTATAAAACAGTGATTTTTGGTTGTCAGTTTGGAACAAGTGGTGTTAAAGAGAGAAATTGTCATGGAAATCGAAAAGAATTAAATCTGACATTTTATATTTAAATAGTAGATTAAAAACTAAGGAGAAGAATTTGTGTTCTCAAATTTCATTCCTTTATAAAAAGACCTATCTTAATCCCTCCCCCCTCTCCTGCCTACTGCCTTGCTTTTTTTTTTATATAGCTTAAGGTGGTTGGCGATCTAAGGAAAATAATGTAAAAGAACGAAGAAGAGCAAGAATCTATTGTGAAGATGGTCCTTTGTGGTATGGTAAACGTTCGTCCTGCGGCTGGGAAACTAATAGCCCTTTATCCTCCAGCGAGGCCTGATGCCGAAGCAGTCGCCAACGGTAGCGCTGGTTTTGCTGATTCTTTGTCGAAAGTTGACTGCCTTATCATGTGATGACGAACACCGTATTTGCTACCATGAAACGAAACGTGCAAACGTCTTCAAAATTTTTTTTAAAAATGTTTTTGATAATTTTACTAATAACCACTTAACCGTAGGCATAGTTGATATATATACGATTATTTAAACCTTTTACTGTCATCTGTGGGGGGAAGGCTCTCATCTTTAAAACATCGCCCCTTTTGCATCGGCTTCAATTGTGTAACAGCGAAACTTAAATGGCACATTTTGAAATTGTGGGAAACTTCGCAGTGGCAACTAAACTTGAGTCAGTAAAATCACAGTGAGGATTACATTTTGATTTATTTTTTATTGACTAACTCTTACTTCTAGTATTTTATCATTCCCAAAATGTTTGAGACAACACGAAAAGGATATATGCTGTGTCTTGAAGTGATACTCTGTTGTATCTTGAGACTAAGCTAAAGCCGTATCCTGTAAAAATGAAGAAAACAATCATTCCGTAAGATTGTGAAGCCGTTTTTAATATAAGATTCATGTAAGTCACACACCCTTCATCGGCCTATGTTCATAAAAATATATCAAGCACCGACCAAACTAGCCTTCCTTATCTTGAGTGTAAAGTTATCACTGGAATTTTATTATAGAAGAGGTAAACGCTGTGCTTTGTACGAGCAATTAATTTTTCGCCTCAAGGTGACTGAAACTTTTGCCGATGATTAATTATGAGATTTTACATTCAAACAGTAGATTAAAAACAAAGGAGGAGAAGAAATATTCCCAAATTTAATTCCCCACTAAAAAAACCAAAACCTATCCTTACCTTCCCCCCCCCACCCCTGCCTACTCCCTTGCCTTTTTTATACACAAATAATTTGATGTGATAGTCAGCATTAGACTGAAATCTTCAATGTTTCCGCTGTAAACTTGTTGCCTACCTTAATTATGTCCGGCGGTAACACTTGTTCCCGCAATCTCGTTTAGTCATGAATCTGTTTTCATTCCCGCCGCACCCTCCATAAATGAACATTCGGCACTCCCCAACCATCGCGTCAAAATAGTAGCGGGGCTCACGTGCCTTGCATGGACCCTTTTCTGGTGGCAGACGACAGACATCCTTGGCTTGCACCAAGACTGAAGAAAACGTAAAAAGGAAGAAAATATTTAGTTTCTGAAATATCGTAAACAATCTAATAGCCATGTCTAAGGATTTAGGCTATCAATGAACGCTTTATTTTATAAATTCCCCCTTCCCTCTTCATATCGGCATGATTCTTGATTTAGGACATAGAATTGTCCATGATGTTCTTCCATAGGTTGTGAAAGTGGATTCACCACGGTACTGATATCTATTAGAGATTGTTTCGTAAACTTTACCCCGTTTAGAATCCTAACGAACTAGACTTAATCAATAGCCTCGATTGAGCTCAACTGTTTAATTCCACTCTCGTATTCACTCAGTAACAACGGGTGTGTAAAGAGATACTCTGCATAACTTGCCACGAAATCACTCTCTCACACTACATTCTCTACACTGTGATTGGTTGTTGCTAAGCACTGATATTGCGTCGATCATGCAAACCGACGAATGTCCCAAAAGGCAGTGTTTCTAGCTTTTGATAACAAATGACCGTCTCTTAAACTAAAAAATTGTCTCTCTTGATATAATGTTTATACTTGTTATCTGATGTGTTATGCACGAAACACAAATTCTCCGACACTTGGTAGTGACGTGTAACGGTAGTGATTCAGAACAAAACACGCTTCTATTCAAAAGAGATCTCTTAATTTCTGTTTAATCAAAACTATAACAAAATTCTCGAACGCGATTGGTTAACACCAGTAGGACAGTGTACGCCTCATGCTTATAATTGGACAGTGTAATGGGACAGTGAAAGAGACAGTTAACACGTCATGCCTGTGTAAGTGGAGAGAACACGTCACATGCGTGCGCTGTTGTCTCGTATTTTGCCGGGCTAACTCGTAATTAACAAATCGGACTCCCGCTTCGCGGTCGTCCGATTTTCTTAATAACTCCTATGATTACAGACAGAATTGGACTCCACTCAGTCCAATTACCGTGGTGAATATTGTAAGTCGATCAACGATATGCATTAGCTATCCATATTTAGTTATTTATTGACGATAAACCGGAGGAAAAATTGGCCTCGCAAGGAGAAGTTTATATTGGCTCCACTCTCCCTTCACCAACAGGCCCAAAGAATCAGCAAGCAAGGGAAATTGAGTGTTCGCTGTGATGCAAAAAATTTAACAATGATGTCAAAATGAATAAAACCATCTAATGGTTCTCTCGACTTGTTTTTCAAAAATGGAGCAGATATTCTCATAGAGATAATGTAATGAATTCTTTCCAATCGTTCTGGCATCTCTATTAAAAGCTGGATAAATTCAACTAAATCAAATATATTAAAGTTCACACGGCAACCAGGTGGACAATCAGACATAGTTTGAAGCTACACTGGTTTGCAGATTTAATGAATGTAACCGAAGAAGTTACAATTCATAGACCCAACGTTTCGACACTCCTGTCTAGTGCCTTCATCAGGGGTGATCTAAACGCTGCAACAAGAGGTCCTTTTATATGATCACTAATTAGCGGCCTTTTTTCTGACGAGGTGTAAATAGGCGTCAGGAAGCAGACCGCCATCGTCACGATTTAAAGGAGCGTGGGCGGAGTTAATGTGCCAAGCCTCCAAACAAAGGCGCTGGTGGTAACGCCGATTAGTAGTGATAATTTTAGAATTATCCCACCCAATTGTATGGTTGGTTAGGCATATATGCTCCGATAAAGCTGAATTTTCCTTTTTGCAAAGAAAAACCGCTTTTTGGTGCTCTTTTAACCGTGTACCAAACTGGCGTTTGGTCTGTCCGATGTATTCGTTATCACAGTCATTGCAAGGAATAGAATAAATGGCGTCGGTTCGTTGTTCTTTCGTGACAGGATCCTTAGGTTTGGCGAAAATATGCCCCAAAGTCTGAAAAGGTTTTTGAGCAACTTTAACGTTGTGGCTATTCAAAATTCTCTTGATGGGTTCAGTAACACCCTGTATGTAAGGAATAACAGCAAAACCAGTCGCTGGTTCCCTTTCATCAAGAGCGTTACTATTTGTAACTGGTTTTTGGCAGTTACGGAGAAAAGTTTTTGTATAGCCATTTGCCTTTAGGACATTGGAAACATATTTCCTCTCCTCAGCCTTCGAATCGAGTGATGATGGTAGACAATCAGCCCTCCTAAGTAAAGTTTTGGCTACAGACTTTTTATGGCAAATAGGATGGTGAGAATCGAAAGCGAGGTATTTGTCGGTGTGGGTGGGTTTACGATAGACACTTGTCTCTAAATTACCCTGAACCCCTCTAGACACATTTAAATCAAGAAAGGGCAAATGTCTATCCTTTTCACGTTCAAGGGTGAATTGGATCGACGGCTCTACTGAATTCAAATGCGACAAGAGGCGCTCCGCTTCATTTCCGGATACCGCAGAAATAACATCATCGACATATCGTTTCCAGAAAAAGGGTTTAACCGGTGAAGTGGCTAAGGCCCTTTGTTCCACGTCTTCCATTACCATGTTAGCAATGACAGCAGAAACAGGCGAACCCATAGCTGTACCAAAAACTTGTTGATAGTATGTGCCGTTATATGTAAATTGCGTGGTTTTGAGGCAAAAAGACAGCAGATGAATAATATCCTCCATCGTTAGTTCTTTTGGAGACATTAATCTACTTACCAGAGCTGATGAAAATGAAGATGAGCAAACTTTTCTTGTCCATTATGTAATGTTTATCAGGCAAAATCTTTAATAAAAATTAAAATAAGGGAAAAACTCACATGTGCGCTTTTTTTAATCCGTACTCTGTTCATATACTTAAAGCAATGCGTTAATCTGCAAACGTTTTCATTCTAATTTCTTCGATTTCATGACCTATAAGAGGTAACTAAATCTAAAGAAGTTATGAAGCAAAGTTAATCACACCCACACCAAAACGAATTTTTTAAATTGCCTCAGAATTGTACGATTATACAAGACAAAATCTAAAATAGGGAGGTAGTTGTGCGATTTACTAAATTTTAAGATGTAAAAACGAAGACAGTACGACTTACTGCTCTTGAAAGAACTATCTTCCTTCAGTATCTTGACTTGAAGCAATAAATAAACGTGAACGTGCGGCTGTGGCTCTCTGTGCAGAGGTAAATTGGATGGGTGGCATCATCTCCTTATATAGCTCATTTCACTTCTAAGATCTAATTAATTATTCTCCCTTAAGTCAGGCATACATTTCCTTCAAGAAACGTTGAAAGAATTTGAGGTTATATCGAGATGAAATCTTCCAGGCGAGAAAGTGTTTCTTTATTCTCATCTTCTATTTACTGGATAATGTATTTGAGTTGCAAGGAGAATTTGCATGTTTATCACTGCAGAGCATAGACATGACTTCAATTAAGTGGAACTTGTTATCAGATGTGACCTTGGAGATGCTCTCTTTATATTCCATTAAAAAAAAAAATCACAATATTCGCAGCGGGATTGTCTAGCCAATAAACATATCTGAAATTAAACCAATGTTTTATGGAACGTAGCCTCTCATGTTAGAAATCGCTGCATTGTTCCCTGATAGTTCACAGGTTAGTTATTTGTGCGCCATTACAATCTACATATCTTCGACAAAGGATTAAAACTTTCCTTACATGTCTTGGATAAAAGATACTCACCTAGCTGAGTACTGATTAATTTGATATTGAAAATTTTAAATTTTTTATTAGTTTTTTAATAACTTTTTAAAAATTTTTTTAAAAATTTTTTAATTAATTTTTAAATTTTTTAATGGATTTTTTTAAACAAATTTTTTAAACAATTTTTTAAAACAATTTTCAAATAATGTTTAAAATAATTTTTTGATTTTTTTAAAATAATTTTCTGAACGATTATAATTATTTTTTAGTTTTTTAAATAATCTTTTCAATCATTTTTTTCAATAAAGAAATTCTTAAATAAAAAATGGCGACAGAGATGGCAGCAGATGGCGGACGAGAAGCAAGTTTGCAAGCTGCCCGTAAACAGCCTAAAAACAGCGAGTAAAAGGGATAAGAATAGAGCACATTTTGGGGAACAGTAGTAACAGGAGCAAGCGACGAGGCCAAAACCTGCAAAACTGTTTTTCAAAGTGAATGGTCGCAATCCACGAAAATAATTAACCAGCGGCGTGGCGGATCGAAGACAATCAAAACCCAGACAAAAATGGATAGACCAAATGAATGCCGACTTATTGTGATGCAAACGAGAAGCAGTGGCCATGACACAGATGGACCAGCCTCCGCTTGATAGCAATCGTAGGAGAAAAGGCTATATTAAAATTAGGAAAGAGTTATGAGACGCGAAAGGCTACGATGGCTTTGGATTCTCAATTCAGAACTTACGCGATCAAGCGGCAAGACTCGACAAAGCGACGATCAGAGCTTAGATAATATAGCAATGACTTATTAACCCGAGACACATGTAACCAATTCTTCCCAAGAAACTTTTGTTTCTTTGAATGGTTACACGGGAGCGAATTTAGAATTGCACACCACGGATTTATTCAATCGCGAAGATTTACATATGACTAGTAATACTCATAACTTCCCATGGGATGAGAAGACAGAGTGAAACGAGAAAAATGCTATGCTTAGATGCCTTCCAGAGTATAACACTGTAAACAAACCATTTATAATTAGGAGGAAACTAAACGATGGCACTGCAATTTTTTAATCAACATCAGATATAATTGAGGCCTATGACGAGATCATAGCTTGGAGAAAGAATGTATTCCTTGTGCCATACGACAGAGTAGGAAGGGATTTTATTTATCAAATTAGCCTGCATATCAATGAGTGGAATAACAGCCCTGACAACCAGCACGTCACTGAAAGCCGCCTTTGTACTCCTCTCTGTCGCATTTCAAAAGCCAAGCCCTAAAGTCTGAGGCCAAACACCATCAAGAAGTGCTATCTAAACGTCTTGTTCTCTGGAAGGATGGCGAGGTCGAGAAGTTAGTACGCGATGAGAGGACTATTCAAAGTCGCATTGGAAAACTCAAGTCTTCGGACCCGCCTAATAGATCGAAGGTCTTTGCTAAGCTAGTGCTAATTTTTAAAATTATTTTTAAATTATTTTTCTTAATTTTTTTTAAATTATTTTTTAATTTTCTTTTAACAATATTTAAAATTATTTTTTAATTATTTTTAATTATGTTTCTTAAATATTTTTTTAAGTTATTTTTTAATTTTCTTTCAACAGTTTTTTAATTATTATTTTTTTAAATTTTGTTTAATTAGTTTTTTTACCTATTTTTAAGAGATATTTTTAAATAATCTATTTTTAATTTTTTAATACTAAACTAGTAAGAAGCACTCTCCGAACAATAGCTGTAAAACTTCTTTATTCTCCGATGCGTTTCGTCAACCTGTCGTAGACTTCTTCAGGGAGTTTTACGGGGGCCAATGACCATGAAGGCTTCTCTGAACATACGAACAGGAACAGGCGAAGTCGTGAGAAATTTGAAAATTTCTCGGGTAAGGTGAGAAAAATATTTGGGGGCCACGGTTTTTAGTTAAAACCGTGGCCCCCAAATATTTTTCTCAACTTGCTCAAAAAAATTTTCAACTTTTTCACAACTTCGCCTGATCGATGATTGATGTATTATTAGCAAGGATGAAACAATTCCCGTTCGATGATATGGTTACTCTGTGGTAGAAATAAAATATATCCTAAAAGTTTAATCAGGTTCGATTATTTCTCTATAAAAAAATTTAATTTACGAAAGGTATCTGATGAGTCTTTTGGCCGAAACGAAACGCCGCGTCATACCAGCCACGAAGTGTTCACAGGTATTTGACAATTTTTTTATTGTATATCTTGTCACTCGTGAACAAGTGATTGGGAACCTTCTGCGAGAGAGGGCCAGACTGCTAATATCTTGACTTCGCGGACCGGACTTTGTGCGCGATGCTCGGCGAGTTCGATTTCAATCTACGAAAGGTATCTCATGAGTCTCTTGGCCGAGACGAAACACCGCGCTATACCAACCACGAATTTTCCACAAGTGTGCAAAAAATAAATAAAAAACCGGCAATGTAACTTAGTTTCATACACATGTACCCCTTAGAAACCATAGCTTTTCGATTAGGCCTTAAAGCACTGAAATTTTATCAAATTTCTCGACTAACCTCTATACAATAATTAAAACAGTGCAAATATAAAACGTATGCTGCTGATCAGTAATTTCATCCTGGTTACATTTTCCTAAGCAACTTCCTTTCAGTCAAGCGCAAAAAATCTCTTAACCGATTTACATCTATTCGTGATCACGATGTCGATCTCGGATGACTCTTACCTGCCGATATCTTGTTATTATCTATCTTCTTACGTAATATAAAAAAGAGAAATTTTCCTCGGACTGATGAGTATTTTATTTGCCATAGAGTAAGAAAAATCGGAGATCTATTCAAACAAATTTTCATGACGTATTTTTCTCAGAACAATCCATTGAGACTTTCTCAAAGTAGTCCTTATCAACACAGTATCATGCATATGCATGTGGTATTATGTATAGCAGTTGGGTTTGACTGGGATATCTGAGGAAAGTAATTCTCCGTTGTTGGTAATATGTACCGGCTAAAAACGTTCAATAAACCTTTACTAATTCATTAAAGTACTTTTACGTTATCAACTCAGTTGATAATACTAAATTACCCTACTTATTATCACCTGAGAGTATTATTTTCAACCCATGGGACCAAACTCAACCGAGTACGCCAAGTGACCACAGGAAAGATCGACCGAGTGAACTTCTACCACTTAATGTAGTATTGTTTGCGGCTAGAAAGGAATAACAAGCGCACATATCTGTGGTGCTGTGTCACTGGGCTGTTGTTTAAACGGATAACATGTCGCGATTTCAAAGCATAAACTCTTCTCTAAACTGTTACTTAAAATTGAGTCATCTGTTCTGACGATAGTCTTAAGTCATTGTTCATGATCAGTTTCGCAATTTAGAAGACAACAAAGAGTCAAAGAGTCTAAAGACTGTAAGTCTTGCCAGACTTAGAGTTTTTATATAATTGTTAAAATCAATAAAAAAAACTGGCCATTGAAGCTCACCCTGTTGGATTGCCAGAGCCAGAATCTAAAAGGTTAAAGACAAATACAAATTTGTATGTCGAAAGTTAAATGATCCTAATTCGGTAATGGAGAGCGTAACTGATCATGATAAGCAAGTTCTTGTATCAATCTAACATAACTTGGCCTCACATAAATCGATAGCCATTCACCGATCCTGAGCTCCCAAAGTACGCAAATGAAAAAATATTTCGGTTCACTCAACACTTTGATTCTACACAATGGTTTTAATAAAAGAGGCTTACTAAAACTGCTTACTTGGCAAGGAGTGGAAAGTGTTGAATAGTAACTCAAGAAAGAGTATGAAAGTATTGATTTCCCCAAAGATGTCGCAGGAAAGCTTGAAAAAGTGCTTTTTGAAGATTAGAAGTCTTAGTGAAGGAACACCAGGAATATCTCTACAAGCACAAACGAAACAACACAGCTTAAAAATACCGACTGAACTGATGTGTAACTCAAAATGTTGCAACCCCAACTTCCAATTCAGCCGGTTTTGGCAGTTGCGTCGTCATCTCATTCCAATTAAATTTCTCGTCATAGGACGACTGAAAGAAATGAAGTGGCAACGTCAGAAAGCCATCTTTAGGAAATTCAGCACTGGGGCTAAAATTGTACGCTCCTTGACCCACATAAACTGATAGCAAAACCTTCTTATTCTAGCACTTAAAATTTCCCAGGCACAACGACAACGACAACAACATCGGCAAAGGAAATTGTTGCGCGAGGTTTACTGAGGAAGATAGTTTTCTAAAGCCATACCTTCCAGGATGTTTCACTGGCATTATGCCACCCTATCTCCATGGAAACGTTGCTTCGTGATCTCAATGTTGTTTAAAAAATTCTCGAAACATCACGACAAGTTGTTGCCACATATAGAGAACCGGATTGTTCAGATGTAAGTTATTAAAAATGATTTTTAAAATTTCTTTATCTTCAAAAATGATCTGGAAGCTTTCAGGGGGTTCAATCAAAATGAGAAAAAGAAATGTTTGATGAAAAGAAAGCAGCTGCTAAAATCGCTGCACCACGACATGTGTGTTTGCTTTAGTTTCTTTAGCCGCCATCCTAGGTCCTGAGCAGTCGCTAGTGCGACTGAGGGCTCATTATGTTCGAACAGAAGCCGTATGTCTAACAAGATTCTGCTCTTGCCCGCGTCTATATAAGAATGCGAGACGAAAACAGCATACAGAAATGAGCTGGAGATTTTCGACAGCTACAGTTTACCAGACGCTGTACATGCCTCATGTGTCATGCTATCTCATGACCAATGACGTAATCAAATTGAAGAGATTTCCAAATTCATCGGAAGTAATGCTGTTTTTCCAGCCCGAGTACATTTCTTGCCTCCGAAATTTTCTTCTAAGCATTGGTGGATGTTAAATGGAAATTTCAAAACTTTGCTAGATGAGTGCTTTTGACTGAAAAATACCCAGCAATAAAAAATAAACTATCGCCTTATTTATTTCTGCTCCCGCTGCCCGCCCTCGTGTAGATACCGCTTCCCACCCCCTGTTCTCCCGCTTCCCTCCCTCTCCCGCCCCCTGTTCTCGCGGGCTCCTGCCCCTGTTCTCCCGGGCTCCCGCCCCCCTGTCCTCCTCCACTCTCGTTGTCGCGGCTAGAATTTCAACAGACACGTACATAGATCGCATGCATAGTTGCGATGAATCAACGAAAATTGTAAAGCGATTTTGATTTCCTGTATTTAACTGGATGTAAATAAAAACTACAGTCGTAGGCGAATGATCTGATCTCTGTTGATCACCATACACTAAAGGCAAAGCGGTTTTTTGGCCCGCTAAAACATCAAATAAAACCTTGAGTATGGCTATGGCTCCGTAATTTAAGTAGGTTAATTATTAACTGGGAGCTGGGTGACCTAGCAACAAAGTTCCGTGACGTCTTTGACGAAACTAACAACACAATGAACCTTAGTAAAGGCTTCTTTGCGAATAAAGCAGCAGCATCATTTGAATATTCTATCAGTAACCGATGTCAGTGAAACTTACCTAAGAGTATGTATACCTTTCTCAAAATTTCGCTTGCTCAAAATTCACTCTTTGGGATCAACTTTCATTACTTGATTCTTTGTTTTGTCGAGATTTGATGAGCGAGATCAAATTAGCTTGCCTTCAGCTGGTGTAAGTCTTCAAGTGATGTAGAATTTTGGCCTCAAGGCTAAATTACCAAAATATGGCTTTCAAACGAGACTCTATTTCTCACTAATACTCTTTCCATGTTAGAGGATCGAATTGATGGAGGCAACTTGATCGATCTTTTTGTAATCAAAGTGTCACATGAAGCGACAGAGTTTCGCAGCTAGGCATGAAAGGCTGGAAAGAGTAAGCCAGGTTGTTGGTTTCCAAACTAGACTGAATACACATATCGATTCCAAAAGCAAAATAATTGATATTACTTTAGGATAGTTTCAAAGATATCGAGGTTAAAGAAACGATTCCTTCCTTCCCTGTATACTTTCGGGTTATTTCCTCAAGCCGCTTGTTGGAAGTTTGTCGTCATCTCTTCATAGAATGTGTTTCAAGTTACCTTATTTTTTTAAAGTGGTGGTGAGAAAACAGAGGAATTGTGTATTTACTTATGTTTAATGTTTTTCTTCTCTGAATTTAAGAATTTTAGAAAGACTGAAGTGTCTCAGCAGTTACCAACCAACGTTGAGTGGTTTCTCAGAGAGTGAGCACGAAGGGAAACAATGGATGTAAGTGAGTTTGAATAATTCTCACTTGATTTTGTTAGAGAAGTGTTAAATTACACGTTTGTATAAATGTCGGTTGAGAGCACTTTTCGTTTCTGATCGGCTAGAAAGACTGCCATTCTCATGTGAACTGCAGTTGAAGAAACGAATAAAGCGATCCTCGCAACGGTATCGCAGAGGTCATGGGTTCAAACCCCGAACAGGCCTGATATCTTTTCAGACCTTATTTTCACTACTTGTTAAGTTAACTGAGAGGATCGCTTTGTTCGTTTTATCACTCAAACAGTCGAGCGCTGCGAAGTCAATTTTCGTTTGTTCTTAATTTTTTCCTATGCTCGTTGTACACATCAACTTTGTCAAGAGAAAATGAAATGAAGTGAAAAGAGGGATACACAGGCTTGTTGCAATTTGTGATCCACAAATGAGCAGACACGCAAAAGCATGGAATCAAAGTATTTGTACACTAGCGTTTTGTAGCATATCAGTCCTTTCTGTAATTCTTGCGATCAAGGAACATCTAGGTCCAGTATGTGTGGTGTCCATCGCCGGGCCATACAGGAAACCTTTTCCTGTAATGTCAGGGAGACGGCTCTCCTCTGTAAAACATGGCCCGTTTTCCGTCGCAATGTTTTATCGGCTTCAATTGTGTAACAGTGAAACTTAAATGACACATTTTGCAATCGTGGAAAACTTCGCAGTAGCAACTAAACTTGAGTCAGTAAAATCACAATAAGGATTACATTTTGATTTATTTTTCATTTGCTAACTCCTATTTCTAGCACTTTATCATTCCCAAAATGTTTGAGACAACAAGGAAAGGATTTACGCTGTGTCTTGTTGTCATACTCTGTTGTATCTTGAGACTAAGCTAAAGCCGTATCCTGTAAAAATGAAGAAAACAGTTATTCCGTAAGATTATAAAGCCCCTTCTAATGTAAGATTCATGTAAGTCGCACACCCTTCATTGGCCCATGTTCATGAGAATATATCGAGGACCGACCAAAATAGCCCGCTTTACCTTTAGTGTAAGTTATCAGCGGAATATTATTTTAGAAGAAGCAAACGCTGAGCTTTGTACGAGAAAATTTATTTTTCGCCTTAGATGACCGAAATGAGTCATGCTAAGGTTAGGAAAAGCCATTAATATAGGAAATTTGGGGGTTTGACGATAATTTGACCTGACAGTCGACATTAAGTCAGTGTCAAACTCAAATCTTCTATGTTTCCGCGGTAAAATTGTTACTCGCCTAAATTTATGTCCGGTACCAGTACGTCTTGATTACTCAGGAGCACATGGCCTCGCAAGCCTCTTTAGTCATGAAGTTGTTTTCATTTCCTTGGCACCCTCCATAAATGAACTCTTTGCACTCCCCAACCGCCGGGTCAAAATAGTAGCGGGGTATATATGCCTTGCATGGACCATTTTCTGGTGGCAGATGACAGATGTCCGCGGCTTGCACTGAGACTGAAGAAAATATAAAAAAATATATTTACTTTCTGAAATATCGTAAACAATCTGATAGCCATGTCTAGGGATTTAGGCTGCTAATGAACGCTTTCTTTTATAAATTCCTCTTTCCCTCCTAACATCAACATAATTCTTCATTTAGGACATAGAATTGTCCATGTTGTTCTTCCATACATTGTGAAAGCGGATTCACCACGGTACTGATATCTATTAGAGCTTGGTAGTGATGTGATAACGGTAGTAATTCATAGCAAATCATGCCTCTATTCAAAGGGCATCTATCAATTTCTTTTTTATCAAAACTATAACAAAATTCTCGAACGCGATTGGTTAACACAAGCCCGATTTGAGCACTAATAGGAAAGTGTCATTCTATGTAAGTGGACAGACACATCACGTGCGCGCTGCTGTCTCGCATTTTGCCGAGCTAACACACAATAGCAGATTTTGTTAGTTACTCGTATGATTACAGACAGAATTGGACTCCACTTAGTCCTGTTACCATTGCGAGTATTATAGGTCGACCAACCATATGCATTAGCTATCTTTATCTATCTATTTCTTCAGTTGACTACAACGATTTTGGCTCTTAGAGAGGTTAAAATTGGCTCCACTCTTCCCTTTTCAAAAGGCCCAAAGAATCAACAAGCTAGGGAATTTTTGAGCATTCGTTGATGTGCAAAAGATTTTACGGTGGTGTCAAAATATAAATTCATCTAATGGTTTTCTCGACTTATTTTTCAAAAATGGAACCGAGTGATATTCTTACAGAGACAATGTGACGAAATCATCCCAATCGTCCTGGCATCTCTATTAAAAGCTGAATAAAGTCAACTAAATTTTTAGTTCTTTTAGAGATATAAGTTTACTTACCAGAGTTGATGAGAATGACGATGAGCAAAATTTTCTTGTCCATTATGTAATGTTTATCAGGCAAAATCTTTGAAGAAAGCACAAAACAGGAAAGTTATCAATTAATATACGCGTTCTGATCGGTTCATCACGTACCTACCCATTTGCTGGGGGACGCACGGCGCCGTTACCAGAAACCAAAATCAAAATGAGGAAAAAGCTCACAAGAGTGCTTTTTTACAATCCGTTCTAAGTTCATATACTTAACGCATGCTTAAAGCTGCGAACGTTTTCAATATCATTCCTTTGATTTCATGACCTATATGAGATAACCAAATGTATAGAAGTTATGAGGCAAAGTTAACCACATCTTTAACAGGTCTTAACAAAAAAAATTGGAACAAACGAATTTCTTAAATTGCCTTAGAATCTTGTGCTGCACCCGTCTCTTGCGATTATAAAAGACAAAATCTAAAATGTCTCTAGAAAGGTAGTTGTGCCATTTACTAAAATTCTAGATGTAAAAACGAAAAACAGTACGACTTACTGTTCTTGAAAGAACTCTCGTCCTTCTGTACCCCGACTTGAAGTAATAAATGAACGCGAACGTACAGCTGTGGCTCTCTGTTCAGAAATAAACTCGATGGGTGGCATCATCTCCTTATGGCTCATTTCACTCCTAAGATCTAGTAGGTTATTCTCCTTTCCGTCAGGCACACATTTCATTCAAGAAAAGTTGAAAGAATTTTGGGTTACATCGAGATGAAATCTTCCAGCTGAGAAAGTGTTTCTTTATTCTCATCTTGTGTTACTGTATAATGTATTTGAGTTGCAAGGAGAATTTGCATGTAAGAAGAAAAATAAAAGAAAAGTGTGAAGTGTGTGATGGTTCTAAGGTTAGTTATTTGTGCGCTATTACAATCTACATATCACTGACAAAGGATTCAAACTCTCCTTACATGTCTTGGATAAAAGGTACTCACTTTGCTAAGTACTGATTGATTTGATATTGAACAATTTAAAAAAAATAATTATTTTTTTAATTACTTTTTTTAAAAATTGATTTTTAAAAACAACTTTTTTAAACAATTTCTTTTATAGTTTTTAAAAAAATTTTGATATCTTGATATTATGAAGAAATTACAATATTTGCAACGGGATTGTCTAGTAAATAAACAAATCTGAAATTAAAAAAAAATGTTTCATGGAACGTAACTTCTCATGGAGAAATCGTTGAATTGTACCCTGATGGTTCAAAGGTTAGTTACTTGTGCGCCAGAACAATCTACATATCATTTACAAAGGATTAACACTTTTATTATTTGTCTTGTATAAAAGATATTCACTTTGCTAAGTACTGATTAACTTGATATTGAACGATTAGTAAGAGAAAATTTTAATTTTTTTTTTTTAAATTATTTTTTAAAAATCATTTTTTAAATTTTTTAAAATAATTTTTTAAACAATTTTTTGAACATTTCCTTTTATAATTTTTGATTTTTTTTAATTACTTTTTTCATTTTTTAAAACAATTTTTAATTACTCCAATTTTTTTAAAATAATTTTTTAAATAAAACAAATTTTTTAAATATAAAATGGCAGCAGAGATGGCAGCAGATGGTGGACGAGGAAGCAAGTTTGAAAGTTGCCCGTAAACAGCCTAAAAACAGCAAGTAAAAGGGATAAGAATAGAGCACAGTTTGGGGAACAGTAGTAATAGGAGCAAGCGACGAAGCCAAAACCTACAAAACCTTTTTTTAAAGAGAATGGTTGCAATCCGTGAAAATAATGACGGCATGACGGATCGATGGCAATCAAAACCCAGACGGAAATGGACAGTCCAAATGAACGCCGACTTATTGTGATGCAAACGAGAAGCAGCGGCCATGACATAGATGAACCAGCCTCCACTTGATAGCAACGGTAGAAAAAAAGGCTTTATTACATTTAGGATGGCGTTATGGGACGCGAGAAGCTACGATGGCTTTGGATTCTCAATTCAGAACTTAAAAGAAAAATCGGCGATCTCTTCAAACAAATTTATATGACGGAAGATAGTTTTCTAAAAGCATACCTTCGAGGATGTTTCACTGACATTATGCAGCCTTATCTTCGTGGAAACTTTGCTTCGTGACCTCGATGCTGTTAAAAAAGTTCTCGAGTCGTCACGACAAATTGTTACCATATATACAGATCCGGGTTGTTCGGATGCAAGTTATTAAAAATGGTTTTTAAAATTTCTTTGTTTTCAGTAGGCCTCTTACAAATGATCTGTTTGTTTATTCATTTCATTTTTTCTCAGTGGGGGTTCGGTCAAAACGGGAAACAAAAATGTTTAGAGAGGAGAAAAAAGATGCTTATCTCGCTCCACCATGACATCTCTGTTTGCTTCAGTTTCTTCCGCCGCCATCTTCGGTCGTGAGAATCCGCGAGTGTGACTGGGGGCTCATTATGTTCGAACAGAAGTCTTAAGTCGAGCCTTTCAAGGTTTGCTCTTGCAGCCCGCGTCTGTCGAAGAATGCGAGACGAAAACAGCGTAGAGCAATTATACAAATTACTGTTAACCGACCTGACCTTTGGCAATTAGTATCTCGTTTGCTTTCCGTCTGTTATTTCAACAGACACATACATAGATCGCATGCATAGTTGCGATGAATCAACGAAAATTGTAACGCGATCTTGATCCTGTAATTAACTGGATTTCAGTCAGAACTGCAGTCGAAGGCGAATGATCTTATGTCTGTGGATCACCATATACTAACAGTAGAGCGGTTTTTTGGCCCGATAAAACATCAAATAAAACCTTGAGTACTGCTTCCTAATTAACTGAGAGTTGGGTGACCTAGCAACAAAGTTCTGTGACGTCATGAACAAAACTAACAACACAAAGAACCTTAGTGGAGGCTTCCATGCAAATAGAGCAGCAGAATTACTTGAATACTCCATCGCTGAGCGATGTCGATGAAACCTACCTAAGGGTATGTATGCCTTTCTCAAAATTTCGTTTGCACAAAATTAACTCTTTGGATCAGCTTTCATTAGTTGATTCTTTGTTTTGTCGAGATTTGATGACAGAGATCATATTAGCTTGCCTTCAGCTCGTGTGAGTCTTCAAGTGGTTTGGAATTTTGGCCCCAGAGTTAAATTATCAAAAGGTGGTTTTCAAACGGGACTCTATTTCTCACTATGTAATACTCTCTCCATGTAAGAGGATCGAATTGATGAAGGCAACTTGATCGACCTTTTCGTAATCAACTTGTAACAGCAGCAACATAATTTCGTTGCTAGGCATGAAAGGATACTAAGAGTAAGCCAGGTTGTTGGTTTCTAAATAAGATTGAATACACATATCGATTCCAACAGCAAAATACTGATAGTGTTTAATGATAATTTCAAAGATATCGAATTTAGAGAAGCGATCCCTTCCTTCTCTGTATACTTCCGAGTTATTTCCTCAAGCCGCTCATTGAAAGTTTGTCGTCATCTCTTCGTAGAAAGTGTTTCAAGTTACCTTATTTTATAAAGTGTCGATAAGAAAACAGAGAAATGGTGTAGTAGTTATTCGGTTATAAGGCGCACCTTTTTTTTCAAGAAATTCCTAATTCCTACTAAAAAATTACCGGAAAAGTTTGAGTGCGTCTTATAGGCGAATATTTTCCCGAAACAATTTTTTTTGATCACAGTTACTGGTACGATTTCAAGCACATAAAAGGATACACAGTGTTAGTCATTGACTTTTATAAATATGGTGGTTCTGAAAAGACGAGCGAAGTCAAATTTGCATAGATATGATACGTGCTCGAGAGCACGTGCTCAGTAATTTGATTTCACAAAACAAAACGAAAATAATCAAGCGAAGAGATAAATACCTTCTTCATCTATCCAGCCTTTTTTGTGCACTGAGACCTGCATTCTCGGCGGTATGTTAATTCTTGTTTAATCAAGGCTTTTGTTTGTGCGCGTGGTCACGTGTGCGACAATTCTGCTTTTGTTAATTAACAGTAAACTTTAATCAATACGCGACTTTTTCGCTTTTTTGTAAGTTTATGAAAGAATTTACAATAAACTTGACCGATCTTTACTCCCCAAACAACGGTGCGCCTTATAACCAAGTATTTTAGCGATATTTCAGTTCGAAAACATGCAATAATGAAGTTGCCGAATTGGGGGTGCGTCTTATAGCCGAGTGCGCCTTATAACCGAATAACTACGGTATTTACAGATTTTTATTGTTTTTCTTCTTTGAATTTTAGAATTTAGAAAGACTGAGGTTTCTCAGCAGTTACCAAACCAACGTTTTGTGGTTTCTCGGAGAGTAAGCACGCAGGAAACGATGGATGTAAGTCATTTTGAGTAGTTCTCACTTGATTTTGTTGATTAAATTACACGTTTATATAGATGTAGATGGAGAAAATTTTTCGGCTCTCATCGGCCACAAAGACTGTCATTCTCATGCAAAACGGGTGCAAATTTGTATCACGAATGAAAATTACAGATTACACGTTTCCAAATATACAGCTGAATGTCTTTTGATGATGACCTTGTCAAGTTTTAATTTGAACATTCAGTTGAATGCCAAAAAATAAAGTTAAAGCACGCACTGTCAACATTTCACTTGTTTTGATTCATTGTGTTTTATTCTCCATGTATAATTATTATTGCGACTTTTTCAGACAACAAATTGAACTCACCCCACGGGCTCAGAAAATTCACTGCTTACTTTTACCAAAGGGAACTCAAATTATGAGACTACTTACCCATAATGTATCACACAGACACCCGCTTAACGCGGTGGAATGAAATACTATATCATGTAGTACAATTACCTATAACTAGTGACCTCGATGTCATTGGCACTATTATCGTGACCACCGCTCGTTACAAACGTGTTGATAAATATCTTACTCGCTAAGTAGAGAGAAGGTCGCGTCACACACGTTTTTTCGTTGCTTCGTTGCTTCGTTGCTTCGTTTCGTTGCTTCGTTGCTTCGTTGCTTCGTTGCTTCGTTGCTTCGTTGCTTCGTTGCTTCGTTGCTTCGTTGCTTCGTTGCTTCGTTGCTTCGCTGCTTCGTTCCTTTTGTTGCTTCGTTGCTTCGCTGCTTCGTTCCTTTTGTTGCTTCGTTCCTTCGCTGCTTCGTTCCTTCGCTGCTTCGTTTCTTCGCTGCTTCGTTCATTCGTTGCTTCGTTCTTTCCTTTAACTTTTTAGTCAGTCAGCTAACCGTTAAAATATTTACTTTATATCCTAATTATAGTCTTGGAGACAACAATATCAGTTCGAAAATGAGGACGAGGCGTTAGTCAAGGCACTTGAGCTTTCCCGTCTGGAGCAACAGGGCAGCCAAAGAGTACAGACACAACCAACAGTTGAGCCGCGTCAGACTGAATTTCAACGAACCACTCAAGCTTTGGGTCCAGATTTAAAGAGTACGTTGACGTCGGTTTTTATGCTTTCTATGAACCTCCGCACTGTTTATTTCCAAATTGTAACCTTAAATGCCTTATACTTCATTTTCCATTGATTGAACCAAATAAGTAAATTTTAATCTTCTAATTTTGACAACCTACATTTGATAGAGAAGGGAATTTGTTTTTATAAGTGTGGCAGAGTTTCTTATCAAATATGTTAGGCTTTAAAGGGAAAACAGGTCGCAAGTCGCAAGCTGAAACCAAAAGGGCAACTCCACTTTGCCTGCCAAACAACTGTAAATGGGATTCGAGCTCAGGCCAGTACATCAAAACAGGAGAAATGCGAACCTCACTGTATGTGGTAGATGAAGCACTTGAAAACCTCCGGAGGATTAAAGGTAAACTGTAAACTTACTAATCAAACTTACAACATATTTGCATGCTAATCCCGTTATGGCTGATGGTCGGCGTGACTAACGTCATTAAAAATTGTTTTCTTTATTATGTCCAAAATGGTGCAACTTTTTAACTTTCTCGCTTGAATTTTACACGAACAATTCACCAAAGATGGATAAGTCACAATATGAAACGGAATACCTGGAGATTTCATAATTCCTGAGGAGGAAGAATTAAATAGATATAGCTCAAACAATCGAACGTTGCGAGGTCAATTTTCATTTTTGAGTTTTTTTCCTATGCTCATAGTACACACCAACTATGAAAAGAGAAGAGAAAATGAAATGAAAAGAAGGATGCACTCACCTGTTGGAATCTGTGATCTACAAATGAGTAAACACATAAAATTATGGAATCGAAGTATTTGAACCCTAGCTTTTTGTAGCAGACGAGTCCTTTGTGTAATTCTTGCAATCAACGATCATCTAGGTCCAGTATGTGTGGTGTCTATCGCCGGGCCATACAGAAAAGGAAAGTCCTTTGTACTCAGCGAAGCCTTCAATCAACCACAAGTTTTCCCTCTTGGACATCACATGGAACCGGAAACCATGGGAATCTGGTTATGGATAGTGCCGGACAAGTTCAGGGTTTGCCGGATCATTATTTTGATTTTCTTTTGTTATTTATAATAATTTGGCAAGGTATGAAGATGTAATCGACATATTTCTCATAAGGATGCTAAAGGCCAGGAAATCACAATAGTGCTGCTGGACTCTGAGGGAATTGACGCAGTAACTGGAGAAGGACTTGATGATAACCAGATCTTCACTTTAACAGTTTTGTTAGCCTCAGTTTTGATCTACAATTCACAAAGCGTTCCAACTAGGCGTGATCTTGAGGGACTGGAGTATCCTTTCAAATGCAGTAACAACAACGAGATGTTTATTTTAACCATGAAAGTTTTTTTTAAACTGCAATCTAAGATTACAAGTCAGTCAACTATTTGTGAAGAAGAGAGCCGCTTGAATAAAGACAACTTGGTGAATTTTTAAGGCGGGAATCCAAAATGGTCATTGGCTACTCGAACTCAAGACTACCAGAACTGTACATATAAGAATCTGTTACAACAAAATAAATAATTTTATAACAAAATAGACAGCTGTCGGTTTTCCCTCAAAGTGAAAAATAGTTTTTCCGATAATAGCAATGTTGAGTTCATTAGAAATTGAAAAGTGTAAAGCTTGTCTGGAAACAAATGGGAATAACCCGTTTTGGCTTAGGGCAACGATAAATACTGATTAACTCGAAGATCAGGATCCTGAAGTCAGGCCAAACTCAGTACAAACACTGAAATTGGTCCATTAATATTTTTTGTACAATCTGGACAATTTTCTTTAATAAATATAGTTTCATTGTGAAACTAACTCATCGTATTGAGGTGCGATCAACAACAAAGCATGAGACCGAGAGAAGCCATCGGGACTCAGAGTATTTCCATAAGACCTTTCCTTTCTTCATATGGCTACTTAGGGACGTAACACAAGCAATTCCAAGAGACTGTAGCAATGTTAAGGACTACTTCTTGAAAAAGGTGAGTTTGGGCATAACTCCTGAACGAAATATTGAATATAGTCTGCAGTTCGGAGGGCTATTAATTGATGAGTGAAAGCACAACTTCCACAACTGTCAAAATATTGCCTCCTTAGATTACCTTATCTATTGTTATTTTATCAAATAAAACTGTATATTTTGTTTTGGAAGGTATTTAAGGTCCAGGATTCATCAGCTGTTGGCCAAGAAAGTCAGAAAGTAGCCGAAAGCATCTTAAGCTTCTTTCCCGGTTTCGAAGCATTCACTTTACCTTCTCCCACCGTCGACCCCGAGGCGTTAAAAAGTATCACTGAAAACAAAAGTCTCATTAATCCTTTGTTCATCAGTGGGTTGGAAGATTTCAGAAGTTTGGTGAGGCGAATTCTGCTCCCCAAAAACAGCATTAACGATGGAGAACTTGTCACCGGAGAAGGTAATGGAAGGTTTTGTGCAACCTTTGTTACACTTTACAGTTCCACTCAGACCGTGACTTCGTGCTGAAACAGCCCAGCTCTAACAATGACGATGGCATATTCTCACCCTGGACTGAAAATAAGCTTGAATGGTCCATGGCTTTGAAACACATTCAATTAATAGTGGACCATGGCTTTACTCTTTACTCACAAAGCATGACGCAGATTATTGTTAGTGTTATATCAGCGCAAGTACAAATTTATAGTTCTTATTTAATCAGGCCTTGCAGTACTGGTACAGCTCTACGTCCAAGCCATCAACACGCCTGGTATGGTCCCGAATGTTCAGAACGCCTGGGATCAGTTTGTGGAGGTGAAATGTTCTGACGCAATGAAAGATGCACTTAATGCTTATGACACCACCATGTCATTACAACTGAAGGATAAGTTACCGTGTGATAATGATCGACTGCGAAATGGTCATGGAATGGCACTGGAGAACAGTGAAGCCCATTTCATGGCGGACACGGCAGGAATATCTACAAACACGATCGAGACGTTTCTGAAAAATTTGAAGGTTAGGCCTTTATTCGGGTTGCACGATCCTTGATGGAGATACGTCTGAGAGTATTTCTTAATTATTGCTTGTGCAATTTATAACCCAGACTGACATCTTGTAAAATCAACTTGCGAAAAAAAAGATGAAAAAGAAACTTTTTGCTATTAACGTTTAGAGTCCATCTAACTCGTATCCACACTGCAGATATGGCTCACGGTACCAAGAAGTGGAGATTAATCCACTCAAAGTTTAGGAAAAGTTATGTCTCAAAAAGATAAAGAAAATAGTAAAGCAAGCAATGCATTAAGCTTATTCTTAAACAGGAAACGGTTTTTTTATGAAGGAGAGAAGTGCTAACATTCTTGCCAACTCATGTTTGCGTTACTTTAAGCTTTTTCCTAGTAAAACAGGTCGAAGAAGCTCAAGGAGGCGTCAAACGAAATCCTCTCACTTCCCAGTTTAATATCCTGTTCTACTGTATCGTTATTCTCGATTTAGGAATCGTTGAGTGAAAGGTTTCACTTATGGCAAGAGAAGAATGCAAAAATGACCAGAGAATTCTGCAACAACCTGCTCGCAATGCTCAAAAAGCAGCATCTGGACCCAGTAATACAGCAACTACAGAGAAAAGAGGGAGCCAAGCTTTCCTTTCATGAGATTATTGGAAAATACAATCTGATTAAAGATGACTACCACAAGTCTGCAATCGGCGCAAAAGATGAAATTGAGGCGGTGTTTTTTGAGTTTCACCCAGTAAGTAAATTCAGGGCTTAAGTTCTCCTATATTCAGTGATGTTAGTCTCTTTACTCAGTCTTATCTACAGATGCATTCATCCTTATGGATCGTTTGTTCTTTAAAGTCACACACGTAGGTTCTTGGTAGCCTGGCTATAGAGCACAGAGTTTGCTTCCTGGCTCTCATTGGTTAGTTTAAAGCCCCGTGCTCGCTTCCTGGTTCTCATTAGTTAGTTTAAAAGTACATTGTTCGCTTCTTAGTTCTCATTGTTAGTTTAAAAGCACAGTTCGCGGATCGTTCCCGTGTGATTGCTTAGTAGGCGTCAATTTCACAGGCTTTTCCATGGAGTTTTGAGTTTGTTCATACTCCTAGAAAAATGCTACTGATACATGCAGTATTGGTCAGTATTCATCTATATGTTAACGGTTAACAAGCTGGTGAAGAAAAAAAATCGACGTGGGTTGCACTTGATTTTGACTTACTGTATCCAAAGAGAGGAATCCTACTTTTGAAGTTAAGATTCTTTGATTTCTTTTTTTATCGTTTTTTTCTTAAATGTGTGCTTATTTGTTGTCTTTCTTGAGGCATTGATGAAAGAGCAAGAGCAATACATGAGCCTCTTACAACAGCTGAAAGACTACGATGAAAGACTGACCGAAGAATTGGCTGCCAAAGCCTTTCAAGAGCAGGAAAAACAAAAGCTTGAGGTAATGCCCTTATCATGCTTTGAAATTTTCAGATTTCCACATTGCTTGACTAATTATGAAATGCTTATTCGAGATAACTCTAGAGGAGGAAGTCTATCAGTAACAGAGTAACTGCAACTTCTTTCCTTCCCTTGTGCTCAGAGTAATAACTGACGGATCAAGAAGCCAGAATTTTAAAATTATTTGACCAACCAGGGCACGCCTATTTCGATTAAACGCATGATCTGACGCAATCATTTACCATTTATACAGAACGAATTCGCATGATTATTTGAAAACATGGAATATCAAACTGATTTCATTTTTTTCACCACTTTCGAATATCGAAGGAACAGCAACAGCGTTTGCTGCAAGAGAATCGTCAAGTTAAGAGAGAGGTAAGAAAGACTTCTGTTCAAAACATAGATATTAATTGAAGTAACATTTCTTTTTGTTGACGTAGTCGCGTCAAAAGCAAGATACACAATGTACGATAATCAATTTTCTCTCTGGTTCATCACATGAATCAACACTTTGTTGCTTAATCCTTTGGATTATTTCTGAGTGTATTCTCCCTATTTTCTTGCGGAAGGAAGTGGGAGAGTTTGGCGTAAGAAAACTAACTCGTAACCTTTCGCAAAAAAACTTTGACACTCCAATAACGTTGCCATGTTTAACTTGTTTCAGTATAGTTGCTCCAGTGATCATAGATATGCGCGTGTGCTGATTGTTCGAGGATTGCGTCATATCTCCCAATAATCACCTTGCGAGCAAGGGTGCTAAATTTCAAATGGCTTGCCCGTGTTTTGTCAACTTTACCCAGGAAGTGATAAGTGCAATCGAAAAAATTCAATCATGATCATGAAAAGCACAAAATATGCGGCTGAGTTTGGAGTAACCCTTTCCAAAAGAAAGATATGAAGTGTTGCTGATTGAATGAGATATATATACCAGTTGAATTCTAGTGGAAACTGGCTGCGTCTCAGAGGTTTTTCAACAAAATTCACTTTGCCTTCGACGAATAATTATTAAATGTTAACCATTTCGTTTTGGTACACTGTTGTTGAAATTATCGTGCATTTTTATACAGATGGAAATGTTAAGCGAAAGGCAAAACGAGGAGAGAAAGAAATTCCGGGAGCAAATGGATAACGATCTTCGAGTCCAGAGAGATCAGATGAACAACATGATGGACGCAAATATGCAACAAGCACAGAGGGAAAGAGAGCAGTTTTTGCAAGAAATTCAGCAACTCCGAAACCAGTTCCTTGACATGCAGAAAATGAACGAGGAAAACATCAAGATGATAAAAAAGCTGTCTAAGTTGGTTGAAAGGCAAGAGGAAGAGAAGAGAAGAGAGGAAGAGAAGATGGAAAGAACTCAAGCTGCCATGGAAAAAAAGGAGAAGTTTGAAAAGATGGAAGCAAGGCACAGAGAAGAAAAGGAAAGTCTACGTCGCGAGATGGAGGAAAAGCTTGAGCAACAACGCCAAGCTTTGACAGAAGAGTACCAAAAGGCTGCTCAGTCTCGAATGCAAATGGTGGAAGAAATAGGAAAAAAGTTGGAAGACGTTGAAGAGGAGCTAAAGGAAGTTAAGAAACCAGGCTTTATTAAACGAGCTGCCATAAAAGTGAAAGATGCGATAGCTACTGGAGCTCGAAAAGTAGTGGAGAATTGCGTAGTAATGTAAGAAATCACAACACGACCCGCAAAAATTGAAAGAAAATACTTATAAAAGTGATTGGAAAGAAGATTCTCAAGTTATATTCGATTCATTGTAATTGACGTCTTTTAAGATATTTCACCTTGACGAATAAGTCGCAGATTGTCAATGTTTTTCGTTTTTGCAGCTGTTTTTAAAATAATTCGTCAAGACAAAAAATGACAAAAAAAAACCTAAGCTAGACTCGCACACATGATGATTAGAGCTATATACGACTTCACGTGGTAGGAAATTAATGTAGAAGTAGCTGCAAATATGGTTTTTTAGAGGAGATTTATGCTGAACAGAATATATCACCTTAAGTTACCGCTGATACCTGGATTGCCTTTACAGTTTGGATTTACTGATTTTCCTCTTCCGCTCGACCACGGTGTGGAGTTACTTCGTCCACACCCCATATTTCAAAGAAATTGATACCAAAGCAAAGGGTCTGATGTGGAAACTATATCTAAATAAAGCTAAGATGACTGAAAATGCCAGCACGAAGTTATCACCATGCACGAAACGCCAATGAGTCGTTTCAGAAGAGTAGCTAGAAGAGTCAATAGCATGCTCTCGGTATAGTACCAAAGACTTTAACTAATTTCTCTATAGATTCATATGTAATAGAGCAATAAGTAAGATATCGATGTCCAAGCTTAAGATTTATAAATTTGTGCAGTTGCCACATTAAAACAATTTTCTTAGGCCATTTCTGCGACTATTTGAGTTTTTTCGGTCGGCTTGAAATTGGCATAGCTTGACTTGGAGGAGGCAATCTTACACTGTCTACAAGCCTTAAAAATGCCTGTTCTGTTTAGAAACACACTGCTTTACTGCAGCATAATTTCTCTCGGTTGACCCCTCTTTTTATTTGTAAAACTCTAAAGAAGAGCCGGAGCGCGAACTCATTCCAAAGGAAAAATTACGTAGCTATCACTGGTAACGTGATAATCGCCTTGAAAGCTTGTAATATTTTTAGTCAATACCCCTTCCCGAGGGCCGCCTTTGTCATTAAATCAGCACAGAATTGTTCCTTTTAATCAGTTTAGTGAATCCTCTTGGTTAAGAATTATCAAAGCATGTCTTAAAAGTTGTAATAGCTGACTCTCACTCTTGAAGTATTGATGTCATCGACAATTCGCCCTAGCTTTCCCAGAAATGTGCCATTGTTCTAAAATTCTACTCTAGTGGTTACATGCACCAGATATTTTTTTTTTTTAGAACGAAATACTTCTCACCTGGTCTTCTCGGAAAACGCAACGAAATATGATGGGATTGGAACACAAATCCGTTGGTGTAGTAGTAACTGGTAGTCTGTAATAAACCTTTATTAACAGCTTGCCGACTGCGAACAACATCAAGTTGATCCGAGCTCGACTGATTAAATCATGCGTAACTGTCTAAAACTAAATTATTACATCATATCCTATTTATCAATCAGTTTACATGAGTAAGCGCACGATGTAAGCATAACAACATAAACAATGCATCGTTGGATCCGTAGTTATAGCTTTAGTTTCCGTAATTACAACTTTTTCACCAATAGTCTCATTTTCTTTTCGTTAGAACGGTACTAACACTTACTTTATAGTGGGAAACAATCCTAAGGCGTGTAAAGAATGACTTATTTAAACTTTCATTTCCGGGAAATTAGGTTAAAGGTTTGTTTTCTCGACGTCTGCATCGCCGTCTTTATTTGAATTTTTAAAGATCACCATTGTTAAATGACAAAGTAACTCAAGCGTAAATGTAAATTCCCGGATTGTAAAACTGTCGATCAATTTACCGACGGTCTTTCGGATAAACTGGCCATTGTTCTTCTGGCAACAAGTTACTTAACACTACGGACATTACGATGACTTTGGGAATGCCATAGTCTTTAACTTCACGCAAACAAAAGTAACGCCAGACGTCTTGAAAGAGTTCTCATTTGTGCAGCTGAATGAGGGTAAATATATTCAAACTTTAATCGCGGTATGATGCGTAGGTATATTTGATCATTGGTCTTCATTAACGTTAACTGTTTTTACTTCTGGCCTATTTATGGTAGATTCGGTAAAACTGCATCATCCTATTAAACATGTTTACTCTTACACTGGACGAACTCTGCTTAGTCCAGAAACAAAACTTCTTGCGAAGAAAGCGAATCGACACCGCGCGATTCTTCGCTCATTCGCATAATTAAACATTGAGAAATACAAAGTTTCTTTTCCTACTTTATCAAAACTCACGTTCTTTTAGATTCTTGTTTAATCACGATCCTGGCTTTCAGAGAAGTAATGAAGTATTGGTGACAAATCAGAATGATGGAATTCGATTTTAGGCTCAAATATGTCGTTGTTTCCTCTTCCGGTTTAATTCCGCGAAAGTGAGACAGACATGATCAAAGCCGCGTAGACTTAATGATTAAACAAACTGCTGTCACGCTATACTCTGTTTATTACTGGGCCATTCTCTGTAAATTTAACTTGTTGAAAGTTATAGAGAAAGCCCCATTTTATATTTGGAGATGTTACTTTTCCTCCTAACACGGTATGAGTGTTGGATCAGTGAAGAGTTTATTTGCCAGCGTATATAAACAAATATACGAAACGATTGTGGTTTGATCTGATTATTTTACCCCATCTCTAAATTTAAACACGGTCTCATGTGATATAAAGAATAATTAACCAAGGACAAATTCTCAAGACCGGTGTATATGTGATTGCATTTTTAAACCCCCGTCCGATTATTTATATGCTTGGTCCAACAAGAAGCAGAAGAAAGCTAAAAGCGTTTGTAGTCATACAAAAAGGGAACGAATGTCAAAATCCATATTAACCCTTCCACTCCCCAAGATCCCACTAGTAATTCTCCTTACTGACTGCCATACAATTCTTATGATAGTATTTCGGAGAATTTGTTATTAGATCAACTGATAATTCTCCAATTGATGTTTTTCTTTATTCTCATCACTTGTCTGCTTGATGTTGTTTCGAAATTGTAATGAGAAATTCAGTCTTGGTCACTCATGGGAGTTAGAAGGTTGAGGGAATATACTTGGGTTAAGCGGTATAAGAAACGAAGGCATGTCCACGTATTTTTCCTTCACTACTACTGAAGTTACAGAAAATAAATAACATACTACTGTAAATTGATGGTAACAAATAATACTTTAAGGAAATCATATATATTTTATATAGTTTATAAGCAGAATTAAAACTATAGAATTAAACTAGGAGAGGAATCACCCTTTAACTTGTTTCCTTTATTTTTTATCTTTAGTCTTCGATCAGAAGATAAAGACCAAGTATCACAAGCATCAATACAGTGTTTGCATACTGAAATTCTGAGGGTGACTCGCCGAACATTAACCGAAGGCATCTACCATGGCTGTAAGTTTATTTTCTTTTATCTCTTGTAGCTTTGCCTCATATTGCTTTGTATATAAGCTTTTATTTTGTATTTGTTATTTCCGTCGTTGCCGCTTGGTTTCTTTTCAACATGCAACGTGAAGGGCCAATTAAGTCTGATGTAGCTGATACTTCACTTGCAGCCAGTTGTGGATAACTTTACACATGCTTTTTTTGACTGCCTGCAAGATGTTTCAGTCCTTATACAATAATCTAGGGAATTTGGTACAAAACATGTATCAGTTCAAAACTTACAATTTCTTATAACTTGTTTGCTCTCCAATGCGCCGATGTTGCCAGGAGAATTGATATCTTGATGACCCATGGGTTCAGTAAATGATTCTTTAAGAAATCTTGGCAGATTTCCCTTAGTACGCTTCTCATCTGTTTGCCACAAAATGGAAAGTTGCACCCTTGTAGTGTTGACTCGTTGTAACACCAAGAGTCCAGAAAACGTTATTAGATTAAAATCAAGAGAACGTAACGAGGAGAGAGGGAAAATAAAGGCGTTGGCCAGGATATGTAGATTTCACTTAAGTTATCTCTAGCTTGGACTTGGAAGCATCGAGTTTCTCGAATACTGTAGTTTCTTATTGCCGGAGTCCGTTTGATGTTTAAAGAACCAATCTCGTCGCTGTTCGCTGGCACTTCAATCATACTCACAGGCGATCAAGGCCTACTGAAAGAGGACGGATGCGTTTCATTTTCCGTGACCAAAAGGCCATATGCGAAACGGAAAGCGATGTGTGACATGTGCAATAACACGAAACGAAACGTGACTCTCGTCTCGGAGCCTATGGAGGTGTTGTGTTCCAAAGGTTTTATTTTATGAAGATTTGTACAAGGAGAAACGGGTTCGTAATGCTTGGTTAGCTTGTAAAATTTATTATCCTGTGATGTAACCGTCATCGTTTTCTGATCTTAATTTTTAAGAGTTTGTCTTATATGTTAACACACGCTCAGAGCGTTCCGGCTACGGCTATCTTTAAATAACATGAGATTGACATATCCTAAGGCCTGGAGCAGAAAGCGTCCTTCTCTGTCCCATTATTTTATCCTGATCAGTGACAAATTGTATCGCCTACATCTTGATGGATACATAAGCATAACTTCGAATTTTAAGGATATAAGTGACCTTTTTTGTTGCAAATGCAAATCTGTAAATCACTAATCAGCAAGGTGTCATATCTTGTTTGGAAATATTATTTTACATCAGGGATTTGAAGATTTGAGGCGTTTCCAGTTGGAAAATGAAGACGAAGCCCTGGCCAAAGTACTAAAAATGTCCAAACCAGAAGACTCTCCAACTCCCTCATCTTTGGTGCAGGTATCTTTTTATCCAGAGTTACCAACTTTCAGCATACATTCAAGATTCTATAAGTTCTGGTCTTAACATGGTAGTGTTATGAACTACTAAAATTAGAGGTGTTTGGGAACTAATAAAGTTAAAATTGTTCTGGCTAAATTTTTGGGAACTTTTTAGGCCTGTTAGATTATCTTGGAATACTTATGCGACTCTTGTGAGCCTTGGTTAGTTATGTGCTGCAAGACCATACATTTATCTTTACCCTTTGAGTGATGTGTCCTTGAACGTTGTAGTAAGGCTTAATTCTCATACGATGATCGTCATTGCCACTATTTTTTTTCCCATCTGACAGGATTTTCAAACACAAGATGATGATGAAGATCAAATATTAGCTAGAGCTGTGGCTCTTTCTTTAGAAACACCAGGTTTGTAATTTAATGTAACCGGTGGGTCAAATGCATAAGCCTTTGACCACGGATCAATTCGTCCTTTTCCAAACCCCGGTAGCGTCTTTGTATTTATTATTGCAACAAAAATGTATACTCATAAAAGTAACCTTTACACATGGGTGCCATAAAGAGCAACCTAAAGACGCATTTCATATTCTTGTTCAGAAGTGATCAACAGGGTAATTTAATATTATCAACTGAGTTAATAACGTAAATTGGCCATCGTAAATAGTTACAACGCTGATGTTTCGAGCGTTGGCTCTTTGTCAAAGCAGATGGACAAAGGGCTAACACTCGAAACGTCAGTTTTTTAACTCTTAACGGTGGCCAATTTGCGTTATCAGCTTAGCTGATAACACTAAATTACCCTGTTATACTCTCCAACCAACGCAGCACCACAGTTTCTTTAGAAACTTCTCTCCTTTATTCAGATGTGATTAGCCATGTTCATCTTAATGCTCAAGTAATTTCTCAAATGGAAAAAAAGAAATGACAGTCCTTCTATTTAGACCAGTCATTTACTCACTAAGTCAATTTTAAACTTTAAAAAAACGAAATCCTTTTTTTCCTTTACATTCGTTTAAGGCCCTTCACCTAGATATTTTTACAATGACAAGAATGAATAAACGTCAACCAGGAAACCACTTAAATGCCTCCTTCGTCATTTTTAGCTGTCATAACATTTCAAAAGTTTTTTGTTGATTTTTCTTGATGCTTGCTGATTCGTTTCCTTGGGTTTGTTGTCTTTCTGTCTTCTTACGTATGTCGAGTGCATGTCTCGCCCCAATTGAATATTCAGGAAATTAGGGGGAAATGCTAGAAATATTTCATACTTCGTTTTTATTACTATTTCACACTCGGTTTGGATCCATTCAATCCGATGGCTCTAACGCTTCATCCGCTGAACTTCTACTTGCTGACGTCAATTGGTTCGATCCTTCGGTACGCACCATAGAGAACACACAATCTGCTTCTCCCCTTTGTTTGCCAAACAACTACCACTGGAATGCGCTTGCGGGAAGGACGACAAAGACAGGCGATCAGAGGAGTTCTCTAAGAGTGGTCGAGGAAGGACTTGAACAACTCAGGAGAGTTAAAGGCAAGCTATGGTCGGCTACAATATTGATATTGAGGATGTTATCTAATTCTCAAATTTCGCTGACCAAAATGTAGTTCATACAAAGAAGTTGCTAACTCAAAATGGAAAAATTTTCATTTCGTGACCTAAAATGAAAACGATGCGTAATTTAAGCTCCGGTCTGATTTGAATTAAATTAGAATTGCTTCAATTAATTAGGCCAAACAATAAAGAAAACCTACAAGTGATTATAGCAAAATGTATTCTTCATTTAAATCAGTCATTATGTTAAATGCGAATTTCTTTGTATCATTCTTCAACAGGCCCAGTGTGCGTAGTATCCATCGCTGGTCCTTACAGAAAGGGGAAGTCCTATATATTAAGCCAAGCTTTTGACCAACCAGATGTTTTTCCTCTTGGACATAAAATGGAGGCTGAGACTATGGGAATCTGGATATGGATTGTTCCAGAAAAATTCAAGGTTTGTTTATTCATTGAGTTTGGCAGTATCTTATAAGATAAAAGTAACCTTGCACTAACCGCTTTTAATTAATGATGTCTATTTTCAAAATGTTGGGGTAGACACGGTAGGAATCCGGTCGGAAGGTACGGATCGAGACCTGGCTGGGTCGTTTTGCCGTTTTCTGAGGCAAGAAACTTTAGTCTCACAGCGCCTCCCTCCATTCAGAAGTTTAAATGGCCCGGTACCGGCGAACTGCCGGGAAGCCTGACGAAATGCGAAAGGGCTATCACTGTTATGCATGTATTAGGTAACCCGTATTGGGTGAGTGGCAAATAAACCCGGTCGCGTCGTGCTGCAGAAACCGCGGGATAAACTCCAACTGAACGGGCCACTAACCTCAAGTCCAGAGTTTACCTATTAACTTTATAAAATTTGTTCAATCGATATTGCATTTAGAATTCCAATGGACAAGAATTCACAGTGGTTTTACTGGACTCTGAAGGGATTGACGCCACAAATAGTGAAAACACCGATGACCATCAGATCTTCACTCTAACAGTCTTGTTAGCGTCCGTGTTGATATACAATTCGCAAGGTGTTCCGACACGAAGTGATGTAGAGAAACTGGAATATCCTTGACAACTCTCCAGTAGAACAGATATCACAACTACAGTTAATAGGATTGTCTGCATAAAAAAAGCGGGCAAAATTCTAGTTGTTGTTGAAAGCTCTGTAACAAGACAAAATCGTTTGCTCTGTGTTCAAACAAAAGATAGAAAAACGGTTGTGCACAATCTCTTTTTGTTTTTTGTTTTTTTTTTTAGTTTTAACACTGGATTCTGATAAATAAACAGGGAGCTTTTATAGGTCATTGAGCTCAAAATAATGTGGGTATCAGTTTTGGTTGACATATATACCATAGAGATGCTCTTATATTCCTTGACGGTTTGCAGCTACATAGTAAAACTTTCCGAAAGAATTCAGACGCGATCCACCGTCTCTGGTGCGTATAGTCCATCGCAAAACAGCGAGTTTTTCCATAAAACATTTCCCTATTTCATCTGGCTGCTTAGAGATGTAACACAGTCTATACCAGATGACTGCAAGAACATCAAAGAATATTTCTTAAAAAAGGTAATCCTTGTCGTTCTACTAGTTTTGGGAGGCATACGACTGTTAATGACACGTTTTTGACGGTGTGTAAGAAGTAGCTTAATCCATCCTCAATCACCGGCCATTAGGGAAGGAAGCTCTTTTCATTAGTTTGTATCGGAAAAGTCCAACCATCCAGAGGGATGGCATAGTATCTGCTTGTAAGATTTGTTTGATGACGCCTATCCTTGTTAAAAGAACATAGTTATCCGCAGAGGCTAATCTCATTAAATACGATAGATCTCTACTCTCCTTTAGAGAACAATATCTTGCTTAAAGTAGATCTTCAAAATTCAAATCATATGAAGTTCACAATCTATGTTCAAGGGTACCTGCCATCTCGGTATTTCATTAGGATAATTCGGTTATATAGAAACTTAAGGATCATGGGCTTCTCATGCTTAACGTCAGGTTTTTAAAGGACAAGTTTCATCAGATGCGGATAATAAAACCGAGGAAGGAGTAGCTGGGAGCATCTTACGTTTCTTTCCTGGCTTCGATGCCTTTATGTTGCCACCTCCAACAGTTGATCCTGAGACAATGAAAAGCTTAAACAAGACAAAAAGCAAAGTGAATCAGTGGTTCTGGCGTGGCTTGGAGAGGTTTAAAAGCTTACTGAGGGACACTTTATCCCCTAAACGCAGCTTCAATGATGGAGAGTTCGTCACAGGAGAAGGTAGACTTGCTTTTTTTTTTAACTGTCGCTTTAGATATCTACCATGAATGAGATTATTTTAAATGCAATAGCGACTTCTAACTGTGCACACGCACGATCAGCGATTCTTGCCTTCCTGGTATGAACACCTGAGAAAGAAAAATTTGGGATACACGAAGGAATATTCAAACTATCTACCTTTTTCAAAATTGACTTGATCCGGTTCCTTTGAAGCAAATGCAAGAAATGTAGCCTGGAAAGGAATCGTTCATCTGAACAATGCTGCATTCGAATCAGAGTGATCAACGCCCAGAGAAAAAATTGATAGCAATAATTATGATGTTGACAATGATGAAATAATAATAATAATAATAATAATTATGATATTAATAATAGTCATCATAATAGTTATAATAATTGGGATGTGGCAATTTGGTTATAAAAAATGGAATACTTCAATAAAATTTCATTTTAGGTCTCGCAGCTATGGTTCAGCTCTACGTCGACGCAATAAATGCTCCTGATGCTATTCCGAATGTTCAAAGCGCATGGGAGACGTTTGTCGAAGGCAAATGCGCTAAAGCAAAACAGTCTACTCTGCAAATGTATGATGCACTTATGACGGCCCGATTATCGGATGCGTTACCTTGCAGCAATAATGATATTCGTATGTGCCACAATGATGCTCTTGAGCAATGCGAGGATCAGTTGATGATGGAACTTGCTGGAATTTCTACAAATTCAGTTGAAATGACAACTAGAGAGTTTCAGGCGAGTCGCAAAAAGTGTTTGTTTTAGAGTTTTTTCACTATCCTGATTTCTTCTTGGTTCATTGTATCTTTTGAAAAAAGTGAATTCCGCTGACCATTGAATATTGTGTAAGCCAAATTTTCAATCATGGTTCATACATAGAAGAAAGTTTGTGTAACATTTCTGCCATATCACAGAGTTCATACAGTTGGATTGCGGACAGTGACATCTCAGTCAGTCGAGCCTGAGAATAGATGATGATAAGTAGTTCTGTATTTAGTAGAATTACACCTCAGTGTCCGCCTACTACTTAAAATTATTCTCAAAGACAGCCCGGAGACCGTGGATTGAAGTGATTATTTTTTCTCCTAAGAACCTCTACTTTTACCTTTAATTTCAAACTTTATTATAACTACCGAGTGAATTTGCGGGATTTTCAAACCAAGCTAGCGTTTTTAACGCTGTGTAATAGACTGATATGAGGTCCGCTTCTATCCGGACCGGGCCCAAGGGAATTTTATGTCTTGCAAAAGAGCCTGAAAAGTACCCTTAAAATACCTTCATTATGAATCATTTCGTTTAAACAACGTTTTTTATTTCCACAAACAGTTATCAGTCGAAGCAAAACTGCTCTCTTGGCTGACTAAAAACGAAGAGCTCACGAGAAAATCCTGCGAAATTCTCTTACGAGACCTAAAAAAGAATCATTTGGACCCTGTATTTGAGAAACTTTTGGGTGAGGAACGAGACAAAATATCATTTGAAGACATAATTGGTGGATATCAGAGAGTTAAGGACGATTTCCATCAGTATGCAGAGGGAGCTGAAGACGTTATCGCCGCTGTATTTTTGGAGCTTCATAAAGTAAGGAACACTAAAGTTGTGATTCATTTAACTTTCAATGTCATTATCAAAGAAGTAACCGAGGCTTATAAGAACTGTGAAGTATTGTGACAGTTTACATGAATTGTTACTCGCTCGTATTTACCAGGATATGACAACATGTTCATTCTTTGAAATGATTCGTAAGCATTTCATTAAACCAACGACGTCATAACGTAACAAAGCAAAGCAGAGCTCTTATCTAGGTACGTAGAGATCCAATTGGGAACACCATAATTATGAACAATGTCACAATACGCCAGTTTTAAGACAATTGGTTCATGCTTAGCGTGCGTATATCTAGTTCTGGATGCACGTGGGAAGTTTGGATAGCACTAGAGAAGCGAGAGTTTTTCAAGGGGAAGCCGAAAGCAACCCGAGCTGTTGAGTAAATAAAAGTAAATACTCAAGCGCGGGAAAAAACGGGAATGATCAACAAACGTATTCGAGATAAACGATCACCCTCTCTAGAGACTTCAACTTCCGTGGAATAACGCTCTACCTTATGGGTGTTATTTTATAATTCAATGCTAAAAAATGCCAAGAAATGCTGATATGCTTTCTAAAGGAAAATAGGGAACTCCCACTATTGAAGATCGACGATCAGCCTCTAGAGCTTGCCATCTCTCATAAAGGGATAGGTTTCTAACGAAACTGTGGTACTGCGTCGGCGGGAAATTATAGCAGTGTAATTTGGTATTATCAATTGAGTTGATAACGGAAATTGGCCACCGTAAAGATTTAAAAGCTGACGTTTCGAGCGTTTGCCCTTCGTCAGAGGGAATGGCGAAGGGCTAGCCCGCTTAACGTCAGCTTTTTAAGTCTTTACGGTGGCAAATTTACGTTATCAACTCAATTGCTCGTAAAGTACTTCGACTAGAGATTCAGAATAACTTAAAGTGGAACAACCGTGTTGATGCTACAGTTAACATAGCTACTAAACGTTTCCAAATACTCCTTGTATTGAGTGCATTGGGCGTCGAGGGTAAAACTTAGTCACAATTTACTTATCCTTGATACGATCTGCACTTAAATAGGTACCACGCCCTTCCCTCTTGCTTCTCTGTAGAACGTAAACAGAAACGCACCTTAAAAGGTCATTGTACCTGCACTTTCACACAGAGAAGCTCTCCAATATCTAAAACTACCTAGATCAGATAGAAGACGAAGTGAACTTTGTTTGATTACACTCCCAAAGATACAAAGATGGGGCCCATTCTTCAAACATCCCCCTAAAGTGAGGGCGTCTGCGCCGTTAACCAAACAAGAAACGTAAAAGAACTTTACAATATCAAAGCATAGAGAAAGATTACGTCGTAATTTCTTTCCCAGTGCAATTTTATCGTTTAATAATCAATAGTATACTAAATAAATTGATTATAATAACATGCTATAAATTTTATTTTTAAAATTACTTCCAGTTTTAAAACTCAATGTTGACGAAAACACTATTATTATTGCTATTATTATTATTATTATTATTATTATTATTATCATCTAAGCTTAGTTCTGCTTGCAGTTTGAATCATCAATAATTGGAAAATATCAGTGGTTGAGGACAGTATAAAATATTAAGTTTAACTTTACTTTAAAACGCTTGCAATGCTTTGCACATATCTGAAATCATTCGGATAAAGATGCGGTTTTGGTCACTTAAAAAGTGAAAATATATTCATGTGAATTAGAGAAATAGTCCAGGAAATAAACATTGCTTAATCTCGTCTCAGGATCTGCTGAAGGAAAAGGAGCAATATCTGGGGATATTGGCACAACTGAAAGACTTTGACGAGGAGCGGAGCCGAGAATTGGCTGCCAGGGCATATCAAGAACGTGAGAGAAAAAGGCTAGAGGTAGGAATGAAGCCAGAAATGCTTGTACAAGTCAATGCGTCCATCATCTACAAGCCCTAGCTTCCAGGACATAAGTCCAAAATTTTTCCATTTGTGATTAGGAGATCTTTGATCCACCTGATTGTCAAAGCAGAGTATGCTTCAGTAAACGGTTCAGAAAAGTTTTATTCCTAGAAAGAGTTATTTTTCTCTCCACAGGAACAGCAGGCACGTCTTCAACAAGAAAATCTTGAACAGAAGAAACAGGTAAAAATAATAGGTATCTTTTTTTTTTAAGATGTTAAAAAAAAAAAGGGTTTCAATAGCTGAAAACTTTCGCGAAGTTTTTGTAGAATGTATTGCTGGAAACCCTCCATTAACGTGTATCTCTCCCATTAACATGTTCCGTGTGATTTATTTGTCGGTAACTATTGAATTGTCAATCGTTATACACAAAATTGTTTGTGACTAAGTTTTATTGCTCAGTTGGTCAAAGGATCGAACTCAGACCCGGACGTTTGAGTTCGAATTTCAATGAAGTTACAAACATTTTTAATGGTCATGTGCGGCCAAAATACAAGAACCCTTTCCTTTCAAATCGATTGCATGTAAAAAACGAGCGTAGTGAATGCTGTTTGAATATTTTGATAGCTCATACGTGTAGGATTAAGCGGGTCAGGAAAGCTTCTTTTTCCCAAGAACAAGAAAACCGATAAAAGAGCATAGTATTAAAGATAATTTCTGGTTAATTACAAAACTACTTTATGTTCTAGGAAACATAAATTTAATGATAAGACAAAAATTTAGGAGAGATAAAAAAGGAACATCAGAAGAGAGAAAGATTCCGGATAGAATTTTAACACATCATTGTAAACACCGTCACCTGTTGTTGAGGAGAGTTTTTCCGATCTTATTTTTTTTTAACGCTTGTTTTGTGATCAGATGGAAATGTTGATTAGGAATCTTGATGAAGAAAAGAGACGCTTTGCTGACCAAATGAAAGGCGAACGCCAGGCGCATCAAGATCAACTCCAAAATATGATGGAAGCATGTATGAGACAAGCCCAAGGGAAACGCCAGGCATTCATGAGGGAAAACGAAGCTTTACAAGAACGATTCCTGGCATTCCAAGAACGCAACGAAGAAAACATGAAAATGGTTCAAAACCTGTCTGACCGAGCCGCCCAGCAACAGAAAGAAAGAGAAGCTCTTCGTCAACAGATGAAGGATCAAGCCGATCAAGACAAGGAAGATTTAATTAAAGCGTTGAATGAAAAACACGATGAAGAAATGAAGGCTCTACGGGATGAATTGAACGCAAAGTCAAATGAGATGCCTGAGCAAGTTCCACAGGATAAAATGAAGAGTAGTGAAACGGCTGAATTGATTGATAGACGAACCAGAGAAGCAGAAGAGCGGCAAAGAAACATAGCAGAGACTCGAGAGAGACAACAAGAAGTAGAAAAACCAGGATTTTGGAAGAAAGCGCTTAAAGTTGTAGGGAAAATTGCGCCTTTGGCTGGTGCAGTTGTTTCTGCGGTTGTACCGATTACAGCACCGATTGCTGCACCAGTAGCTGCCTTGGCTGGTGCTGCGTGTGATATTGTTTCTGACGACGTTTGCAGTATAATGTAATCAGTTGTGTATGTAGCTTGCCTTCATAGAAAAAAATTCAAGGTTATTTTAATTCTATGAACGCAATTTCACTATGGACCTCCGAGGTACTGATTTGTTATGATTTATAGTATTTCTATCTGCTGAATGAAACCAAAACGTCAATGTAGATAACAAGAGAGGTTTCTGATTGAAACCAGCGTGTAAAATTCGTTTGCGCATTTTGCGTGTTTTTTTTCCATTATCGCTGATATTTTATGTCTTAAGTTTTTATCTCGTTAGTGAAATAGAGATATGTGTTTCGCCTTGTCACGTAAGTGGGACAAAGGAACAGTTCTGCGTCCCCATTAGGAATCAAACCTCAGACCTTCACTTCCAAGCTCCGATGCTCTACAACTGAGCTAATTAGACCACGATGAGAAAGGCCATTACTAGGCCTTTTTAGGCTCATATGAGATATGCCTCCTCCATACTGCATGGATAAGCAATGACGGAAGCTTAATGTATGGGTTATTATAACAGAATAGGATAGATGGAAAGAATTTAGAATTTTTTCCTTTGAAGCACGCTCGTGACAAGGCGAAACATCCCTCTCGTTCATTTCTTGTTTCATCACAGCACTACAGCAATTATATATATTTTTTCTCCGATGGCTTACTCTTGCTTCGGATTTTGGTTGGTTTTCAATTTTCTACCCAACTCAGATTGCTCTTTAGTGGTAATTTTTAGGCGACATCTAAATGGCTTTGATATAAAGTTGCAGTATAAGATGCAATTTCCACTGCTAGCACACAGTGCGGACCTAAGACCACTGTCTTGTGTGATTAGGGTTTATGTCCATTATAGCAAGAGAACAATAGGGTATGGTGCATTAATCGTTCAGCACTCTTCATGTGACATTTAGAGATCGCAATGACAGAAATTTAACACAACTCGTAGTTATATTAAAACGAAGTCGTTACTAAAGGTACATTAAAGGAACTCCTAGAACTGAAAAATACCATCCGTACTAATATTCAATTAACTTTGTAGCTCCAGTGTCATATTCACCTGTCCTTTTCATACACCAGCGATCAAAAAAATCTGAGCACATTGTGAGTTCATGTGTCCATCTCTTCCCTCTAGAGAGTGAGGAGCGCCGAGTTATGGTGGTTTTTGGAATATCCCTAGACATGCATTCTGAATTTTGCGTTTTCAATGGGTTCAGCTGAAAATGCAATCTCTCCTTTTTATTATGTATGAGCCGCTCCCACGAGAAATAATTAACTCATCTCTAAAACGGCCCGGCGTTCGAAAATCAAAATCGCTATATTATAAACCCACAGCGGAATTAGAACCAGCCCCCTATTAATCCTACAAAAATTCATGCAATCACATTTCATTAAAGCCCAGAAAACTTAATTGCAGACATTGGCATCGTTGGGTATTCATTTCAAACCCCAGTCATATCGAATTAGTAAAAGAGAAATGGATCATATCAGGAGATTGTCTTCCTCCAAACAGTGAACTGTATGATGGAAAGTAAATTTGGTATTTTTATCGTGTTTGTTTCTCCATTTTGTGAAAACACACCTCGTCTTGTGAGTCTCTTTATTTGTTTATGTCGAATTTTGACGTCATCTATCAACTGTAATTCAACAGACTTCTGACAAAATGGATCAATTTTTTAAATATGATGCTTTTTCAATATTATTCGCCCCTTTGGAAAAGATCTACTCGATACTTTCAAAGTTTAATCATCACTGATTATTTTAGGCTTTTATCATAGTGACTCTACATCGATCTATACCAGGGGAAAAGTAAGGACTGCATGCAACATGTTTTCGCTCTAATGTCCTGAGTGTATTGCGGATAGTAAAGAAGCAAGTTCTACAAAAAGACTATTTGAGGTTTTTGTCGTAAAATAAAAATAAAATGAGAGAAAAATGATTTTGAAATGGGAAATGGCGAGTTGCATAATATTTCTTTGAAATACTCGTGTCAAACTAATATATTCAAGATTACAAAAAATAGTCATATTTTTTGTGAAATTAGATCTGAAGTATTTAATGAAAGCAAAGAAGTACACGTATAGTCAACGGTGATTTATCAGTCTATTCATTACTTTCTGGTAAATTTTATGTTTAATATTTTGAGATTTTTTTTCATTGTTTGCCTTTTTTATTTTTCCCGAAAAAGTTCATATCTGCCACAATTTGCCACAAACCAGTCGCTCTCGAGGTAGTAACAGACCGTTGCGTGACACCCTTAACAGGCCGTGACTGTAAATATCGAGAATCGTTGGCCAGGCTAAAAAAATCGAAAATTCTGATAATTTGCCTGGAAAACCCTTTTAGAGAGATACATTCAAAAAAATTATTTTAAAGGTTGAAAAATCAAATGTGTCCGAGGAAATGGGGAAAAACGAAAATTCGGGTTTTTACCTTATTAATTATGCAAAAAATATAGTAAAATTAACCAACTTTAGTGTGCGATTACTGAAGGAGGATGTTTGGTAAGAAATCAGGGGTGTTTTTACTTCAAAGTATAATTCATTTGATTTTTATTTGTGGCATTTTAAGGAGCTTTGGTTTAATTTTAAAATTCACATGATTTTTTAACAAAGTGCTGTCAAACGCTTGTTGCAAAAAGCGAAAAATCGAGCAACTTCAAGCCTTCAAAACGCGTCTTGGTATGTGTGACATCATGTCAAACTACATGCTGGCACAAAGTTTGGTCCTTATACTAACACAATATGAAATAAAAAATCTGGGTAATTCAGAAACGTGCCGGTAAAACATAAAGGTTTGCGAAGCACTGTGGCCAGAGGTCACGAATTTGCATGATGCAAATCAGTTGTAGAAATCGTACCGCCTAACGGTTCTGATGTAGGAAAGGCTCTTTTGACGGCTACAACATGAAATTTACAAGATGACCAGCATTTAATAGCGTTTAATTCGTTTTTTAAGCCAATGAGTTTTTTGTTTCATTTCTCGTAACTGTCTTAACGAAAAGTAAAATGTTTCAATTGCGTGACAATTGTCACGTTGGATCAAAGGTGAAGTTGCCGAGTAAAGCGGACACAATCCTTTTTTCGTCAAAACTCCATTCTAAAGCATCCAGTCCTATATATCTCGTTTTATATTACTGGTATAAATTCTTTTATGAGGCTATATCGAACAACATCTAGCCGGGCTGATCCTGTCTGACTGCCAAGTGCGGTTCAAAGGGACTTTTTCATTTCTGGTTTGCGCATTTAATAAGGGGACCGCGGAGCTATAGGGTTGAGTGGGCTGTAGCCCCACCAAGAACAATTTGTTATCATCATTATTTATTTTAATCTTTGAATTAAAAATTTGACAAATTTTTCTTTGGATTGAAACGCGTTTCCGGTGATTTCAGAAGCTGTAGATTTCAAAATTTGCCGGAGGAGGATACCCTGTCAGCAGTCTTTCTGTACTAAGAAAGGCGTACTAAGAAACGTTTATATCAACGTTCATATAAAACTCAATTTTTTGAAGCAGCCTTTTGCCATTTGCCTTTTAAACTTCTCTGCAAGAGCAGCATCTAACGTGGTCTTCGAGCAGAGCGACGTGAGATGTCTTTTTTCTATGATCAACCCCAGGTGGTAATGCAAGATTGAAACTCTCGCATAGGAGTTTTAAGACTGCGAGTTCGAGATTTTTGAGTGTTTTATTCTCGACCATGGAACAGTTGTACTGTTGGTAATGAATAGAATGAGTTACATTTAACTACTCAAAAATAGACTCCTTAGCATTTGACAAATTAAATTCTTCCTCCATAGCAACGAGATCTTGCTCAGTTACAACTTGTGCGCAGGGGGCTGTCTGCTGTTTCACTTTTGCTGCCATTCTGGAAAAATTCCGCTTTCTTGTCCGATGGTAAGTCAGGTACTCTCATTGCTTTTCGTTAAACCGGTAAACTTTCTTTACTTGTTTTAAAGCGAAGCCTTCAGGCAGTGTTACATGTCCAGTGCTACGAGGACAGGTTTCAGGAGGTAGAGGAATAGTTGGCACGGAACTTGAACCTTCCTCGAGCCTTGCCGCATATTTAACCTTCGCTTTACCAAGAAGTGTCTCCCTTTCAACCGTCTTTGTGCATTTCCTGAACACGAGATGCTTTTCTAGAGAAGAGTGCCGTTGGAAACTATGCGTGCAACCCTCCTTTGGACATGGAAACACTTGATCCCTAGTACAGTCTTTCAATTCGACAAAGTCAGCCATTTTTGGATTTTCAGAACTTGCACCACAAGCCCCCCCAAGAAGAGAAGCAAAGCTACAGAATGACATCGTTTTCTGTTTATGCTCTATGAAAAACCTCGCACGTGTTTACCTTTAAGAAAAAGACCGTGGTTGCATCATAGAGAATTATCGCCCGGACTGCAACACGGTACAATTGCTACCGTGACAGAAGTCCTTTTTATCAAGTTTTATGACAGAAATGTGGCCATTTTTCCCAAAAAGATAAGAGTAAATAGCATAAAAAAGTTGGGCTGTTATCTTGAGGTGAAAAACTTCACAGCAGAAGCTTGCGGTGTTGCGTGACTTTGTTTACTCACATAACTTTTTCCAAGATATTCAAGATATTTCAAAAGAAATATTATCGCAGTTGCAGAAAACGTAACTATTCAACTAAGAACGATGTCGATAATAAACCACTTGTCAATAAAAATGGTGAACTATATAGCGGCCCTTATCTATAGTTAGGTGTAGGTAGTGCTGTTGAAATAGTGAGTCGACAATAACAGTCTTCTGCAATTCAAATTAACAGAAAAGTTCGTATCTACACATCAATTTACAGCCCTCTTCAGCAATGTCTGCGGATTTTTTATTCTATAATTTTATATCATTTCCATATCAAAGAGTTTTTTAACCATCTTTAACTATCTTGTTTACTTCGTAGCTCTCAAGTACGATTTCTACAACTAATTTGCATCATGCAAATTCTTGACCTTGGCCACAGTGCGTTGCAAACTCTTTTATTTTGCCGGCACTTTTCTTAACTACCCAGATTTTGTATTTCATATTATTTTCATATAAAGACCAAACTTTGTGCCAGCATGTAGTTTGATATGATTTCTCACATACCAAGACGCGTTTTGAAGGCTTGAAGGTGCTCGATTTTTCGCTTTTTGCAACAAGCGTTTGACTGCACTTTGTTAAAAAATCATGTGAATTTTAAAATTAAACCAAAGCTCCTTAAAATTCCACAAATAAAAATCAAATGAATTATACTTTGAAGTAAAAACACCCCCGATTTCTTACCAAACATCCTCCTTCAGTACTCGCACACTAAAGTTGGTCAATTTTACTGTATTGTTTGCATAATTAATTAGGTAGAAACCAAAATTTTCGTTTTTCCCCATTTTCTCGGAAACATTTGATTTTTCAAACTTCGAAATATTTTTTTTAATACATCTCCCTAAAAGGGTTTTCCAGACAAATTATCAGAATTTTCGATTTTTTTAGCCTGGCCAGCGATTCTCGATATTTACAGTCATGGAGTCTTAAAAACTGCTGACGGGTCGCGTAACGATACTGAAATAGCTTTGTCATTACATCGTCATTGTTATTCCTTTTTTTATTGATTACTCTGCACGTCACGTCCAAAGCTTTCAGTTTCTGTGCGCATTCAGAGGACCCCCAATCGCCTTCCAAGAAGAGCCATGGGTATTCTCCAAATTCGTATATCTTTCAGTTTCGGAGCAAGTCATTATTCATTCACTGCAGAATAAATCTCAGATTTATCTAACAGCGATAGAAGGGTGTCATTCCTTTGAGGTGAGTACCATAACTGTATACTTACCTCACCAAGCGAGTGAAGTACAGTTCTTATTTCATTAGTACGTTGCTATATGGCTTGATGTTCTGTATTGGATGTTGTTATTCTTTTGTCGCCCACAGTTTCAATTGAGGGGCAGGTTGATTTTAAAGCGAAATTGGATCTAACCTTCATCAAGAAGGTACTTTTAATGAAAGAATTGAAATCATACGAACCTGCACACTTTCAAACCTGTGGATAAGTTGTGGGCTGTCTTGTAAGAGGCACGAAAAACTACTTTTAAGCGGAGTAAAGTATCTTAAAGCTAGATGGAATTAATTACTCATACATTCCAAATGCATAGTTGAGTTTTAGATACCACGGTACTGGATTCACAAACTAAAGAAACTCCTTTATTTTTTTTTGAAAGAGAGGAGGGAGTGATGATTACGCCTGTACAAGTAATCTTTCTTATCTCTTAGCTTAGCAGATGAACGATGTGAAGAAACGCAAACCTCTGTGACAGATATCTTTCGTTCTAATGTTAGGACTGTTTTGATTTAAATTGTAATCTGACTTGCTACTTTTCATTTTATTAATTCTTTATCCTGACATTCCAACTTCCCATTTAACCTTATTTTATAATTGGAGTCCATGAAATTTCTAAGGTAATGAACAAATGGTTTATGAAAACGATACGACGCTCGAAAAGCAAAACATTACCAGTTCCGGCTTTGATCTCCAAGTTTCAGTATAAACATGTCACACATCAGTGATTTTTGACAAAGTGTGACTTGGCAATTTAATCTCATGAAATTTCAAACTTCTGTTGTAAGAAATAGGGACCATAAGAAAACCACGACGGCGACGGCAACGAGTACGTGGAAAAACAAAAAATCTAATTGGCAGAACTATAGCTCAACACGCGCGTTTTAGAACTTTGTACACTTCTCAGCTGTCCTATACAAAGCAACAACGTGAAATCACCACAATTTGCGTCGTCTGCGAACCGAAGCCGCGACGGCAAATTTTTTAAATTTCCATTTGGAACTCAACGCTTATTTTATACGTTATGCTAAAGTTGAGGTGTGGCACCGTATGAGACGGTAAACAAATGCAGCCATTTTTTAAATTCTAATTTAAGGCAGAAATTCATTTTTAATCGAAGTTTTCCTCGGCGTTGCCGTCCTGACCGCTTAAGGTCCCTAACATCCTTTTGAATGAAACTGCCATCGACTCAATAAAGGAAAGAGATTTGAGTAAATTTTTCCCAATTATCTCTGCGATCATTGATCCAAGCGTTGAAAGAACTCGCCGGAGTAGATATTTAGTGTAGTCGTGATGTATTTCTGGTTTCCATGCGATGTAATTAAAACCAATTCTTCTCAGTTTTTAGCAAAATTAGATAAATAAGATTTTCAAATAATACCAGGACGTTTTCATCATAAACATGAGCCAGTACCGTTCTGTTATTGAGCAGTTGAGAGCAGCATTGATTTTCAAACAGCCTTTTTGAGTTACAGGCATCTGATGGTAAAACTGAGCCTTAGAACTCTAGCATTTAGCTTAGTCCAGAAAATTGTCAAAAGCTGTTGAGAAATACACCGGCATCTTTTCATACCATTTATAAAGGAACAAACGGAACAAAAAAAATTGTGGTAGCATTAATACATCAAAGGATTAGTGTTTTTAAATGGCCCCACTGAAAATAAGCACATATCAATAGGAAGCGTATGTGCTCTTACACTTAATTTTTTATTCCTGGGTTTCTTTCATCATTTTTATTGACAGAATTAATTCGTAATGCAACTTCGCGTAGAGCAATTTAGGGATAATCATGCAGAAAAGGTTTTAAGCCCTACTAAACGATTTGTTACCTTTTTCATTCCTAACTTCCTCTTTCCTGGATTGTGTTTTCAAAAAACGGCATTCCTTCCTGGTCAATTAGAATGGAGAAATGTTTTGGAATAAATTTGCATTCGTAAATTTAATTGAAAGACTGGCCCGTGCAATTTTGTTGATCGTTGAAAATTCTCTGCGTGCTTATTTCTCTAAATAGCACTCGAAATTATGTGATTGCCTGTACAAATGGATTGCAACTTTATATTGTTTTCTGGACTTTAGCGCGTCATGTAACATTTTATTTATTGTTCTTTCAGAAAAGAGCTGGAAACATGGCGTCAAGAAAAAATCAAAACATTGCCATTCCTCTTTGTTTACCCAACAACTGCCGGTGGAACGCAGCAACTGGAAAATATATTAAAACCGGACGACAGCGAACGTCTCTGTATGTGGTGGAGGAAGCGCTGAAGAAGCTTAAGACTGTGAAAGGTATACTTTCTGTCCAATGCTTCATGGTCCTCAGTTTTTGCATAAAAAGTTTTACTTTTTTATAAATGTCCAAGCTCTTACTGGGCGCAATGGGAACTGCACACATGTAATCATGAAATAGATCAGAGGAGCGTCATGGCTACCCCACTTGCCTGCATCTAACTAGGGAGCGGGAGGGTGGGGAGACTGATTTTGTTTACAGTTCACTAACCTGTTTTCGCACGCCTAAAAAATTGCTTAAGTGGGGGGACGGGAGGGTGATGCTCCTTTTTACTCTATCGACAATAAATATCCTTACCCATCAAATGTCGTCTGTGAATGTAAAGTTCTCTACACACACACGTTCAAGGTAGGCATTTGGAAGAATGTGCAATTGTTAGATAATGAAACACAAAAATGATTATTATAGAATAAAAATGGGCAGAGTGATATCTGCTTTTGTTCGATTCGGTTTTATAGTTAACGTGGATCTCAAGCTTCTCAGTTTATCTTGATGCAGTTGTTTTAGTTTCAACAGTAACTCAGAGGGGTCGCAGGTTTTTCTTTTATAATCCTCGATTCAAATATTTCGTTTTGCATACTTAAAACTTCTCTTCTGGGCTGGATCTTAATCTTGGAGATTAAAGTCGAACTCGTTTATTAAATTCGGTCTATCTGTGATCAGGCTAATAAATTCCTTTGTATGCCCATATAATAAATTGGTGTGACTGTTTCAAACGTAATTTAAAGTGATTTACAACTGCTAAAGTTTTATCGATATTGATTAAGATATGTTTCATTACATTTCCCATGTGTAGGTCCCGTGTGTGTTGTATCGATCGCCGGTCCATACAGAAAAGGGAAGTCGTATATTTTGAGCGAAGCTTTCGATCAACCCGAGGTGTTCCCTCTCGGGCATCATTTTGATCCTGAAACTGTTGGAATCTGGATGTGGATAGTGCCACAAAAAATGCGGGTGAGTTCACATTAATCAAGTAATTAAAATGCTTCATCCATAGCTTGCAGTTGCGTTACTGGCAAAACAATGTAAGTGCTTGAAAGAAAGCTTCAACTGTTCATTTTCTCCTGGTAACTGTGGCTGTATCTTTCTCATTTATGGACACGATTATTAAATTTCAATTGGCAAAAGCATCGCAGTTTTCGAACTCATTCAGCATTAAGGGTACAGAACAGATGTTTTGATTTGTAGACCAGATTTCTATGTCAATAAAATGTGTTTTAATGACTATATTTAGGGCTTATTAATGTCGAATTAACTTGTTGGAAGGTCCTTGTTAAAAAAGCTGAGGTGGGGGCAGGAGGGTCAATTTCTGCACTGCTGTGTTCGGCAATAGGAAATTTAAGAGGAAACTTAAAAAATGAAGAATCACTCTTATAACATACATTTTTCAAGAAAAATTTGGCATCCTTTGTCTGTGGAGACGTTGCGATAATCTCAAATTTATGAAAGCTAAGAAATGTCAAAATTTGAAATCACTATACCCCCCGTTTCTAGCCAAAACTAAGTTGCACTGCTTTAGCGGTCATTTCAGAATAGCAAGTTACTGCTGCCTCCAAAACAAGTTAAATTGGAATCACCCCTTCACACTAGAGCTTGCGTAACTTGAAACTGGCTGTTTCTGTTGTTCAGGACTCCACTGGCAGGGAATGTACCGTGGTCTTATTAGACTCAGAGGGAATTGATGCAGTGATGGGAGAAGGTTTGGATGACAATCAGATATTTACTCTCACTGTTTTGCTGGCTTCTGTTTTGATCTACAACTCAGCAGGGGTTCCCACCAGACATGACCTCAATGGATTGGAGTATCCTTCACCAAATACGTCAGATTTTAGGAGTGGAGAGATTAGCAGAGGGGGGAAGAGAGTCCATAAATGAGGCATATTTCTGCGTGTTCTTAAAGGCTTGTATAAGTGAAATACAGGCTCGGTATTTTAACGGTTTTAACGCGTATTCCAAGAGAAAATTTCATATGGATGTAAAATTTATCTTAAAAAAGGTTGCTGAAAAGCACTTGGAAAGCATGTGTAAATGACTTCGGCTGCGCAAAGTGTTCTCGCATGACTTTTAACTAGTTCTTGAAGCATATTCGCTAAAACCGATGCATGTACTGTAACTCTGACACGAACGATCCGATTTTTTGATCACAAACCTTTTACTTAGCGTTGATGGATGAGTAGGGCTTATATCTCAAACAGAGAATGGTAGTCGACCTTACTCTGGAAAAACTCTCGTTAAAACAAATTCTCGTCTATCCTCTTCAGCATGCAAGCGTAAAACTTTAACCCTTTGACAATAGGATTTTGTTCCCAAAAAGAGAACCAAGCTGAACAAAGATATAAGAGGAGACAGAAAAGCTATCGTTCGCGATAGATGAAACGAAAACATTTCTTAACATTTTGCAGTTTTATTATGAAGTTGTCCCAACGAATTAGACTTTGCTCCAACGACGGAAGTGTGAGCGCGAGCAGCCCTCGAGAGGACACAGAATTCTTCCACAAGACTTTTCCATTCTTCATCTGGCTTCTCAGGGATGTTACTCAGTCCATTCCAACAGACTGCAGAGACATTAAGGAGTATTTCCTAACAAGGGTAAGGCGACTCATTTTGAAACGTTGAACAGAAATGACAAAAGAATTAATCAAACGCTTCCCTGAAAAACTCTTTGTCACAGCCGCAGAAATATTGATTATATCACTGTTTTCTCGGAATAGACTCTTACAGTTTGTTATATGAACAAAATAACCGAGTATTCGAGAACATGGTTTTGTTTCTTGGTTGTAAGGTTTATTGTTTAACTTTTTGGAGATGTACAGGTTTTGAAAATGGAAGGAACTTGGTTTTTTTTTGTTTTTTTTTTTTGTAACTATGTATATATCTCTCTGCAAGTCGTCTAAACTTAGACGTTCTCTTAACTCGACCAAAAATAATGATAAAATCTTTCTTTATTCTTTGCATACAGTAATTGGATAAGTCTGCTCAGTTAATTTACATATTGACTTTGCTTAAAACGTAGTCGTGTTCTATAAACAAAGAGGGACTGATTGACTGGTTTACCTTGATTACAGTGATCACTTATCACATTGTAATGTGCTCCATATCCTCAGCGATGGGGATCTAAATCTTGTATTGGCTTGTGATACAAACGTCTCTATGAAAGCGATGACAGAGGATCTTGGTTTTGTCACAATAAAGTTCCCCTGATGACCCCTAAAAGACTCTGTAATAGTCTTGTGACCCTCCCCCCCCCCTTCATTGGCAACTAATTGGCAGTCAATTTTCCATAGTATCCCCTTCATACTCTGTTGGCAACGACTGATCCCCACTCCGTTCCCCACTGAAAACCATCTTCCCTCCAGAATCCTTGGCTCCCACCCCAGGAGAAAATGACTGGTTCCTTATTACAACTGCTTTTTAAACCAACCAGGTTTTCAAGGATCAAGGAAAGGAACGGGCGGACCACACCCAACGAGTCGCTGAAAGCATTTTGCGTTTCTTCCCCGGCTTCGAAGCCTTCAAACTGCCACCACCATCTGTAAGTGAAGAGGTCATGAAAAACATCAACAGAAACAAAAGTCAGATCAACAGTGAGTTCTTCTCTGGGATAGAGAAGTTCAAGGTCTTGTTGAAAAGAACTCTTACTCCTAAGCACAGCTTCAACGACGGAGAATTTGTGACTGGTGAAGGTAAAGGCTACTATTGCATCTTCGTTTGGCTTTCATCTCCCGTGAGAGAGCAACTCGTAACTTCTCTCAGATTTCTATGTAATTTTCAGATGAAAATTACTGGTTTTGAAGACAAATTTCGAGGGATTAGCTTGATCTCTAGAATCTTAAGTCGCCGCCTACTTCTTGAATTATGGGAGTCACAATCTTATACCATGCTTTTCTATTTTAGATTATTTTTTACACCGTTTGTCTACTGTATACTTTTCTAATTAAGTATGTCCTTAAACTTAAAGACAATTTTCATCCCTCGATAACCCACTCTGTTTCCAGGTTTGGCTGCCTTGGTTGAACTTTACGTGCAGGCCATCAATACTCCTGGAGTGATTCCTAATGTCCAGTCAGCTTGGGACACATTTGTAGCAGATAAATGTAATGAAGCAACGCACGAAGCCATGAATGTCTACAGCGCCGTCGTGCATTCACAACTGTCCAATCAGCTGCCTTGTGACTCCGAAGACATTCGTAAATGTCATGAAACTGCTCTTGACCAAGCAATTGGTCAGTTACAAGCTGAAACAATCGGAATATCCTCTATTACAACCGAGAGGTACCTCAACGAGCTAGTGGTAAGGAGTTTTCACACATTGCTTAAACATTCCTCATTCAGTACTTTGGAGTAAAATGATACCGACGAACTTTTGCAAACTTCGTCCAACATTTTTGTGGGGATGAATAAAATTTTCGATTTGTGGTAGAATTCTAACAGGACAAACTCTTTATGATTTGACTCAAGGTTTCGGATCTTGGTGAAATATTTAAAAGCAGCAGAGTACCTGGTCCGAAATCGAGTGCGGTGAAAATAATAGGTTGTGCAGAAGCATTTCCAAAGCAATGAAATATCCTTGGTTCTTTTTCCACGAGGCTCAAGACTTTCCTCAAGCTTTGCAAACGCTTGTCGTTACACATTTTCTGATGACTATTTTTCGTGAACGTTTCCGCGCCAGGTGGAGGCTACTGCTTGTTAATTTCATGGCGGCATCTAATTGACCTAACTCTAATTTATAAGCGATAAATATTTAGTAACTGTCTGGTTATACAACCATGAATGCCACGAAATAATAGTTACAGTGCTTCCCAGCATTCATTGTTGGACTTACTGGGGGAGAATGTTCGTAAATTTCAATTATTTTGGCACAAGTTACTCACAGAAACAACAAATAAATGTCCAGTTAAAGTTTGGGAACAAACAACAGCACGCAAAGATGAACACTGGTATTTACTGTAAATATAAAACGGCTTTTTTTTATTTTTTATTTTTATTTCTCAGTCGTTTGCTGACCGAGATTATGTCACGTGGCAGACTGAGAATGATCAGTTTACGCGAGAGGCTTGTGACGCTCTCCTGAAGCAACTCAAAAAGCAACACTTGGATCCAATCCTCGACCAGCTCCATGGAAAGGAAGGCGCCAAAGTCATGTTCGATGACATTGTAGCAGGTTACAAAAAGATTGAGCAGGACTACAAAGCTCGTGCCACCGGAGCTAAACAAGTTTGTGCTGCTGTGTTCTTCGAGTTTCATCCGGTAAATAGGGTTTTTTACTTGGAATTAAAAATTCAGACCAGAAATGAGACAAATTAATGAGGTTTCTCATCTGTCTTCCTTTTTGTTTTCATTGACGTTAATAGTTTCACGGACAGCGAAAAAATACAAACCAAATTCAGTTCCTTTAATACAAGTACATTGCGATTCTTGGTCTTAGTAACTATTATGTTGTTACAAGAGAATATAACTTTATAATCTCTTGGTAGTTACCACAAAGAAAACCAACAGACAAAGCAACGATGTAAGCGAAAGTTCTACTTTTATCACAGGAACTTATGACAGAAATGCAACAATACTTGGGCGTGCTGAAACAATTAAAGGACTTTGACGAGAACTTGAGTCGAGAAATTGCCGCCAAAGCCTATCAAGAGCAAGAGAAGATAAAACTTGAGGTACTGATGACGCAATTTTAATCGACTTAATAATCATATTACTTTTTAACGGAAAAAAAATTGAGAATGATAAATGCTGGGAACGGAGAATAGGAAATGAAGAATAGGGAAAAGGGAAATGGGAAGAGGGAAGGAGAAAGGAAAATTGGGAATGGAAAATGGAATAGGAATTGTTTTTGTTAACGTTCTGCGGCTAAAGAAAAGGAACGGAAAATAACATCCTATCTTCAACAAACTTAATCAACTGATTAATAAGAGAACAAAAGCCGATTGAAGTTCATGCTTTCTTTCTCTGTTCTTTGTCAAAAACATTGCTATATTAATTTAGTTTTAATGGCGAGGATATAGAATTTCATCATCTGCTAGACAAAGCCTATACTGATGTGACTTTTCGTTCTCATTTAAGGAGGAACACGAACGTTTACAACAAGAAAATCGTCAGCGCCATAAGGAAGTAAGACATTTTAAGTCAATGTCAGTATCTGAGAAATTCTAAACCTACCCCCCCTCCCCCCCAACTCAACAACAATAAAAAAATAACAAGTTAGGGTTAATGTTGGGTCAGGGGAGGGGTAGGTGTGCAGTTGATCAGATTCTGATATTGATCCGACATTTTCACAATCACTAAAGAAATCATTCCACGCTTCAAAAATCGTCAAATCTATCATTTGACGATTTCCATTTGTGCAGATCACAAAAAGAGAATAAAGGAACAAAGAGGACCATTGACTGCTTTTTGTGAGTTTTGCCTTCTCAGACGGAAGCGCTAAACATGCACATCTTTGATTCCAGAAAGCACAGACACACGAATTTTATGGCGATCAAATATAGTGAAATCCAATTAAAGACGTAGAAAAGTAAGCCTTTTAATTAAGCGTGAGTACACTCATTCCTGGGAACTAGGCTTTTTTAGTAACATCCGATTTGGTACCAGGGCAGGTGAAATAAAAACAAACAAAAGGCTGACATCTTGTCTGAACGAGTCCTCGTGCCAGGGCCGCCCTCTCTGCCTGCTTATTTTCTCTTGGTTCCATTCCAATGTAATTTTATGATGTGTCAACTTAGATTGATTATTCCTTAATTTCTTTGTTATAAGAATATTACCTCATAATAACTTTACCTTCAAATGCCTCAAAATATATCTTTAGAATGAATAACGCTAGCAAGAATTTATCCCATTAAGTGTTTTCTGTGAAAGATTTTTCAGTAATTTTATCAGAAATTCATTCTGAGTGACTGAGAAATTTGATGATTTTAGCACAGAGGTGAACAAGAGTAGATGCCATAATATTTTTCATCATGACTCTCCTATAGCTGTCTGACCTGAACTTTTTCCTGTCTGGTAATTAGATGGAAATGCTGCAGGCAAAACAGGAGCAAGAAAAAAAGAGACTCCGTGAACAGATGGAAGCTGAAGCAGCGGTCCAACGACAACAAATGGAGAACATGGTAAAGGCGAGAATGATGGAGGTTGAAAAACACAGACGAAATTTCATGCAAGAAAACCAAGTACTCAGCCAACGACTTGCACAAATGCAAAAATCAAATGAAGGCATGGAGAAGACAGTGGAGAGCTTGAGACAACAGCTGCTACTCAATCAGAGCCGACAACGGCAAGTTCAAAAGCCGGGATTCTTTGATAGAGCGCTGCAAATGATACCAGTCTTGGGCGGGGTCGCTAGCACCTTATCAAAGTGTAGCGTTATGTAAAGCCTCTAAAGTTATCCCTTATCATGAACACTGGTTCAATTTTTAAGTAGTGGCATTATATCAGCTTCCAGTTAATTATAATTTGCAACGAGTTAACAACCTTAAAGTTATGTAACACGTTTCCTGCCAATGGATATGATGGTGATTTTATATATGAAGTGAAAATTGTGCGTTCTCCGTGATACCAATTGGACTGCAAAACAACTTGAATGTGATCTAAAATAAAATAATTTGAAAAAATAAACCAATCTGCTCTTCTGATTATTTAATAGCTGGCGCAAGCAAAATCCCCTTTCGGGAGAATTAAGCCCGAAACCTACCTAACCATCGTAAGCTGTGTACGAGAAATATCCTAGATGTTTGGGATATCAAGCTTGCTTTGGTGCGCTCTTGCGGAAGAGAAGTGGGGGAGGAAGGGGACAAACGACAAAAAAGGAGACTGCTTGCAATGATTTCTGTCTTTTTTTCCGCCTTTTGTGTTTTTCTCGTCGCCAGGTTTAGCATTTGATAGAATTAAATCACAGCAGTAAAAAGGAGAGGATGTTTAGATGTCTTTTAATGCCTGCCGATTGAATGAAACAACTTAAGGACCGACGGTAGTTATAGGAAAAAAACAAACATGCAAACAAAAACAAATCATCAAAAACAATATTAAAAACGGTCGCTCGGTGGGACACGAAAGGCGTTATTGTTACACAAGTCAGGCCGACAGATTCTGCGATAAATTATCGAGGAAAAAAAGCAAATCAGAACCAAGAAAATTAACCAGTTTTTCCTCTCATACAGGGGCTGCCTATATCGAACTAAAGACTACATACTAGTCACTTGTATTCAAACTCTGCACACAAATATCATTCTATGCGTGGTGCGTTCAGCCGTTAAAGAACTATTTCAATGGCTGTGCTTTAGGATCCAGGCAACAGGGATAGAGGTCGTATCTAGGGTCTTTTTCAACCACTCATGCCATCTATAACTACAAAGAGACAAGGATATTTCACAAAAATCCTTTTAATAAATCAATAAAAGTGAGGCTAAAAAATGTGACAACGTTGGGTAAAAATAAACCAACTAAATTGCTATTTACAATGACAAGTGAGACAAACAAGCATTTAAGTTTGTAACACCAATTATCGACTTAAAATTTTCTGATAATGAAAGATTTTCCATATATCTCCAATTTCAAGCATCATCAATGTAAAGCATCGAAAAATAAGCCTACTTGAAAGTACAACGCTGCCTGTAAACTGATCCAAGCTCAAGGAATCATTCATCTGTTCCTTTTCTCAAAGTCGGCTTTTTTTGTAAGGAGAAAATAAGCTTGTCTGCTTATTAAAATTAATTGAACTAATTAGTTTGAAGTAATTGAGTTGATTAATTTGAGTTAATTAATTGAAATAAATTGAGCTTGTCTTCTGCCAGGGTCTCAGCTGCTTGAAAAGATCGAATTATTGGGAGAGTGAAAATTGAGGTTTGGGAAGGAAAGGAAGCTCCTCTCACTCCTTCCCAGACCTCCAATGTCTCACCTCACACCCTTGACTGTCTCCAAAAGAGGAGAGCCTGGCATAAACGACTAAAGGAGTCTCTTTCTTCGCGTCAAAAAGGCACGTTTAGGATCCATGCTAAACTATTTTACTCTGACATCCTAAGAAATTCGTTTCGCGTTCAGATCGACGAAAACACTGAGTAACATCCAGGTATTTACTGCTAAAAAGAACTTGCATTTCCGGTTACAGTATAAGACGTTTCACGCGGGACTAGAAATTTGGGAACTTCAGGAAACCACCACGACAAACTAAAGGTCTAAATTATGAGCAGAACACTGGCTCAGCACCTGCGTTTTAAAACTCAGTTCATTTCTCAGCAGTCCCCTGCAAAACAACAACGTGAAATCACTAAAATTTGCGTAATCTGAGGAGGGAAATACCGACCGGACGGTAAATTATCTAAGTTTCCAATTTGAACTCGACGCTGCTCTTATACGTTTTGCTGAAATATAGGTGTAGGGCCGTAAGAGACAGTAAGCACGTCCAGAAATTTGCGAAATTCTAAATAAACAGTAGTCTCCATTTGGCGCGAATATATGCACGTTGTTTTTCGTATCTGTTGCTGTTCGGAAATTATCCGTTCCGAGATGCGAAAAGTTTCCGAGAGTGAAGCTCGAGGAAAAGTGAGAGCTTTGAGCAACAGATAATATCTAAGGACAAATATACGAAAATATTCTTGCGCCAAATGGAGGCTATTGTGTTTATCTTCCTTGAATTATTTTTGCAACGCGCGGGGAAAGTGTTTACGAACAGTTCACCGTTTATTACGTAAGATGTTCACTTTTCAGTGTTCGCTGGTACAACTGTATGAACACAAAAACATGTCCTTTCTTCTGTAACAACCAACAGCCAACAACAACCCTAATGGACGAAAAGTTTGAAAATCGGGGAATATCAGGTAGGGTTTATTCAAGGATATTCTGCAGTTTTGAGCTAGTGGATATTCGGTCACACGATGCATTTAGACCAATCCCGCGCGCGAGCAAAAATATTTGATGGGATATATTATGAAATATCATTCTTCTTACTGCTCGCTAAATCAGTTGCCATGGAACCTTTTCTTCCGTGCGTTCAGTCAGCTTCATCATCATCATCATCATCGAAATCATCGCTATCTTCCTCTTCGTCGTCATCATCATCATTATCATCATCGTCGTCGTCACCATCTTGTTCTCTTCTGAACCATATTCCTTCTTTTTTCAGCTCAGCTTTTGTAAGACGTCGATTGATCCACCTTCCACCTTTTACTTCACCTACCTATCACAGGACAAAAAAAGGACACAACATCAACCACAGCACCAATTATGTGAAACTCTCAACTTGCATTTTCACACCAGATAAATATTTAAAGCACCTTGAAACTCCCCACGTATATCGGAATATTAAGTTTCCTTCGCTTGGAAAAATACACCTGTTTCATTAATTCTATGCAACACTCAAATTACATTTTAGCACACAAGATAAATATTCGTCGCATTCAAATACATTTGTCCATATAGCGAGCAGTGAAAGAGAACATTCTATTTTGAATTCAAATATCTACAAGTGACTACAAGACTTTATTTTACAGCAAGGAAAAAGATCTCAGTTTCAAATAACAAACAACAATGGTCCCTGACGATTAAAATGAGATGAAGGTTTACAAACACATAAACTACAATAAATATTAATTTTTTTTAATGGGACGAAAACTGTCTAATATCTTCGAAACTATTTTTCGCATACAAATCATTCAAATCATTCAATAATTTTCCAACCTTGTACGACTACATGCAACGAGTTTTATTCCAGTTAACTTCTCCACCAACATAATTGTTACACGATTGTAAGTCAGACAACTCTAAATATTTCTTTTTGATGATTCGGTGTTCTCGCTTTAATGTTTTTCTTCACCTTCCTTGAAGCATCCTCTCAATGAAACCGTACTTTTCTGACAATACTGTTTCAATCATATACGAGACACTTAAAAAAAATAATGATAAAAAACAAATTCAAAACAACTTAAATGTTCTCACTTGTGCCTCGCTGAACTAACGCCTCCTTAGCTATCCTCGTATTATTTCATGCTACAGTAGTTTCTAGTTTGCTTAGTTTTGAGATTGGAAGGAAGATGTACCATTTCCGTATTCCTAGAAGCAAAAAGGAACGCCCACACTCCACAGGAAAGACAAGACAGCAACGAGTAACGAAGGCAGGTCCTTTATTCTGGTGATGGCGATGAGAATAAGAATTGTTTATGTTCAGGGATGTCACAAAAATATGGGAAGCTGCGTAAAGTGTACAAAGAATCAGCTCCACGGTGTGTGCCAAATTGAAGTTCAAAAATATATCACTTTTTAGGATTTACACTGACACGAGACCAAGCAGAGACAAACACATACGATAGTTAGTTGAGCAACTTCATCATCAACAATGTCGTTCTTTAATTTTTCTTCAAAAATGAGCTTATGTGACGCGGAAGACCGATGGGCCCTACAATCATCTGACAGTTACAAAATATGAGCAGTGTAGCCAACGAAGAAAAAAAATCAACTGATAAATAAGAATAAGGAAACCATTTAAGAGCGAGTAAATTATAGCGCAGTGCCGAGTTTGACTGGTGGCCGCGTGTCACGGGTCGCGCCTATGAAGTTTAAGCTTTTAAAACGATTTGTTTTGCTTTTTCGTTTGTTTACTAGCAGGGCGCTTACGCATGACGCACAGCAATGCTTCATTCGTAAAGCACTAATTTTACTGGTTGCATAACATAACGTCTTTTCTAGATCTTTCAGCTGAATGAGATGTCAATGGAAACTGCGCCTCAAAAAGGCTTCTTCTCTCCACTAGTTTAATTAGTCTGTGCAGGCGCTTTATTTTATTCAGGACGTGGTAATTTTGCTCTTATTTGGGTACAGAATGGAAACAACGAGCCGAAGCGCTCGTCAGTGGTGACCCTCTTAAACACTTTTACTTGATTTTTTTTCTCTCCTTTTTCATCTTTCTTCCTTTTTTTATGCAATACGAGTACACAGTCTCCCCCTCCCTCCTCGGAAAAAAAATATATATACCCATCGAATTTCATGCCCGCCTCTCTTCTTTTTTCAATTGCTTCTCGCCATTTTCTCTTTTTTTCCTTATTACCAAACCCGGAGTACTTTGCTCTTTATTCTATGTTGGTGAGGGTTTAGCCATATATTTTCGTTTAACACACTTAAAGGGTTTTAGAGTGTAAGGTTTGAAATAGTCATTTTGACAAATTCACTTTTTACAATGTTGTTCTTTAATTTTTCTAAAAAAAATAAAAAAGGCTTCTATGACAAAGGCGACCAAGGGCTCTACGAGCATCTGACAGAGTTACTCAACATGAGCAGTGCAGCTAAAGACAAAAAGAATCCAACTGATAAATAAGAAGAATGAAACCATTTAAGTGCAAGTAAATTATAGCACCGTGTCAGTTTCTTTTTGGATGTTAATCATTTCACCTACAACTTTTGGTGAATTATTTCCTATCATCAGTACAAACCTTTAAAACGTAAATTTATGACAATAGAATCAACATGATTTTCGCTTTTCAAAACACGCATTTGGATTTAAACAAGAAAAAACCTTTTTTGTTTGGTTCTTTCTATTTTGTTGGGTTAACGCTTCCTGTTAATAAAAGCGAATAGATGCTGGTACAGATTGTAGGGAACAACGTCATCAAATCCAAAGCATGTATGGG